TGTTAAGTAAGTACCAAGATAGAAAGGAACTGAGATTCTGTCAATCCAATATCAGATTATGTCTAGCATAGATGCAATGACTTGTTGGACTAAAGATGAAGGCCTTTTAGCAAATGTGAGCCGGTACTGCAATAATCTCATAGGAAATTTTATAGGAGTTGATAAACCAAGACGAGTACCAGGAATCTCTCATTGCCAAAGACTGCAGTCACCACCAATTCTAATACTAATTCCTCTGATATATGGGGTGATGAAAAACTCCCATGGAACTTGTGTGCAGCTGATCAAGAGAAGTAAGTTTCCCTCCTGATAAGGTCAAGGCTCCCCCAGAGACAGCTATTGGTTCAGGGGTGGGTTCTACTTACCTTTATTACCGGTTCACAATGGGGCCGTATGTGCGTGCTTGCTTGCTCTTCTGCGCATGCGCAGAAGCGTTTTGATGATGTCAGGGTCAGTGGGGGGACCCTCCCGCCAGTTTTACTACCGGTTCTATAGAACCGGTGCGAATCGGGGGCAACCCACCATTGTACTGGTTCCTACTTACTTTTCTTGCTGGAAGTTAGCACCCATCCCTCTCCTAAGAAAATGAGATATTTTAGGAAATATTAACAGGGTAGAATATTTCCCCTAAAGGTAGGCAGAAACTCAGTCCCCCCCCCATCTTTGTTAATGGGCCGTTAAGGCCTGGGCCAGTCTATTCTACATAACAAAGATCTACCCCCTTCAGGCAGAGCCATAGTAGGAACTGCCCAAAGCCCTTTCACTACATCATCACCCAGCAAGGCTCAACCAAGCCTGGGAGATAGACAACCTACAAAGCAGGGGTGGGTTCTACTTACCTTTGCAACAGGGCCATGCGCTCACGCTCGCTTCACTCACGCACACACACACTCTTCTGCACAAGCATTTTGATGACATCGGGGTCGGTGGGCGGAGCCTCCCGCCGGTTTTACTACCGGTTCTATAGAACCGGTGTGAACCGGGGGCAATCCACCACTGCTACAAAGTTACCCCCTGCATGGCCCCATGGGAGTCTGGCAACCAATCAGAATACAAGCTCAAATTCAAAAGCCCAGAGAGGGTATAAAACTCAGGCACTCTCAGTATCTCTTGCCTTTTTTTCCTCACCCAAGATCTTCAAGGCATGTGATCCTGTCCACCAATAAAACCATCTTTCCAAGCGCCCCAATGTGTCTTTCTCCCCATTTGGAACTGAACCCAGAAGGATATTTCTTCCAACATTTCTCCTCAAAAGATTCTCCCTGCTTCTACTTGCAGATATTGCTGGATCGTAATGTGCTATCCTTCCACTTCCGTAACTGCTAAATTCTGATGTTAGTTCCAAAAAGTCCAAAAAGTCAGGTGAAACCTCACAAAGGGTACATCAATCCAAACCACCCAGGTCAGCAGATAACTTTGTAAACCTGAAAGAATGAAGAGGGAAAGGAACATTAAAGTTAGGTATATGACTTTTTTTTAAAAGGATGCATTTGTAAGGCTGGTACTTGTGTGAAAGAAAACCAAGAACCTTTCTTTAAGAAATAACATGATGGTAGAAAAGTCTGAATTATCTAACTCTGTCTATAGGTAAAGGACTGAGCTTGTGCACTCCATTATAGAGACAGAGTGAGTCAGGAAGAAGTCGGATAGTACAGATCAGGGTCAAAAAGGAAAGCAAATTCAACTGAGGAGAAGGGATAAAAGCTCTACAAATATCAGTCAAACCTACTGCTTCTCAAATTTTCTTGTTAAGTAATCTTTTTTGTTAAAGTTTAAAAATAGTAAGATAAAAAATGAATGCAAATGAAGAAAAAGTTGAAAAATAAAAATACAGAAACAAAAAGGGAGGAGGGAGGGGAAAACATAAAGAAAAAAGAAAAAAAAGAAATAAAAGAAATTACTTCCCCCTTCATCATGACAAGTCCAAACAGTTTTAGCAACTTATCACCTCCTCTGATATTTAAATTCTTGAAGGCCACACACTTTAAAGCCGCTAAGGGTGAGAAACATTGGTCTAACCAAAAGTAGGCACCTTATGTACAGATAATTGCCAAGTCTCCCTCATAACCACCTCTATGTCAATTGTTCCAAGTGATCAGTGAGTTTATAGATGTAGAAAACTACAGGGAGTCCTCGGCTTACAACAGTTCGCTTACTGACCTTTCAAAGTTACAACGGCACTGAAATAAGTGACTTATGACCATTTTTCACACTTATGACTGTTGCAGCATCCCCATGGTCACGTGAGGTATATTCAGATGCTTAACAACTGACTCACATTTATGACAGTTGCAGTGTCCCGGGGTCATGTGATCAACATTTTGTGACTTTCTGACAAGCCAAGTCAATGTGGAACCCTAAATCACTTAACAACCATGTTAGTAATTTAACAACCGCAGTGATTCACTTAACAAATGAGGCAAGAAAAGTCGTAAAATGGGGCAAAACTCACTTAACTTAAATTTCCCACTTAGCAACATACATTTTGAGCTCAGTTGGGGTTGTAAGTTGAGGACTACTTGTAGTGTATGCAGACTTAAATTCTACCAACCCTTTCTTCCCTCAGACGAACAGGTGAGATTCTATCCCCGAAGACCCAGCAATAACCTGCCATTGCAAAGCTCTGAGTCTTTTCATTCTATACTCCAACTCACCTGTGGTAGCTTTCCCAGGACTGTTCTTGATAGTCTGATTGCCCTAATCACATTCCCTCTGTTAGAATGCACAGAGGATGAGAGTTAGGATTTTGTGTGTTAAAATCAGGTGACTCTTTGATGTCAATCGGGCAAATAAGGAGAGGGAGTTTATTATTTGGAGATTGGGTGGGGCTAGGACAGAGGTGGGATTCACTTACCTTCCCTACTAGTTCGCAAATGTGAGTGCAAGCACCACCTCTGCACATGCGCATGGCCTTCTGTGCATGTACAGTAGTCGCACATTATATCGGGTGGGTGGGCGGAGCCTCCCGCAGTCGCCGCTAGCGGTTCATGCAATCCGGAGAGAACCGGCTGAATCCCACCACTGGGCCAGGAGGAGAATTGGGCTTGGTTAAATATCCCTAAAATAGAATGGAATACTTGGAACACTTGCACCTGAAATCACCACATTTTGGGTTGAATCCAAAACAAAACGACCTTGCTTTGGTTTCTAAATGAACCAAATCAGCCCAACTACTTTTATTTGTGCGGTCTTTGGTGCCCTCTGAGCTTGATTGTTTTCTTGAAAACGTTTCATACTTTTGCTTTGTACATGAAACACTTGGGCTGACTATTCCTTGCTCGAAATGATTCATACCAATACTGTTGCACTTCCTGTACAGTAACAAAAATACAGATCTGCCTGTACTTTTAAATCCCCACTTCCACTTGAATAATGCATACCCTTGATTTTATTTTCTACTCAATTTACTGGATCTATATGACTGTTATATTCCATCAGGGAACTGACTAATTCACACTCAAAACCGCATGATGTTCACTTTCACCAATCCTTCTGTAATTTTCATCCCAAATAATTTTTCTTCTAGCTGTTTTTATCGCAGAATTTTTTTAAAAAAAGGCAAATACAGCTTCTCTGTACAATAGAGTCCAATATAAACCCAGGGTGCAATACTATCAATTTTATTTCTGTAATACTGTCACACTCCTCTTACAAGGAAGGGAAATCAAGCCGGGGAAAAGGTTTTGGGTTGGTGTTTTTTTTTTTTGTTTGTTTTTTGAAGATGTTCAGAAACAGATTGAAAGTGACTAGTAGGGATTAAGATCTGGTGCACTGGAAATTGGTTTGTGAAATTAACTAGAGACAGAATTGCTCCAGAAATACAGACAGGAGAAATAGATTCAAGGGACTGGATGTGGGAAAAAAAAGTTAGCTCTCTTCAAAAGGGACATAAATGTGCAGAACCAAAGGAATGATAATAAAAATCTGCATACTGTATGTCCACAGAGAGAAAATTGGCCTTCACAAATGCATACAGGTGGTGGAAATTCAATTATTATTATTATTTTATAATATAAAATACAAAAAGTATGAAAACAAATCGTAGGAAAAATAGGGGAGGGATAGGGAAGGGAAGAATGCAGAAAGAAGGGAAAAAGAAAGAAAAGGCACTGACTTCTGATTCCCTTTAGTGCAGTATAAGATACGATAGTAACATCCAACCACAACTTTTTACTTTTACATAGTAGTACAGGTATAAACTAGCCGTTTCTATATCAATAAATCTATCTAATCGGTAAAACCCGAAACCAAAGTTTCATTTTTTTCCCCCACCTCAAGCACAAAGTCCAGAACTGGTTTCCAAGAAGAAACAAAAGTACTTACGTTTTTCTTCTTTGAGCAAAGCAGTCAGTTTAACTATCTCTGCTAACGCCATCACCTTTTGCAGGCATTTCTCCATTGTGGGGATTGAAGTGTCCTTCCATTTTTGTGCATAAAGTAATCTTGCTTCCGTCAACATATATAACATCAGGGAATTCAATTTTTATTTTATTTTTTTATTTACATTTTTATGCCACCCATCTCCCTGGGTGGCTTACGAAGTTATATATATGAAACAAATAAAAATAGTTCAAATATTAAAAAATTAAAAAGACGCAGATTAACATTTTATTAAGAACTGTATTAGAACCACAAGTAAGAGAACTAAGAGATGGATGGGACAGGGATGAGGTCTTCTTACTCTGCCAGCCATCTCCAGCAGTGAATGTACCCCTTGGGGACCCAAACCAACCAGCAAAGCCAGGTTTTAATACCCTTCCAGAAGGCCAAAAGTGAGGGGGTAGTTCTTACAACGGAAAAGGCTATTCTCCTTGACCCTTCAATTCCTTAGCAGATGGGATGCGTAACAGACCTTTTCTCCTGGCGTGAGTGGGGTGGGCTTATTGGGCATTTTGAACGTGCGCTCAATTGGTCACCAAAATTGTGGTCTTTTATTTCTCCCTTTTTCTCTGGCAGTTAAGAGAAATGCATTGTGTGTACATAATAAGACTAATACATACTTTATTTTTATTTATTTATTTATTTATTTTGTCAAGCATGTATTTTATGACAGATACAAGTGTAAACGTAATTATTAATACATGAAAAGGATATGAATAAAAGAAAACATTAGGACAGGGACGGTAGGCACACTGGTGCGCTTATGCACGCCCCTTACAGACCTTTTATATTGTGTACCTACTCACAGCTAAGAAAACTGTCACCACAGAGCCTTACACAGCCATGCTTCTAGCATAAATTTTCCCTTGGCCTCTATGTTATCTACTCCATATCTTCCTATAGACCAGAGATCTGGCAACTTTAATACTTGTGGACTTCAACTCCCAGAATTCCCCAGCCAGCATGTAATGGCTAGCTGAGGAATTCTGGGACTTGAAGTGCATAAGTCTTAAAGTTGCCAGGTTTGGAGACCCCTGTTATAGCCTTACTTAATCTGCCGCTAATTCTGGATGCCGCTAACTATCTCCAGCCATCATGGCCAATGATAACACACTGTGGATTTTTATTTACTAGACAATTTCAAATTATCAGTATCATTGAGGAACCTGAATTCAGCATACAAGAAACAGCACGACCCATTACTATTATTAAAAGGAAAAAAAATGGTAACAGTTACTACTGTGTTAATCTCACGACTTTACAATTTTAGGCACATTAGAGATATCCCCTACCTGAAAGCCAGCCAATTTGTCAAATACTTTTCTCTCTGTTTTGCTCCCACCTTCAGTAATGCCAGTATTACTCATTTCTAACACATCTGAAACAAGGCATTTCAAGTTATAGGGCTACTATAATTGCAGCATTAGGAAGAGGACATGGCCCTTATTCTTACCTGCTTTTGGAATGAAATACTCAACATTTCATGTACAGCTTATATGGAAATAGCAAATCTCTAGGATACAATTTTTTTTTAAGGAGAGTAGTTTGATTTTGGGATATTTTGTGATGTCCATGCCCATCGTTACACACTATCAGTGCCCAAGTAACCTCTGATGGTAGTTATATTACCGTGATGGCAAACCTATGGTATGTGTGCCACAGGTGGCATGTGGAGCCATATCGGTGGGCACGCAAGCATTGCCCTAGCTCAGCTCCAGTGTGCATGCACATGCCAGCCAGCTGAATTTTGGGCCTTCCAGGCTCACTGGAAGTCAGGAAACAGGCTGTTTCTGGCCTCCTGAGGCTTCCAGGGGTGAGGGGAAGGCTGTTTTCGCCCTCTCCAGGGTCCTAGAAAGCTTCTGGAGCCTGTGGAAGGTGAAAAACGGCCCTATCAGGCCCATCCTGCCATTACGTGCCAAAAGCGGGAGGAGTGGGGGGGGGTTGCACGCGCATGCGCGGGGTGGGTGGGTGCAATGAATTATGGGTGTGGGCACGGCCGCCCCAGATTCCCCCCACTTTTGGCCCGCGACAGCAAAAAGGTTAGCCATCATTGTTATATTATAAATGTGCTAACCACTTGTTCTCAAAACCCCCAAAATGCTGAGATTCATTAATTTCATGTAGATTCAACTGAAACCATTAGTAGGATATAAACAAAAATTCAGTTCTTATATCAACATTTTAATTCAATGAATTTATTTTGAACTGTGATTGAAATGGGATTGAGTACATCAAATATCTGTTTGTCATTTTATGGCACACATTTCCCAGGATGCAACAGAGTTGCCTTCATGTTGGCACATTTCATGGCTCCAAGTACACAGAGGGTTGATGTCCTCCTTTGGTTTCTAGACCCATATTGAATGCAATAGACCTGTTCTTCACCCTTTGGACACTGATTTGGAAGCAGACAGATACAGCGCAACCTTTCTTCTGCAAACAGATAAAAATGTGGGATCAGCTCATCATTTAGTTTTACGGGTAGTCCTCAACTTACAACAGTTCTTCAAGTGACTGTTCAAAGTTACAATGACACTGAAAACAGTGACTTATGACCATTTTTCACACCACTGTTACAGCATTCGCTCGATCATGTAATCAAAATTCAGATGCTTGGCAACTGATTCATATTTATGACGTTTGCAGTATCCAGAATCATGTATTTACCTTTTGCAACTTTCTGACAAGCAAAGTCAATGGAGAAGCCAGACTCACTTAACAACTGTGTTACTTACTTAATGACTACAGTGATTCACTTAACAACTGTGGCTAGAAATGTAGTAAAATGGGGCAAAATTCACTTAACATCTGCCTCATTTAGCAACAAAAATGTTGGGTTCGATTATGGTTGTACATTGAGGATTACCTGTACTTTAGTATTTTGTGTGTATGTGTGAGAGTGTTTTTTTATTTGGTATGCACCAATATCTAAATGCTGTACCAGACCTTTTGCAGTAAGCATCATAAGACTGAAATAAATCTTCTTAACAAGAATTGATTCTTGAGCCATAATAAAACTTCCTAAGTTTTATAAAAACTACCCTTGTAATAGAAGTTGCTGGGGATTTGGGGTTTTTCTGCCTGATTATAAATCAACTCTTGCAATAAGGTTTTGTAGCTGAGATCCACATTCAGTTTTTCAGGAGTGGCAAAAGGGGTTCTCAGCACATGGATGATATAGTAAGGCTATATCGTACAACTTAGATAAGATTGGAATTTTCAGTGTGTATGTGTTTCTGTCCAGAGTGATGAAGATGTGATAGAACTGGGGAGTTTTAATTTTATTTCATCAACAACAACTTCATCTACACCAGGGCTGACAACTCCGAGCTCGTCAGCCATATACATCACACGCTGATCATGCCCACACCCAGTTTAGCGAAAGGGGGAAAAGTCCCGATATGTCACGTGAGGCTGCCGTGACAATGTGAATTTGACACCCCTGATCTACACCTTCTTACTAGACGTTTTAAGGCTTAAAATTGCAATTTCTTTGTTTCCCTGTCTCAATATAATATGAAATAACCCTACCAACCGTTCTTTAGGAGCAGGTATAAAATAGATTCTGTATTTAAATAGTGAGTTTTAAAGCAAGAGCAAAGGAGGTGGAAATTTTAACTTTAACCAGACAAGGCTTTTTTTTTTTTTTTTTTTTTTAACAAGACAAGCCAAATCTTTTTCTGTAGAAATCTCTGCCAAGGCAATTTACCGGAAAGCGCACAATTACTATCATCCTACTGCACAGTGAAAAACAAGTTGCATAACAAACAGTGATCTGGGCATCATTTTCAGGAATATTTCACAACCACACATTTTTGTAATCTTTTCTAAACAAAGCTAAATAAATAAAGGAGGCATTTAAAGGGATTGTTAGATACTATGCTTTTAAGAAGTTTCAGAGGACAGCAACATATTTCCACCCATTTTTCCTTCTCATCACTAAAGCTTTTTGGAGTTTAATGTGTGTTAAATATACAGAGGACTACATTCAATGGTCTTCAGCAAATGTCTTCCGTTGGCTGTCATGTGACCACCAAAATCCTAAATAAATCATCAAAGCACTCCTTTTTCCAGACCTGTATTGTGTTACAGCAATACTCAGGAGTGTAATTTTCAAAAACAGGTATTTCAGTTGCATCATTACATAGAAAGATCAAGCTTTCTCTCATTCATCATTTTACCATCTTCAGGACTGCATGAAATAAAAAATATATGACCCTACTATGATTAATGAATACAAGTCCCCAACAAAGACAACTGAAAAGATACCTTATTCAGAACACTGTTGTAATATTTTGTCAATAAACTAGGAGAAAGGAAGAAACAAGATACAAGACAAAAGCACACCCCACCATACATCAAAAACGTTTCGGAACCTGTAGAATGCAGCTTCTAACATCTGCAAGTGGGCATCACATACATCTCAGAGGCTACCATATGAGGATAAATTATGCATTGTAAAAGTCGCTTGGAGCCAGGGATGAAATCCAGCAGGTTCTGACAGGTTATGGAGAACCGGTAGTGGAAAGTTTGAGTAGTTCGGAGAACCAGCAAATGCCACCTCTGGCTGGCCCCAGAGTGGGGTCGGAATGGAGATTTTGCAATATCCTTCCCCCAGGAGTGGGGAGAGAATGGGAATTTTGCAGTACTCTTCCTCTGCCACGCCCACTAAGCCACGCCCACAGAACCGGTAATAAAAAAAAATGGATTTCACCACCGCTTGAAGCACATACTGTACACTTGTTCTATATCTATTCTAGACTTTTTCTCCATAGGAAGGCTGGTAGTTGTAAAATTCTCCCTTTCTGTGGAGCTTTTAAATGGCCCTTTATCTGGTTCAGCGCTTGGGAAGTCATACTATAGGATGTCTCTTCCCAGAGTAGACTTGGCGAGAAGAGGAGGAGCAAAGTAGATAAGGAGGAAGAAGAAGCAGGGGACATCCCATTGTATCACAGAAGCTGACTTACTGTATGTGAACAATGAGTATTTGATTAACTGAAACTTAATTCCACATATTTTAAAAAATAATAACTTGCATTATTTATATATCTCCATAACCAGAATTATGTACACATTTTTATGCATTTACTTTTTAAAAAAAAATTAAAATCAACATTACAAATAAAAAATTGAAATGTTCAAGAGACCTACCTGAACATCTTTCCCAGTCATAGCATACATCATATCCACAAGGCTCTTTCTTTCTTGCATTTGCTGAAAGATTTGCTCTCTCAATAGCCCACGTCAACCTGGTGTCATCATTGCAAGGTCCATTATGGATAAAATGGACTTGTTCATCATTCATGCACTTTTCGGCCAGAAAATGACAGCTAGGATTTGTAACAGTTTGTTCAGATTGTACATCCAATACACAAATACCTTCTGAGCCGGTGCTGGAGAGCCAGGAAATATAAATGATATATTTGGAGACAATAAGATGCCATTAGTTTTCCTTACTTCCATATTTCTACAATATAATTCATTGCCTGAATAGCAGGGGTGAAATCCAGCAGGTTCTGACAGGTTCTGGAGAACCGGTAGCGGAAATTTTGAGCAGTTTGGAGAACCAGTAAATACCACTTCTGGCTGTCCCCAGAATGGGGTGGGAATGGAGTTTTTGCAATATCCTTTCCCCAGGAGTGGAGAGGGAATGGGGATTTTGCAGTATCCTTCCCCTGCCATGCCCACCAAGCCATGCCCATCAAGCCACACGACGCCCACCAAGCCATGCCCACAGAACCAGTAGTAAAAAAATTGGATTTCCCCACTGCTGAAAAGTCAATATTCAAATATTTTATTGGCCAATGTATCAATGATCTCCAATATTCAAGAGTTTAGCATATTGTGCAACTAAGCCTGTATAATCACCAAGCTTCTCTCCTCTACAATGTCTCTGATGTTAATTTTGACACCATTAACTGGCTCATTAAAAAGAAATTAACATTTTATCCACTCTATTATCCCAATACGCAAAGCTATAAACTCTATATCAGAGTAGGTAGCCCCTTGGAACAATAGTTAACTTTTATAGGACCATTCATCTCCCTTCACCAGCAACTGCTGTGTTTTAAGCAGACAAAAAACATAAATTGCCTGAGCTACAATATGTTTTTGAACCTGAGAGTATTCTAATCAAATTAATGTTTTAGTCTGCTCAATTTATAACAGTAATAACGTTCCTGTGAACCAGCTGATTTCATTTCTTTAGAATGTGCTTAAGTACTGTTTATAATTCTTTCCCCCTGAATACCAGCCAGATATTAACAAGGCCTTAACTTATGAGCAATTTTAAAAACCATCTGTACAAAGGCCAGGGACCACAATTACTACCAGGAGAAAACCAAGCCTCCGAACAGTATTTTGAGTTTTATCAAAAAGAGTACTGGTAATCTCTGCTTTGGAAATGCCCCCATCTGGAGTTTTTGTTTTGTTTACTTGTACTGTGTAATACTTTCTAGGTTAAAATATGTCTGTTTTTTAAGTTTTTCCTTTCGAGACTTTGTTCTGAAATTCTGCAAAACATTTAGTAGCTCAGAGATTTGCAGAGTGCAGGTGAGCTGAAAAATTTTGCAAAATAGCTTTCAGCTCTGCCCCTGAACGCCTTGCAAATGCTTCAATATGACAGCTTATCTCTTTTCAACATCCCAGATATATTCACTGGGACATAATGACCTTTAGAACAAGGTGATATCCTGACGTAGCTCCTCCATTTTATTATTGGTCTTCAGGAGGCATTGAATTTCACCTTACCTTTGCAAACCTTTCAGAAATCACTGAGCCAAATTATTTAATTCAGCTGTAACTGATGAAGTTCAGCACAAATGGTAGCCTAATGAGTACAGGGCCACCTGCTATATACACATATGGTCCCCCAGGGACCTAATAAATTTTCTAATTTTGCTCTCCACCTGTACCTACAAAAACAAGGATGCTTACCCTGCTGAAGAAAAATCAGCTGCCAGCAAAAATAAGAAGGCTGCCAAACTATAGGCAGATTAAAAAATCTGAAATCTGGTTGATGTAGAATATTTCGCACCTATACCTACTTGCAGTCCTCTTCTGGGGATATGCAGACGCAATGGGAATCCACCTCTTTTTTCCCAAGACTGCAATTATCTTTGACCTGAAGTGGCTCACCTAAAGGAGGAATAAAGAGAAAGAGGGAAAAAGTCAGATTTCAAATGAGCCGACAAGCAAATTGTGAGTTTTAGCATCCTAGCATAATCTGAACAAGAAGTAAAAGTTAGATATTTCAACCGGGATCATGCTCAGTCAAGAAAGAACTGTTTATGATGCTTTGAACAGAGTATCATACTCAAGACACACAACCCAAGACACACGTTAATTGGACATGGAAGGCTAGAATTGTACACTCCTCAAAAATCTGCTTCAGTCTACTCTTCATCTAGGCCAGACATTTCTGAGACAACCATTATTTATTTGCTAAGAATTGTTCATCAGACTGTGTAGGGGTCCTCACAACTTTGCTTATCAACACTGGAGGACACAGCTTTGTCACTTTTTGGAGCTATTTTCTTTAAAGTAACATGCTCCGGATCAGGGGTCTCCAACCTTGGCAACTTTAAGACTTGTGGACTTCAACTCCCATAATTCCTCTGGGAGTTGAAGTCCACAAGTCTTAAAGTTGCCAAGATTGAAGACCCCTGCTCTGTATCACTTGGAATGAATTGGCATAGGACTTACTATGAGGCAGCCAAGGGATCTCTTCAAATCTTGTTTAACCTTCTAAAATCTTGCTATGCTTACAATAAGATTGTGTTCTCTTTTGCAAAGAGGTATCTCCCCTTCCACTATTTTTAGACTGAATGTCATTCATGGCAATCGCATGGTCATTCCAAAAAGAGTCAGAAAACAAGCTTCTCTACAAAGAGTAGGTGTAGGCTGCTGCTGTAGGCATGTCAGATCTTTTGAAGCTTTAGAAGAATTCTTGAAATCATTTTGTTCATTTTGAGAAAAAAATAAAATACCAACTAAACATTGCTTATGGTTAATGTTCATCTCACCAAGAATGCTTCTGAAGCCACCTGCTCAAATTTATGTAAAAAAGATCATATCCTCAATAGAAATCCTTAATTCCCTACAAATAGTAGAATAGGTGGTCGGATGGCAATCTGCATTCAGGTTACTGTTTCCCAATTTTGGTATCCTTAATTTGGACCAAGAGTAGACATATTTTATATTTCCAGGGTCAACTTATTTATTTTTTTTTAGTAGAAGATAAGATCTAGTCTGTGGAATCAGCTGCAAAATAAAGGATTGGGTATACATCTAGCAGCAATAAAGACAAAGCACTTCTGAGCATATGCTTCAAATCAGGCTTTCAATAGCAAGTCTGAATTCACACTCTCCTTTTGCACAATTTTCCACAGTTACACTGCTTAGATGGACTAAGTAAGATAACATTTCAGATTTACACCACATTATAGGTTTATTAGTAATTCCCAAAGTATATTCTATCTTTCTTGATGTACAAATATTCCCATCAATAAATCTTCAACACAGAATAGCAAGCAAAAAAAAGAAAAATAACACTAATGAAAAGTTTACAGCAAACATGAAACATACTTTTCCTGCAATCAAGTGAGTTCAGAATAGCAGGGATCCAGGACATTTGGTCCCCACATATGAAAGCCTCTGGGCCTGGAAGACTGTACCCTCTAGGACAGCTCAGGTGGATCTTGTCCCCAACATCATACTGAATTTTAAATGGGGTCACATGGACAGCATTTGAAACTAATGGTCTGTCACAAGCCAACCCTGGAGTTTAAGAAAAAATGTTATGATTTACATATTTTTATAAGTAACAAAACACGATCAGGCAAGATACTCAAATATGTAAGTCTATGCAATATAAAAATATAACCTAAGCATACAAATCAAGCATCAGAATAAAACTAGGATTTTAAAAATCTTCTTATATTAGGACCAAAAATCTAAAAAGCACTCAAATATGGTCTAAAACAAAACAAGAATATTTAGAGAAATTAAAGAGATTTTTAAACAGTAACTGTCCTTAATAGACACATACTACTTTTTTTCTTCTAAAAATACGGGTCATGTGCCCCCACCCTGAACATGTCAGCTGGACCTGGCTGGGAAATTCTTCCTGGGGAATTCTGGGAGTTGGAGTCCACATATTTTAAAACTGCCAAGGTTGAGAAATGCTGCTTTAGCACCATCTTTCCCTAAGTGTAAAATAGCCAGAAACTTGATTTTACTTTTTCTGGATGCTGAGAGAAAATAGAGGTCTATTTAAATCAATATGACTATACCCAGGGGTGAAATCCAGCAGGTTCTGACAGGTTCTGGAGAACCGGTAGTGGAAATTTTGAGTAGTTCGGAGAAGTGGCAAATACCATCTCTGGCTGGCCCCAGAGTGGGGTGGGAATGGAGATTTTGCAATATCCTTCCCCCAGGAGTGGGGAGGGAATGGGGATTTTGCAGTATCCTTCCCCTGTCATGCCCACCAAGCCACGCCCACCAAGCCACACCATGCCCACCAAGCCACGCCCACAGAACTGGTAGGAAAAAAAATAGAATTTCACCACTGACTATACCCCTTTTCCTGTTGAAATATGAACAGCGCTTCATGGCTTAGGGCCAGGGTACTTACGGGACCGCCTTCTGCCACCAATAGCCTCCCACCGGCCAGTTCGCTCCCACAGAGAGGGCCTCCTCAGGGTGCCGTTGGCTAGACAATGCCGGCTGGCGACCCCCAGGAGGAGAGCCTTCTCTGTGGTGGCACCTACCCTTTGGAACAATCTACCCCCAGAGATACGAGTGATCTCCGACCTCCGGACCTTTCGTCGGGCCCTAAAAACTCATCTCTTTCAGTTATCCAGTCTCTCTTGATTTTATGATTTTATGGTTGGTTTTAAATTTTGATATGGATTTTAAATTGATAAATTTTAAACTATGGGCCAAATTTAATTATTTTAAATCTATTTTTAATCGTACTTATGTATAAATGTTTTTTATTTTGGCTGTTCACCGCCCTGAGTCCGAAAGGAGAAGGGCGGTATAGAAATTCGAATAATAAATAAATAAATAAAATATGAAATCTTTCTATTTTTCTTCACCTTACAGAAAAGATGAGATTATGGTAATAAAATTATTAATTATATTTAACCCCATCTTTCCTGTAAGGATTACATATTCTTAACTTTCCTTAAGGAGCTCAGACCTGCATACTTTTTCATACAATCTTATATGATTGATTAGAATTAAGTCATTTTAATTCATGAGTAGGAATTTGAACCAAAGTCTTTCTGCTCTAATAAAGATGTCCTGGCCACTGATTAAATTGGCTCATTCTAAGGGTAACACATGTAGCTGTTTCCTAAGCAACAATAGGATTACCAGGAGTAAAACTGGACTGATAGAGGCCATCTTCTCTTTGGAATAAAATACAACTTTTTTCTATCCTTCTATTGGGGCATACCAAGCGTTGATCTTCCTCTCAAAGAAACTGACACATTACACATTAAAATGCTTAATATTGGACTGGACAAAGCATTTTAGCCTGCACTGCATACTGATAAAGACAACACTATCAAGCCATTTGGATCAGGGCAGTTGAAACTGAGAACTGTATCAATATTTAGTTATGGTTACAGTAAGTTTGTGGGAAAAAGTGGCCCTTTACTCAGAAATCCATCTGACCTCACTGAGTTTAAAGATCCAAACTTATGTTTTCTCATTTCTCCTTTGATGCAATATATTATTAATCATAAGACATTTGATTTACTTTCTTTTTATCCAATGTATTTTGTTTCTTACATTGGCATTCAACATTCTGTTGTTGTGCCCAAGTTTTGTCTGCAAGGCAGCGAAGGAACGGATATCCTGAGCGAAAATAACCACTGAAGCAAAGCACTTCTGCTTGTTCTCCAACATCATAGCATGGTTTTTCATTCTATGAAGTAAATGTTTAGTGCAATAAGTGGAATATTCATTACATGAATTCAAAGTTTTAGATTTTGAAAGCAGTACTGAAACCTACAATAATCTGAGTTCTCATGGGAGCAATAAAAGTATCAGGAATTAAAAAAAATAAATATAACAAAAGAGGGTAGGGATAAAGAGAATGGTCTTCAAAAAAAAAAAAAAGGAAACCAGTTTAGAATAATGGCAGTAGGTTTTTAAAAATACTCCTGGTATTAAGGAAAAAGGTTAATATTCAGCTGAACATTTGATAGTGCATGTCAAAATGGATAACTTTATGAGTGTGCCAAGAGATGAGGGATGTAATGGGCAGCTTAAGATTGATTAAAAATACTCAATATGTAAGTATGAATCACTAAAACTCCTGCCCAGACTTATAGTAGCTTCTATTTTTAAGACAAATTTTCTTTAAAACCAATGGAGGATGCAAGACTTTGCCTTGTCGAAAAGTCCAATGGGAATGGTGCATTCACATTTGTTCCCAGTGGAGTTTGAGGCAAAATTCTTTTATATCTTTAATAGGAGATATTTTGAAGCGAAATGTCTTCAAAGAAAAAACAAGCAAGTCCAGTTGCCTCCTGAAAAAGCACCTTTGGGATAACCAAGACCTGGATGACTGAGAATCGCTACAGACCTTTAGCCATGCAATTTGGGATGAACACCCTTCAAATGGTGTGGGAGTAGGAACGGATTTCCAGAGAAAAAAATTGCAGACTACAGGAACTATTAGCACTACTCAGGTGACCCTGAGGACACAGATAAACATTCAAGTCCTTCAACGACCCTCCAAGAGCCTTGGTAGTACAGTGGTAGTACAGTACACAGTACTTGGTAGTACAGTGGTCTAAGGACCACTGTTATTAAGCTGGTTATTAAGACCAGCTGCCTGCAATTACTGCAGGTTCGAATCTCGCCAAGGCTCAAGGTTGACTCAGCCTTCCATCCTTTCTAAGGTAGGTAAATTGAGGACCCAGTTGTGGGGGCAATAAGATGACTTTGTATAAATATACAAAAGGATGAAGGCTATTGCTGAGCACTAGCCGCCCTGAGTCTCTGGAGAAGGGCGGCATATAAATCAAATTTTAAAAAAAAAGGATGCAAATGACCAGCTGTCTGCAGGAATATAAATCCTTCCATTCCCCGCCATCCAGTAAGAACTGAAGAAGCTTCTTGGATGAGAAGCAAAATATCATCAAACAAAAAACAAGGAAGTCCAGTTGCCTCCTGAAAAAGCACCTTTGGGACAACCATGACCTGGATGACTGAGAATCGCTACAGACTTTGAGATATTTTGAAATAATCTCATTTTAAATTCAATTTTGGATGGCAACCCTAGTTGCTCTCCTTTATATTAATCTTGTGAATCTTTTTCAAGTGGTCTTGTAAGTATATGGCATAAATCAAGATGTCTGTAAATCCATCTATTTACTGGAATTAATTTCTTAGATCTGTCGATCAATTCCTTAATGTCTGTGAATGTTAGAGATTTATCTCTGGAACAGAAGTATCAGGGGTGAAATCCAGCAGGTTCTGACAGGTTCTGGAGAACCGGTAGTTGAAATTTTGAGTAGTTCAGAGAACCAGCAAATACCATCTCTGGCTGGCCCCAGAGTGGGATGGGAATGGAGATTTTGCAGTATCCTTCCCCTGCCACGCCTACCAAGCCACACCCACAGAACTGATAGTAAAAAAAAAAATGAATTTAACCACTGAGAAGTATGAATAGTACATTCATCTTTTCCAATATAGCACACTCCAGAAATTCGACTCCTCAAATTCCTCTCTGAGAATTCTGACATGTAAAGGATGGAATTGTGATAGCATCTCACAAATTCATTTCCAGGAGCACCTCATCTCAAGAGCCTAAAAAGGCACTTTAGCATTAGTGCTATTTGGTGAAAGATTGGGATCCACTTAGAGAAGTGTTGAAGTCTTTTCTAGTCCATTAAATGCTGCTAACCCTGATGAATCCATTTTCTGGTGCTTCTGGAGTGAAACATCCTGTGTCACATTTAGGTTTTATCCGGCCTTCTTCAGTATAGTCATCATCGTTTACACAAGTAGCACCCCTATAATTGAAACAACGTCCAATTAGGAATTCATTAAAAAGATACACATAAAGCAAAAAGTCATAGATAATCAGTGGATTGCAAACAATCTTGAGACGCCAAAAACCAATATCCAATTCTGTTGCATTCATTTTACATTTGGCAATGCCCCAACATCTAGGAGGGATGTTTATAATTTTCTGATTTGCTCTGCCTACTTCTTTCAGATTTAGAGAGTTCTTGGAAAATGGCTTCCTCAATTTCTCAATGCTGATAGCAAAACTCCTTGGGCTGCATCCATATCAGTGGTGGGTTGCCCCCGGTTCGGACCGGTTCGCAAGAATCAGTAGTAAAACCGGCAGAAGGCCCCGCCCACTGCCCTGGATGTCGTCATCGCTGATCTGCGCATGCGCAGAAGCGATCCCGTTGCAAACCAGTAGTAAAGGTAAGTAGAACCCACCCCTGATCTATATGAAGGATCTCAAAAGTGACATTTATCTTTCTTTAGCAATCACCTTTTCAGGTGTTAACGGGGTCTATCATACTTTATATCCTTTATGCTCTTTTAAAGATTCACTTTCTATATTTTGCGATCTTGGACTTCCTCATCTCACAAAGACATCTGGAGGGCCACATATTTCTTCCCCTCTTTTCTTGTATAATACCCAGTTGGGTCCTGAGATCCTTGGCCGTGAACATCCAAAAGGGAGAGCAATAGTGGACAAAGGTTAAAACATGCATCAAAATGGGGGAAATTTGCATGCAATATCAAGATGCACATTTTGTTACTTTAACAAAATTGTGGCTTCCTAGAATACCCCTGGTATTTTATAATAGTACATGTCTTACTGGCTTTTAAACATTGAAATAAAACACCGTTCCTCATCTTCAGCGTCACCTTTACAAGGTTTTCCTCCATTCATGGGTTCAGGATTGTTGCATAGCCGAGTTCTTTGCCTCTTAAAAGATGCATCACAAGCACTCCATGCAGACCAGCAACTCCAGTAGCCGTCTACTGCAACTGGAGTGCAAAACAACACAATCCTTTTGCAGCCTTAGCCATATAGTCTTGATATGAGTAAAAGAGTCTACCCATATTTCAGCTTTCCCCAGTTTCTTGAATCTCAATTGCTACTACCGTCTAGCCTGCATCAGTAATTTTTACTGCAATACTTACAGTGTGTAATCTGATGGAATTCCAACACAGTAGTGGTGTTAATGTGCATTAATGTGTAAAGAATTTTTTTTTAATTTTCAAAGGCATTCTATCCTACGTTAACTTAACTACTATTATACTGTGTCTGAGTTGCTGATTGGTTTTTTTAAAAATGTAATTTAAAATTCCTTGCAGCATTCTGTTCTGATTTTATTTTAGTTTACTAAGAAATGAATTTCTTTATTTTTTTTATTTAAATTTGAATTTATTTCCTATGATATTTTTAAAGATTTTCCCCAATTTGAGGAAGAAAAAGATGGAGAAAGTGTATGTCCTATAACTCATGGCAGTCTTAAGGCATTTTCTATGCAAACAAGTTAGGTAAATTACTAAAGTAAAGACCCCCAGAACCTGACTCTCAATTATTCATGCATGTCCTCATGTTGTTTTCTTTACAACAGTAAAGAAATTGTTTCCAATTTCCTTTTTCTGGAATGCTTTTTTGACTTCCTAGTATAAACTACAGCTATGTTACCTCCAGTGATGAAAGAGAAAAGAGAGAGCGAAAGAGAAAGAAACAACAAAAGTCCATAAGGTCAGTTCAGTATTGTTATCAAGCCACTAGAAATCCATTGTATAGTCAGAAGGCTGAATTGAACCTTATCCTTTAAAAATTCTCCACCCTCCCATTACTTCTGTCGTGTCTTTTGAGCATGGAAATGAATTCATATACCTTTTCTCAATGATTTAAAACTGCTATGTAAGATACAATAACATTATATGACATATAATAACATATATCCGTGATGGCGAACCTATGGCACGCGTGTCAGAAGTGGCACACAGAGCCATCTCTCTGGACACGCCAGCTATTGCCCGTTGCTCTTCCCAGTCCCGGCGCACATGTGCGTGCAGGCCAGCTGGTCTTCGCGCACGCAGAAGTGCCAGAAACCAGAAGAGCAGCTCCCTGGTGTGCATGCACGCGCCAGGAAGCTGAGCTTCTGGTTTCTGGTGCGTGCATGTGCGCCTGTCAGCTGGACTTCGCATGCACATTTGCGCCAGAAACCAGAAGACCAGGTGGCTGGTGCGCATGCGCATGCTGGAAACCGGAAACTGAGCTTCCCGGTGTGCACATGCGCGGCGAGAAAATGCTCTTCCAGTTTGCGGCACTCCCATGCGTGCACACCAAAGAGCTGCTCTTCTGGTTTCCGGCACTCTCCCATGTGCACATGCTGCCATTTCGGCACTCGGTGCTGAAAAGGTTTGCCAACACTGACATATACCATAATATTTTGCCCATATTTTTACTTGTAGGAGAAGAGTAGGGTAGAGAATGGTTTTGCTCATTTTAGTTTTTGCCCAAAATGAAATTTGACTTTCTAGGTCTTTTAGCTACCTTATTTATACCGTGGCAAAAACTGAAACTTCAATGCAAGGCACCATTATTTTTGTGCAAACCTTGTTATCTTCATGGGCAATTATAAGACAGAGCTGTTGTAAAAATACCTGATTTGTAGTCAGGCGCTCGCAGCTCACAGTTGCTTCCATATGTTCCAGACTTACATACACAGAGGCATCCAGTTTCTGATAAAACTGGTTGAGCATTATTGGGGCACGGGGCACAGTGACAGGGGTCATATTTGCTCATATATTCAGAAAAGGCCTTCCTGAGATTAAAACGTTTTGTTGCAGAGCATGGGAAATTCTTCACCAAATCCACAATGTGGGAAACCTAAGAAAGAATTATATATTCAATTTCTCAAAAGTTGTCCTAGCATATTTCTTAAATAAATAAAAACAGTTTGGGTCTTCTATCTGGGAATGACTGTTACCTTCTGCAGGCTCAAAAGCGTAACATCAGGAGAGGCATACAATTTAGTCATTACCACCTCCACAAATAAAATAAAAGAGGATATCACACGATCTCACAAGATCTCACAAATGAAAAAGGTCTTCTGCAGTGACAACATAAGCCTAAAACTGAAAATGAGGCTTGTCAGATATTACATCTTTTCTATCCTGCTCTATGGAGTAGAGAGTTGCTCTCTAACAGAAAGCCACTTGAAGAGACTAGAAGCATTTGAAATGTGGATTTACAGACGGCTGTTATGTATAAGATGGGTTGACAAAATCACAAATGAGGAGGTGATAAATCGCCTGGGAAAGCCAAGGGAAATCATCAAAACTATTAAAAAGCGAAAGTTAGAATATTTTGGACATGTGATGCGACACTTGGAAAAATATGGCATACTTCACTTAATCCTCCAAGGAAAGATTGAAGGCAAACGAGGTCCAGACAGAAGAAGAAGATCATGGCTTCAAAATCTAAAGGTCTGGTTTGGACAAAACTCAGCAGCTCTTTTTCGTGTGGCTGCTGATAAAAATAGGATCACCCCAGGGGTGAAATCCAGCAGGTTCTGACAGGTTTTGGAAAACCAGTAGCAGAAATTTTGAGTAGTTTGGAGAACTGGCAAGTATCACCTCTGGTTGGCCCCAGAGTGGGGTGGGAATGGAGATTTTGCAATAACTTTTCCCCAGGAGTGGGGAGGGAATAGGGATTTTGCAGTATCTTTCCCCTGGAGTGGGGTGAAAATGGAGATTTTGCAGTATCCTTCCCCTACCATGCCTACCAAGCCACGCCCACCAAGTCACAGCACGCTCATCAAGCCACACCCACAGAACCGGTAGTAAAAAAATTTGGATTTCATCACTGGATTACCCATATGATTGCCAACATCTGATGATGGATATGGCACAAGAAGAAGAATCACAAGATCTGACCATTTTAAATAGTATAGCATTCATTCAAAATATGCTACATCCTCTTTTTCTTCTTCTTCTGTACATGGGAGCTTTGGCCCTCGCAGTAGGACATTCTGTTTTCCTCTTGTCTTTTGTCACTTACCTCAAAATCAATCACAATTGGATTGTTCTTGGCTGATTCCAGCCACTCATTAAAGATCTCGTGTCCTGGCAAAGAGCCTTTCCGTTCCCAGGCTAGAGCTGCAGCATACCGTGCCTGCCCACCCTTAACCAGGGAAATGGACCGTTCAGATGACTTCAACATGGAACCTAAAATGGATGAGTTACACAGTAGAGTTATATATTTCATTGCATGGAGAGGTGGTGGATTTGCTGGCTGAAGGAGAGGGAGGGGCCTCCAAGGGGAGTAAAGAGACATTCCAGGTTGGAGTTGGTTCGGGGGAGAAACATCTGAGGTTTGTATCTTCCATTTCCCAAGGAGAAGCAGCCTTGCAAGTTTCTTGTAATATAGGTGGTCAGCAATAAAGGATCTATTTGGGACTATTGACGGAGTGGTTCTGGTTGCTTATACTGGACAATGGATCTTTATTAAGAGCCACTAAAGTCTGGGGAATGAGAAGAGCCTAACATATAGACAATATAATGTTTTGTGTTTGTGTATGTGTATGTGTTTGTCTGTGGGTGCATTGTATGTTTTAAGGGGTAAAAGAAGTGCCTTAAACTTCTGGAACCCATAATAAATTGATTGGTTGGTTGGTTGGTTGAAAATATTGTTTACCTTCATGGCGTTCTGTAAGCTTATTTTGTCTGCAATACTCATGATGTTCAGTTGTCTTAACGAAGAAAACATAGTTCTGTGTTTCTGTTCGTACACAATTTTCCATTTGTTCTGTTGTTAAACCTAGGTATAATTCAATAGTAAAAACAGAAAATAAAATTTCTCAAATTATCCAAGTTGTCAAGCTTTATAGTACCCAATCTTTAAAAATGACATTGCCTGGCCAATCTACAATTTTTCCACCTTTACGTTTTATTTATTTATTTATTTATTTTCGTCAAGCATGTATTAGATAACAGATATAAGTATAAACGTAACTATGAACACATGAAATGGATACGAATTAAAGGGAACATTAGGACAGGGACAGTAGGCATGCTGGTGCGCTTATGCACTCTCCCTTTACGGACCTCTTAGGAATGGGGTGAGGTCGGCAGTAGACAGTCTAAGGGTAAAGTTTTGGGGGTTTGGGGAAGAAACCATAGGGCCAGGTACTGCATTCCAGGCATTGACCATTCTGTTACTGAAGTCATATTTTCTGCAATCGAATTTAGAGCAGTTTACCATAAGTTTGTATCTATTGTGTGCTCCTATAATGTTGTGGTTGAAGCTGAAGGTAGGACATTGTAGCAGATAATTTTATGTACTACACTTAGGTCGGACCGAAGACAGAGAAGTTCTAAGTTGTTTAAGCCCAAAATTTCAAGGCTGGTGGCATAAGGGATTCTGTTGTGAGCAGAGGAGTGGAGGATTCTCTTCGTGAAATATCTCTGGACTCATTTAATTATATTAATGTCCGATATACAGTGCGGGTTCCAGGCAGATGAGCTGTATTCAAGAATTGGTCTAGCAAAAATTTTGTATGCCCTAGTTTGCAGTTCAATATTACTGGAGAAGAAGCTACGCAAGATTAGGTTAATAACTTTTAATGCTTTTTTGGCAATGCCGTTACAGTGAGCTCTGGCACTCATCTCGTTTGAGATGAGTACTCCAAGGTCTTTGACAGAGTGAGGATCATCTGCTAGGTCGTATCTCCCCAGCTTGTATTTTGTGTTTTGATTTTTTTTTTGCCAATGTGTAAGACAGAGCATTTGTTGGTTGAGATTTGGAGTTGCCAATTATTTGACCATTCTGACAAATAGTCTTTTTGTAGGGTAGCAGCATTGTCGGTGGTATTGAATAGTTTTACATCATCAGCAAAGAGGACGCCGTTGCTTATAATATGATCGCAAAGGTCATTCATGTAAAGTATAAAGAGTGTGGGTCCTAAAGTTGCAAGGTATACAGGGGTATCTGAGGAAGGGGAAGGAGTAGTAAAAATTCAATGACTGTGTAATTGAAGTCCTGCCTTATTTTTAATGCCCATTAGAGATAAGACTTTGAGTGCATCATTGTGGCTGCCATCTTGATTTTTTTATTCTATATATAAACCCCTAGAAATATTTTTTTAATTTTTTTTAGTATGTTTAAAGGCTTTTTATTTGTACACTAAAAATCTAAGTGTTTCTTATCCCTATTCTCATCCTCCAATTGCCACATGGACACATTAAATTGAATTTTTTAATTTAGTTTTCTTAATGAGGCTTGGGAAAGGCAACACCTGGGAACCTTTCCCATTAGGAGCTACAGTTTTCATTAACAAAGAGAAGAATCCAAATTCAGCATCACGAAATATTGTGAACTAAAACAGAATGCAATAACAATTGCATTTGATTATTCCTTATTTATATGATTTATCCTCGGGATTTTATAATAGCACTAACCATAAGATAACATGTAGATTTCTTTATTCCTATTGCTTTAGGTTTTATTAAATTTCTATACTTCTAAGTATAGATTTCTAAGCTTTGCTTGTTGGATTAATTACAATCGAGAGACCCACCCCCCGTTTAAATTCTTGATTTCTAAGCAAATCACTAGAAACAAAAGATAAATATTTTATACTGCATTTTTAGCACCAGGGGAGGGCTTCAAAAATGTTAGCAAGAGGTTCTCTGCCCAGTTGCTGGTTGGGCATGGCCATAGTGGGCGTGGCCTAGTCGGCCTCCTGCACCATGGCAGGGGGGGCATTTTTGCCCTCCGCGGGCTCCTGAGACATTCCTTGAGCCTCTGGAAGGGCAAAATGGCCTCTCCAGGCTCTGGAGGCCCTCTGGAGGCCGTTTCTGGCCTTCCTGAAGTTCCGGTAGGCCCGTTTTTGCCCTCCCCAAGCCTCTGCGCACGTCCTGCACTTACCTGCATCCAAAATGGGCTACGTGGGGACTTCTGGGAGGGGCGGGGTGGGGCCAGCCAGGAGTGGGATTTGGGGGTCCTGCGAACTGCACAGAACCTTAGCTAGAGGTTCTCCCAAACCCCTGCGAACCCCCAGCAGCCCACCCCTGTTTAGCATCCACATCATATGGACCCACATACCTGAATTTTTTATTTCTTCCTCACTAAACTGGTACAGGAGGTCATATTTGGCTCCCAATAAACCAGATGTGTAATAATGTGTCCCAAAGTCATCGAAAATCCGGCTGTAAAGGGCATAGTTGTATTCCAGAGGCAAATTGTTGAGAGACTTTAAGAATATCTCAGAAAGCTGCAGATCTTGCTCTTTCACCATGAAATTTGAAACTGCAAACACCTTATGGATCCTAATATAATTGGAAGACTTAGGAAACATAACAAAATAGAGATGGAATGTTATTATTTCTTGTGTTTTCTTTTTCTCTGTGACCTTTTTAGGTTTTTAAGCCTTGTGTGTAATTCAGAGCAATTTGTATGAGATAGGTGGCCATATGTGTTATATAAATAAATTACATAAATAAATACAGGTAGTCCTCGACTTACAACAGTTCACTTAGTGACCAAAGTTACAACGGCACTGAAAAAAGTGATTTGTGACTGTTCGTAACATCCCCATAATCATGTGCTCAAAATTCAGATGCTTGGCAATTGACTCATACTTATGACAGTTGCTGTGTCCCAAGGTCCCCTTTTGCGACCTTTTGACAAGCAAAATCAATGGAGAAGTCAGATTCACTTAATAACTGTGTTACTAACTTATCAACTGCAGCAATTCACTTAAAAATAGTGGTTAGAAAGTTTGTAAAATGGGGCAAAATGCACAGCAATTGTCTCACTTAACAACAGAAATGTTGGGCTCAATTGTGGTCGTAAATCGAGGACTACCTGTGCAATCCGTTTTTTTTTTTTAATTTGATTTATATGCCGCCCTTCTCCGGAGACTCAGGGCAGTTTACAATGCGTTAAGCAATAGCCTTCATACTTTTGTATATTTATACAAAGTCAGCTTATTGCCTCCACAAACTGGGTCCTCAATTTACCTACCTTAGAAAGGATGGAAGGCTGAGTCAACCTTGAGCCTGGGGAGATTAGAACTTGCAGTAATTGCAGGCAGCTGAATGTTAATAACAGGCTATTAGCCAGCTGCATCACCAGGCCCTTTTAGCAGTTGCTAAAGAGATTGGTTCTTCTATGGTCTGGACACCTGTCAAGGGCCTCATCTAAGAAGAGGCCCATTGTTGAACTCTTTCTGTTCATTTCTCTTCCCTCTGCTGGTTCCATTTTAAGTAATGATGCAGATGAAGTCCAAGAGAAAGCAGATAGCAATAGCAATAGCACTTAGACTTGTATAGCACTTTACAGTGATTTACATCCCTCTCTAAGCAGTTTACAGAGTCAGCATATTGTCCCCAACAATCTAGGTCCTCATTTTACCGACCTCGGAAGGATGGAAGGCTGAGTTAACCTTGAGTCGGTGAGATTTGAACTGCCAAACTGCAGCTAGCAGTCAGCTGAAGTAGCCTGCAGTACTGCATTCTAACCACTGCGCCACCTCGGCTCTGGATGGACAGTAGTGCTCCAGGCAAAGAGTTCCCAAAACCTAGAATCAAACCTGCACATGCCTCCATTTCTCCCCTAACCTCTGTTTTGAGAAACATGTAAACAATGGAACTGGTAGCAGTGGGTAATCTGAGGAATACTGAGAATGAGGATCAAGGGATGACATTTGCAGGTTTATGTTAGCCAGCAGAATTCAAGCTCTATGTCCACTGTCAACCCTGGAGTGAACCTGGTTGAGGCCCTCTTGGAGGCTTCAAAGTTATCACACAAACAGAGAGAGGGGGAAAATAGTTAGACAGGGTTCTGTAGCCAAAACAATAAAGTTTTCCTGTGGGAACCAAGGATATTCTCACAGGTGGCTGGCCAGACGAGGAGTGAAGTAACCAAGCAACCAGCCAGAGATTGGATTGGACAGCGTGACCAGTGACTTGGGGAAAGGGGGAAACTTTTACTTTTTAAATAGGTGAAAACTGCGGGAACTTTAGTGTCGACTTTCACCAGTTGTGCCAATATGATGTATCCAATAAACCTGTTCTCTGAGGAACCTGCCTGCCTCGGAGTTCTGATTTCTATGGATACCTTACTTGGAACGTTGACATCCACACTATAAGGGAAAAGTGAATGAGAAATCTACGGCTCACCAGATGTGGTTGAACCACCACTTCAAAGAAACCAAATAAACATGGCTGATGCTGACAGTTGAGAATAAATACATTGAGAAACCCAAATAATTGGTGATGAACACACCAATGGAAGACTTGAAATACCAAGTTAGGGCTAAATTATAATGGAGAAAATCTATATCTGTGGTCACTAGGAGTCAAAAATGAGTTGATAGCAGGGGTGAAATCCAGCAGGTTCTGGAGAACCGGTAGTGGAAATTTTGAGTAGTTCGGAGAACTGGCAAATACCACCTCTGGCTGGCCCCAGAGGGTGGGTGGGAATGGAGATTTTGCAATATCCTTCCCCCAGGAGTGGGGAAAGAATGGGGATTTTGTAGTATCCTTCCCTTGGAGTGGGGTGGGAACGGAGATTTTGCAGTATCCTTCCCCTGCCACACCCACCAAGCCACACCACGCCCACCAAGCCACGCCCGCAGAACTGGTAGTAAAAAAAATTGGATTTCACCACTGGTTAATAGCATACAATTAATCAGATAAAAGTAATTGGGTATTGGAAATAATTTCACAATAGGAAGGACCAAGTTGTGCACACCGTCATTAAATGGGACCTTAAATTTTAAGCAAAATAATGATGTGTGCACACAAACCAACATCTCTCTTGGAGGAAACTTCCACTGGTGCTGGCTACATTTTTTAAAAAAGAAGAGCAGCTGAATCAGCTGAAACTGCAACAGGATACTAAGTCAACATTAAGAAGTCTTTACTGAAATTTTGAGGATGAAATTGTCAAAAGGTTTGTGCAAAATATTCATTTTAATTCTCTTCCAAGTTGAGAGGGCTGAGATTTCAAGTTGGTAGATCAAGCATTGCATTCCTTTTTGTTAATATATTGCAATGCTCTGTCTGCCATATTGTCAATTTTGACTCCACCCACCTACCCAAATACCACTACTTCCAAGTGCTTATAGCAGAACATCATAGTAGCAATAAAGGTCATGCAAAAAAGAAATACAATATTTAATCATCTATATTACCACAGCAGCAAGAATAATCTATGCTCAGAATTGGAAAAATGACAATATACCATCCAAAGAAAATCTGATTAGAAAAGTTTTGGAATGTGCGGAGATGGATAAATTAACAAAGGAGATACAAGAAAAAGAGGAAACAGAATATTATTTAGTGTGGGAGAAATGGAATGAATGGTTGGAGGAGAGAGATAAAAGGAAGGGGAAAATTAAATAATGGTAGAAATAGGAGTTGAAGTATAATTGTTAATATGAGGAAACAAAAATTGTAGAAATGAAAGTGGGTATACAGGTATTGTTATGTATATATCATGTTTTCCCAAAAATAAGACCCTGTCTTATATTTTTTTGAACCCTGAAATAAGCGCTTGGCCTTATTTTTGGGGAGGTCTTATTATTTTGGGGCACATGGAAGAAACCAGAGGAAATGGTGGGGACCGGCTTTGCATGCATTTAAATATTTTCAGGGAGGGCTTATTTTCAGAGGGAGCTTATTTTATTGCAGGTGCTCAAAAGCCCGATTGGGCTTATTATCAGGGGATGTCTTATTTTAGGGGAAACAGGGTATGTAAATTAAGAAAAATTAGGAGTATACGTATAAATGATATAGTAGAAATAAGGGAGGGAAAAAACTGTATAACTATGAAATTTTTGTTGGATGCAAAACTGTTGAAACAGAAAAAGTGTTAAAGCTTTCCTTTTGTTTGTTTTTTTAAAAAAGTTTAATTAAAAAAAAAAGACTATACAACAGTGGCCCCCAACCTTTATAGCTTGGCAGCCCGGTGGGTGGGGGAGAGAGGGGAACCAGCCCCCCGCTCACCCAGTCAAGCTACACACATCTGTGCACCAGCCAGCCACTCGCACAGCCTGGTTCCGAACAGAGCATGGGCTGGTAGTGGGTTGTGACCTAGGAGTTGGGGGTTGGGGGACCCCTGCAATATTAGTTGTCTTCAATTAGCAACTGCCTCATTTACCTTCATTCATAGTTACAAGAGTGATGAAAAATGTCCACTCCTCACATTTATAACAGGAACATTTTAAAGGAAAGGAATGCTGAAATCATACCATAAGTATGATTTACCGTTGTGGTTTCACTTAGCTTTGCTTAACGACCGAGCTGCCAATCCCAATTGCGGTCACTGAGTGAGGACTACCTGTAATATAGAAGGTGCTGACTTCCAAGGATACAGATTCTTACCATTTTTTGGGATGCTTTCATGGCTTGGTTGAACTGATAAGATGAGGCTGATGTTGTGGTTGATATTGAGCCCCAAAAATAGGGGATTCCACTAGTACTCCTATGATTATGCCAAGAAGAGGAGGTTTTATCATGAGAACGGACCAAGGATGTTAAGCTGGTGTAGAAATTTGTTATCACATCATCTTCTTGAACTTCCACCTATCAACAGAGATTTTTATAATTATAGAGGTGTTTTGGGAGGGGAGGCAGCAGAATGAAAAGCCATCAAAAATATTTTTTTTAGTTTTTTAAAAAAATAATTAGGAAAAAAATTTTTTTTAAATGTGCAAAAATGTATACAATTTCAGGGATGGGCTGCTGGGGTTTGCAGGGGTTCAGGAGAACCTCTAGCTGAAATTCTGTGCAGTTTGGAGAACCCCCAAATCCCACTCCTGGCTGGCCCCTCCCACCCCGCCCCTCCCAGGAGTCCCCATGTGGCCCATTTTGGATACAGGTAAGTGCCGGACGAGTGTGGAGGCTTGGGGAGGGTGAAAAACGAGCCTACTGGAAGTTCAGGAAGGCCAGAAATGGGCCCATTTGTGGCCTTCAGAAGGCCTCCGGAGATTGGGGAGGCCGTTTTCACCCTCCTGGAGGCTCGAGGAAAGTCTCCCCCCGCCCCCGCCATAGTGCAGGAGGCCGACTAGGCAACACCAACCATGGCCACGCCCATGCAGCAACTGGGCAGAGAACCCCTTGCTAAAATTTTTGAAGCCCACCAGTGTACAATTTCATATATGAACACTCAGAGAGACTTAGAGATTGCAAGTAAGCATGTAGGAGTGAAGGTTGAGTCATGAAGTAGGTGAGGAATGGGGTTTGTGCCATTGGGACAAAATTGTGTTTGGGCTGGCTATTTTTTTCCATGCCTCGGTCTCTTCATCTGCATACTGAGATAGCAATAGCATTTAGGCTTATATACTGCTTCATAGTGCTTTACAGCCCTCTCTAAGCCATTTACCCAGTCAGCCTATTGCCCCCAACAATCTGAGTCCTCATTTTACCCACCTCGGAAGGATGGAAGGCTGAGCCAACCTTGAGCCTGGTGAGATTCGATCTGCCAAACTGCTCAGCAGAAGTAGCCTGCAGTACTGCACTCTAACCACTGTGCCACCGTGGCTCCTACTAGTGATATTCCCACTAAGCACCTGATTGATCTGCTCAATGTTAAATAGGTTCTCTTTTTTTGTTGTTGCTTTAATACAACAAAAATGAACATTCCCATGAGGAGAGGCATGTTCCAGTCTACCAAGGACTGTTATTCAATAGGACCCTTTTGTTTCAAGAACAAAGGAAGAGAGCTTTTGTGACATCATTCCTCCCATGGTTAGACTGGCCTCCATCCTGCTCTTTTGGAAGGCTCTTAATACATCTTCCATTTCTTAGGTGGATAGCTAAATGGAGAGATAAACCTCCATAGGAGAAAAGTTGGTGAGTATAGACTGAAGTTGTTCAGTGGCTAATATAGCGTATACTATATACAGGCTTATTGAAACTTTTTAAATCACCTCAAAAGTTATGTTGTAGAGGTTAGCAGGTAGACGATATCTAGTTCTTTGGTTTTCACTTTTCAGCATAACACAGCTACCGTTATTGAATGAATAATCAAGGACTTCTCCACGGGTTTCTCCAGCCAGGATATGATACCTAGAATCATCATTGTAATAAAAGAAAGACAGTCAGATCAATGATAAACAATTCTGACCTCTCATGTGGGTTACTGCAACGTGCTCTATGTGGAACTGCCCTTGAAGTGATTTCCAAAATGGTTTCAACTGAGGCAGAATGTGGTAGCATGGGTAATCAGTGGTGTAGTTATGAGGTGCACCAAAAGCATTGTTTGTCAGTATTCTTTTCGGTGCAATTGAAGGTGCTATTTTTTTTTTAACCTTTAAATCTCTTCATGCCTTTGGACTAGTTACCTGAGGAACCTTCTTTCCTCAGTTATTTCTACCCATCTGATCCAGCCAGGCAGTCTGGGCATGCTCTGAGTCCCATCAGCCAAAAAATAGTCATTGGCCCAGGGCAGAGGTGGGTTTCAGCAGGTTCTGACCAGTTCTGGAGAACCGGTAGTGGGAATTTTGAGTAGTTCGGAGAACCGGTAGTAAAAATACTGACTGGCCCTGCCCCCATCTATTCTCTGCCTCCCGAGTCCCAGCTGAAATGGGAGGAAATGGAGATTTTGCAGTATCCTTCCCCGGCCATGCCCACCAAGCCAAGCCATGCCCACCAAGCCACGCCCACAGAACCAATAGTTCCGCCCAGGGCCTAGAAGATGTGCCTTTTCTGTTGTAGCATCCCCCTTGTGGAATGTTCTCCCTCCAGAGATCAGAATGATCCTGACTTGATGGCTTTTTGTAAGGCCCTAAAAATGTAGTCCTGTGCCTGGCCCTGGCCCTGAGTGTGTGTAGGGCCACTGCTTCTTGGCTGTATTACTGATATGGGTTTTATTTTGTTCAGCTGCTTTGCACTTTAATTTTTGTAATCTTTATAATTATTTTTTATTTTATTTTAATTCAGTTCACCACCCAGCGTCAATAGTTGAGAGAGGCATCGATATAAATTGGTTGGATAAACAAACAAACAAACAAACAAACAAACAAACAAGCCCACATGTGCTCCCAGACAGCTCCCATAGTGGGCACCACTACCTTTCCTATCAAATTTTACAAAGTACATTGTAATTTATTAAAATTAATAGAAAGCAGGTATTCTGAAACACTTCTATCGTTTATTTGGACCTACAAAATTCAGACTGGCATGAAAGAGAACATTCTGGAGGGATTGAGGGAGTCAAAGCGATGGCTGCAACCAAGCAACCAGTGCTCCACACTCTTTTGATGTGCATCAGTCATAATCACAGCCACCATCTTGACTAGTGGTACCATAATTTTCTATGGGTTCCCTTGTTGTTACCACTTTACGGATGATATAAGCAAGAATTTGCTTATCCAGGGAATCCATCACTCCATAATATGCCCCTAGCCCTTTAAATAAAGACAGCACCATCTAGCAATATTGTTATATAAGGATGAATGATGGGAGAAGCATGTAAGGGTGGGAGAGTTTTCTGCTAGCTCAAGGACTACTAGATAACATTGTTTCAATAATGGAGAAGAGATCTTCATGTACATTACCCGAGGCCCATGAGTTGCACGCTGGGTATGCTTTCCAATGTTGACTTGCAGACAGCCTTTATTTTCCGACAATTTTGTTCATCTGAATTGTCTCCACAGTCATTTTCTCCATTACATTCTAGCTTCCTGGCAATACAGCGTCCTGTTTTGGAAAAATCAAGGCGGCTTTGTCAGTTTCAGACACAGAATCTAACACTGACTTTATGGCATTGCTCAGAGCAGGCAGGTATGGTGAGTTCCCCACCTTAATCTTAAAGTAGCATTGCCTTAGCTTGGTCAAGAGATGGCAGCAAAGAGACAGAAGATATTGGCTCTTTGGTGCTGTCTAGTGGATGAGACAGGTTTTGGAACTCAGATATGGCAGTCATAACTCATAATCTTATAATCTCTCCAAAACTGGAATTCAAAAACTTTAGAAAACAGGTAAAGGGGAGCATGAAAACATTATTAGGAAACACCATTGCCCTGGTTAAATGGGAAAGGAGCCACTTTGCTGTAGTGGTTAGGGCACCAGGCTAGAAGATTATGAATAAAAGTTGGCTGGGTAACTTTGGGCCAGTTAGTATCTCCAAGCTCAACTACATGGGGTTGTTATTGTGAGGAAAATAGAAGGAGGAAGGAATATTAGATTTGTTTATTGCCTTAAGTAATAAAGATGAGATAAAAAAAATATAAAATCTAAATCTAAATGAGCACAGAAAGGACGTAAATGAGTCATTCTGATTGCTTGGGGGAAAACATGTAACTGCTTTTGATAACACCTAAGTGGAATTTTATATGGACAAGTCATGTGGTTGGAGTCATATTTTATTAGTTTCAAGTTCAGAATTTAAAGAATGATTAAAAGGAAACCTTTGTTTTAATGAACCAATATAGGGAAAATGTTGCCCATTTAAGAATTGCCATTAAAAATGAATGGGATGTTATGCATATTTATTTTACTAGCTGGACGCTTGTGCTTCGCTACAAAACTATGTGATTGGGCATGATAAATTGAAACTTAAAACCTGAAACGTAATGTAGAATGTGTAACGCCATAGCATCAGAGCATGTTAATATAAGGCAACTGGCAGTTGGAACAGAGGGGGAGGGTCCCAGCCTGCAGGCCGGATGAGTCACGTGCTGGCCACGCCCATGCCCAGTTTAGTGAAGGAGTAGCATCAGAGCGTGTTAATATAAGGCAACTGGCAGTTGGAACAGAGTCCTTTTCAGGTGGGGAGGGGGAGTAGAACATCTAACTCCTTAGCATCAGAACATGTGAATATAATACTGTATATGAAATACTAATGATCTGATGGTCATTTCGAAAAATCCTTTCTTAGCAAGCACCTAGGAGCCAAGAGGAACATACGTGCCAAATTTCAAGTTTATAGGCTTTACCATTCTGGAGATTTTGTGATAAGTGAGTGGTATTTGACTTATATATATAGAAGATTCGTTTTACATATTTTAGGCTTGTGTGAAATGGGAATGGGATTTTGCATATGTTATGGATAATATTTTATGCAAGATACATATTTTCATATTTGTCTGAGAGCCGTGGTGGCGCAGTAGTTAGAATGCAATACTGCCGGCTACTTCTGTTGACTGTCGGCTGATTGCAATTTGGCAGTTCAAATCTCACCAGGCTCAAGGTTGACTCAGCCTTCCATCCTTCTGAGGTCGGTAAAATGAGGACTCAGATTGTTGGGGGCAATATGCTGATTCTGTAAACCACTTAGAGAGGGCTGTAAAGCACTGTGAAGCAGTATATAAGTCTAAGTGCTATTACTATTGCTATTGTCTTTTTTTTAAAGTTTTTTTAAAAAATTTAGACAAACAAACATTTAATACATCAGTCATTCCTTCCATGTGACACCTTGGTGTTGTCTCCAAAAATTCTTCTTTTTGTTGTTTCTTCTATCTTCTTTCTCGCCCAGTCCATTACAACAGTTCATCACTAACACAATATTCTAATCGTAGCACTTTTTTATACATAACTATTAATTTAGTTATTTGTATCTCTTTTCAAACCAATAGTAAAATTGATTCCATATCTTAAAGTATTCTGAATCTTCTCTTTCTTTAATCATCAAAGTCAATTTATTCATTTCTGCACAGTCTAATTTTTTTTAATTACTTCTCCTTCCAAAGGTATTTTCTCTGCTTTCCAATTTTGTGCATAAACAATCCTTGCAGCTGTTATTACATGTATAATCAAATAAATATTTTCTTTACTCATTTTTTCTGGGAGGATACCCAGAAAAATAGCTATTGCTATTGTCTAACGTGCCTTAAATCAACTAACCAAAATCTGTTAAATCCAGAAGAGCCAAGATGGCGGCAGCCACAACAACACAATCCCTCCCACCAGTAAAAGGAGATGGAGTTTCAACTGCATGGTTGAGACCATTATCTTGCTGTTTTTTCTTCTGTTGTTTTTACTTTTTTTACTTTTTACTTCCTCCCCTCAGCCCACCTTGGTTAAATTGAATGTTTATTATTTATAATAATAAAATAATAAAACAGAGATTACCGCTATCACATTGAAACTTATTTCCACAATTCACTTCCTCTATGTTGCATAAATTTTCTGGAAAACATGGCCGGTCATCCACCATTTGCCCACAAGAAGCCTGACCTCCAAACTGAGATGGTTGTAGCAGAGACCTGACACGGAACTAAAAGGCAAAATCCATGTATGGGGAGGAAACAAGAAAACAAATTTTCTTAATGTGGGTTTCACAGTTGCATACCTCATCTAAAATTTCAGCTGCAGAGAGACTTTGTTTTTGCTAGCGGGTCATACAAAGGTAGAACCTGGTACTTGATGCAGGAAATAGAACTAGGATTTGGGAGTTTTGTGTATCTTTTCTTTTTTTTTAAAAAAAAACTATTGTCCTTCTGCATCCATATTTCAGAATGCCTGAAACAGTTTCTGCATCATGCATGCTGAAAATAGAGCCAACTGTATTGTTTCTCATACATCTCATGATCAAATTACCTGCTTTTTAACACACGGGTCACAGTCTGACCACTCTTCCCAGTCACCGAGTTGGCAGTTGATAGGACATGCTTGCTGGCTACAAGCCCGAAATTCAGCCCATTGGCACAGTTCTTCACAAAAATTCTTATTATAATAAGCATCTCGCACTATTGCTCTGCAAGATGAAGATATTGTACATTAATCCTGAATCTTATATCAAGAAAGATGGGGAGATACACCTGTATTCCATAGATACTTTTGTCTATGCTGCAGACATGTACTCCATCTAGTCATCCAAGAAGCAATGGGTGGAAACCAGGGGTGGGTTCTAATTTTTTTTACTACCGGTTCTGTGGGCGTGGCTTATTTTGTGGGTGTGGCTTGGAGGTCATGTGACTAGGTGGGCGTGGCTAGCTGGTCAGAGTCATTTCTGGAAGGTCCTCGCACTTACGACCCGACTCATTTGTTTGCTTTTAACACTGATCAGCTGTAGGACAGCCCTTTGAAGCCCCGCGGCAAGAGTTTAAACAGTTTTTTTCCCTCTAGTCATCAGCTGGGACTCAGGAGGCAGCAATAGATTGGGGGTGGGACCAAATAAAAGGTAAGAATAACATGGGGGGTGGGAGGGTGGGAGGGTGGAGAACCGGTTCGGTGACGTCATATCGTCACCGCTACTGGCTCGGCTGAACCGGACCAGACCGGGAGGAATCCACCACTGGTGGAAACTAATCAAGGAGAGAGCAACTTAGAACTAAGGAGAAATTTCCTGACAGTTAGAACAATTAATCAGTTGAACAACTTGCCTCCAGAAGTTGGGAATGCTCCAACACTGGAAGTTTTTAAGAAGATGTTGGATAACCATTTGTCTGAAGTGGTGTAGGGTTTCCTGCCTAAGCAGAGGGTTGGACTAGAAAACTTCCAAGGTCCCTTCCAACTCTGTTATTCTATTCTATTCTATTCTGTTATTTATGCATTTAACAAGCATCATTCACAAAGGTTAGCTATGGATTTGGCAGGCACGGCAAATAGCCACATATATGTATAAAGCTCATTGTTGTGATGACAGATCCCAAACCAGAGAGGAATCTTATCACATGAAGAGCTCCATGCTACCTATTCCTACCGCTCTCTCAAAAGGAAGAGAGGCAGAAAAGTGAGTTTGAGAGATCTCAAACCAAGCATTGGCTCAGGTTTTGACTGATATAAGCCTTTCCTTTAACAGAACAGAATACTGGTTGGAAAGGACCTTAGAGGTCTTTCATCTAACACCTGCTCAAACAGAAGACCCTATGCCATCTCAGACAAATGACTGTCCAATCTCTTCTTAAAAACCTCCACTGATGGAGTATCCACAATTTCTAGAGGCAAGCTGTTCTACTGATAAATTTCCTGTTCTGTCAGGATTCTCCCCCCTTTTTTTCTTGGTTGGTTCTCTTCTTGATTAGTTTCCATTCATTGCTTCTTGTCCTCCTCTAGGTGCTTTAGGGAAAAGGTTGACATCCCCGCCCCTGCCCCTTAGATATTGGTATTGGTACTTTTCAATACCTTCCAACATTTCCCCCTACTTCCTCTTCCCTTGGTTATCATGGGAAAACAAGAACATTTATATGTTTGTCTATAATATCCTTAGAATACATGTTTAAATGTCTTCTTAATCAAGTGGAAATTATGGCTCCTATTATTACCGGGAAAAGAAATCTTGTTTTTGTACCAACCTGGTTCGGCTTTGTCTCCCAAAATTGCAAGTTTTTGAACATCTGGACCAAGAACTCCATGGATAATGGTCACAGAAACATCCAAAACCTTTTTCAACTACAAGGCTCAGAAGGATAACACATATGAAGATGTTTCTTTTCATGGCTAAAAAATATAAAGCTACAAAGGATGGCTCCTTAGAAATATATAATATATTACATTATACTAATTTACAACAATATATAAAGATCCCAAACCAGTCACACTTCACATTATGGATTTGGAAGTAATGGTATGCCATAAAAGATCTGGACTTCATTTCTATAATAATAATAATAATAATAATAATAATAATAATAATAATAATAATAATAATAATAATAATAATATAACAACAACAACAACAACAACAACAACAATAATATTTTGTATTATTAATTATCATATTTACATAGCCACCCTCTAAAAAAGAGTCTACTCTGGGCAGCAATTATTACAATTCCCTAATTAAATAGAGCTTTCCCCTTATGTTACTCATTTTCACATCTTAAACTCCCCCAATAATTCAAATAGTTTTGCCCTCCAAATCCTCCAAATCACAACTTAATCATTTCTACTTTCATCACAATATATAATTTAAAATATTTCAATCGTTACAATTTCCCTAATTAAATTTTAAAATGTTCTAGCTGTTATCCAAGCTACAACTTAATCCTTTTTACTTTCACCACCATATACCATTAAAGATATTTAAATTGTTAGTTTATACTTATTCATATTTCTAAAAAAAAACAAAAAAAAAATTTATTGTCTAGATTTCAAAAATACAAAGACAAGTATTCCAATTATTATTCATTTAATTTTTACAAGCATGATTTCCCAATTATTTCTTACTACTATTCATATTTCAATTCTAATTATATATAACATTTTCTCTTTCATTTCTTTTTCTTTTTCTCCCTTCCCATTTTTATTTTTGCCTTTTTCTTTCTCCTTTTTTTCTTTTGTGTTTAAAATCTTGAACTCTCCTCTTTTGCCCTAAATTTCCCATTGTTTGCACCTACCTTTTTTGGTGAGGAAAAAGAAGAAAAAGAAATCTCCCTCTGCCTCTGCCTAATTTTGGGACATTGCAGCAAACAGCAAACAGCCTGCTTTACTTTCATTTTCGTTTTCAGCATAGTTTGATTAGCACAAGGAAAAAAAAAATCTTCTCCAGCAATTTACCTCTTTGCAGCAAGCAGCAGAGCCTTGTGCAAAACAGCTGAGAGCAAATCAGCTGAGAGTTGGGAGGCCCATCTGATCAAAGGAGGTAACTGCTGTGAGGCACAGGCCAAAGGGTGGGAGTCAATGGGTGGGCGGGGCTACATTCGGTGTATAAGACGCACCTAAATTTTCACCCCCTTTTAGGGGGGAAAAAGATATCTGTGGCAGACTGTATATACATGCAACCCATCTTTTATACTGCTACCATCAGGATACAACTTGGGTGTGAGAACTAGCTCTGAAGCATTCTAAACAGAAACTGGCCCAGCCTTCTCTGGAAAATAACTAGAAAAGACGATTCCACAATATTCCCAAACTCATTCCATTGTAAAATTGCACTGACTGTTCTCCCAAAAATAAACTGAGCTGTTTAGGTAGAACAATCAGATTGGTAGTTTTGATGTATTTGGAAGGAAATTGCGATCTCCAGGACCTTCTTGAGTGCAGCAAAGGACCAGATCTCTATAGATGACCATCCAGGAAATGACTGGTTGTCCTTAAACATCTCTGATAAAGAAGATCCCGCCACTGTCTGAGGCTTCCAAGTTGTTTCCATGTTTCTCCTAATGTTTTGTTGAAATCTGCATCTCTACATATTTTATGCTTTAATTTTGCTTCCTGGCATAGTTAAAAAACAATCCTGTCTTACCTATTGTATGACAGCTTTTCAAATACTGGAACACAACAATCACCTTATCTTTTCATGATTTTATGCCCAGGTTAAATACTATATATCCAAAATGTTTAATCATTTCTTGTAGGGCTTCATTCCAGCTTTCCATTATTCTGCTAGCCCTCCTTTGGACATGTTCCAGTCTGTCAATGTTTGTCTTAAATGATATGCCAGGATGGTAAATGGAGGTAAAATATGTGCTCTTATTGAGAAACACCTCTCTCTCTCTCTCGCTCTCTCGCTCTCTAGCTATAAATAAAAAGCTTGTGTTTACCCAGCTGCATAAATACTTCAGAAAGCATTCAGTTCTACCAATCCATGAATAACTAGATAAGTTAATTGTACTATATAGAGGAATTATTGAGTCTGTCATCTGCACCTCTATAACGGTCTGGTTTGGTTCTGCAACCCAACAAGACAGACACCGACTTCAGAGGATAATTAGAACTGAGGAAAAAACAATTACTACCAACCTGCCTTCCATTGAGGACCTGTATACTGCATGAGTCAAAAAGAGGGCTGTGAAAATATTTACAGATCCCTCACATCCTGGACATAAACTGTTTCAACTCCTACCCTCAAAACGACGCTATAGAGCACTGCACACCAGAACAACTAGACACAAGGACAGTTTTTTCCTCAATGCCATTACTCTGCTAAACAAATAATTCCCTCAACACTGTCAAAATATTCACATTAGGCTGCATTACTATTGCTATTGGTCTTCTCATCGTTACTGTCACCATTCTCCTCCCACTTGTGACTGCATGACTGTAACTTTGTTGTTTGTATCCTTATGATTTATATTGATATTGTTTCCTAGTATGATTTGATTGCTTATTTGTACCCTATGACTATCATTAAGTGTTGTACCTTATGATTCTTGATGAACGTATCTTTTCTTTTTATATACACTGAAAGCATATGCACCAAAGACAAATTCCTTGTGTGTCCAATCACACTTGGCAATAAAGAATTCTATTCTATTGTACTGTACTAGAACATACACCTTTTATAGAACAATACATTTATAGCTGATGTTCTGTCCTTGTCACTGCTGTTTTTTGTATTTGTCAGCTCCCCTTCTGAGACTTACAGTAGACTGTCTGACTCTTATCACTAAGCTACTGCACATGTCCACATTTTTTCACTTTCTTCTAACTTTCTTTGTTCACCTGTCAAGAGGTAAGGCAGGAATGCTGCCAAGATGTAATCATTAGCTAGCAAGATAGGTTTTTTTACTTCTTTATAATAAAATATGTTTTATTAGAATGCATCTCGGGTTTTATTTTCTTCAAAAGTATACTCCAAGGAAAAGCCACGGTCCATCTCTAATTAGGTGCAATTACCCCAAAGCGGAATGGGATTAATTGCCACCCTGACAGTCCTGACTACACATTACCCTGTGTGTAGCTCGGCATGCAGCTAAACCCTCCTATCCTTCAATATGTCAGACCGTAAACATAAATCTGGATACTTTATTACAAAACAGAATGAGATAAAACAGCGATGCTGGGTATGGGATGTAGATTTTGTCTTCAGAAGAATATGTGTCACAGAATAAGCTGGCTTCTTCTAGATGTTTCCATTACCTCCGAACATTACAAAATGGAGTTTGGCTTCTCAGAGCGTATGGGTATGCAATAGGATCAAAATGCTACCAAAACCAATGTTCTAAGCAATGAAAAATGTATGCATGACTTCCAAATGAAGCTCAAGACACATTAAAGAACAACAACAGGATTAACAATACACAAATTATATGCTGGAGGCAGCTTAAATTGAAAGTATAGCTCCATTCATGGGAGTTCCAGTCAGAGCCAAAATGGGTAGCTCTTAGCCATTCATAATTTTAAAAGGCATAAAATCTGTAATGAAATATTGCATCCTGATTTTTGAAACAAAAGTACTCCTTCCAACCATTTCATTCACCACCAAATGTTGCTTCTTTCGATGGGAGAAAAAATATGCCGTGTTTCCCCCCAAAAAGATCCTGTTTTATATTTTTTTGAACCCTCAAATAAGCGCTTGGCCTTATTGCCATGCGCCCAAAAGCCCAATTGGGCTTATTATCAGGGGATATCTTATTTTGGGGGAAACAGGTTATATACATATGCATTACCCACAAACATATATTTGTAAATCTCAGAGTTTTCTTAGGCATGCTAATATTATGTTCTTGTCTTTTCTATTGACACTCCCTACCAGAGTTTACTAGTACAGGTAGTCCTTCCTTAACAACCATTCATTTAGTGACCATTCAGAGTTACAATGCTGCTGAAAAAAGTGACTTACAACCAGTCCTTGCAGTTAGTACCATTGCAACATCCCTGCAATCACATGATCATGATTCAGGCACTTGGGAACTATCTTGCATTTAGGATCCCCCAATCATCTGGTCTCCATTTGCAGCCTTTCCAGCAAAATCCATGTTGTTAGTTATGAAATCATGTCCGACCCATCGCAATCCTATGGACAACTTTCCTCCAGGCCTTCCTATCCTCTACCATCCCCCGGAGACCATTTAAGCTCATATTGATTGCTTCAGTGACTGCTTCAGCCACCTCGTTCTCTGCCGTCCCCTTCTTCTTTTGCCCTCAATCTTTCCCAGCATTAGGCTCTTCTCCAGTGAGTCCTTCCTTTTCATTAAGTGGCCGAAGTATTTGAGCTCCATCTTCAGGATCTGGCCTTCTAAACAGCAGGGAAAAGCCAGTAGGAGATTGTAAATCACAGTACGTAATGACTTGCTAAACAACTGGAAGTGATTTTCTAAGCATGGCAATCAAGTAATATTTCGTTTAACAACCACCTCGCTTAGTGATGGATTTGCTGGTCTCAGTTAGGGTTGTTAAACAAGGATTACCTGTACAGTAAATGACAGTTAAATAGAATCTCTTTCTTCAAGGGACAGAAATTAAAAATGGTGGGATTAAAAAAAGGAAAAGATTAGGGTTACACCACACTTGGAAACACCCTAGAAATATATCAGAGATCACTGTTAGATTGCTACATACCTAGAGACAAAAGGATGGGCTGATCCAGGAAAGCAATTCTTTTAAAAATGATTTAAAAATACAGTAGTGCTCAAAATAGCCCCATATAATAATAAATCATTGTAAAAGAAATGAGACTTACCCTATTGGATTAAAAACATTCATGGGAAGCCTATCTCATAATATAGCAATGAAAATAGTACTGCGGGCATAGATCACTTTCACTTCCAATAAAACATGCCACTCTTAATAAATATCAATGCTTATTTTAAAGAGATGACTCATAAAAACAAGAAAAGAGATTGGCTGTTTTCAGCAGCCATTTATTTGTATTGGTTAAGTGTTAACAGAATAGAAAGTTGGGAAATTTAAGCCAAGCCAGTTCCAAGGTTACAGTGAATTAATGCTGAGCAGTTATTATAGAGCCGATAATTTATTTTTGTTCAGAATAAAGTCTACAGATTGTCCTGTGCATTGTATAGGAGTTAAATAACAACTGTTAATAATCTTTTTTTGAAAACAGTTTGGTTGCAATTGTGTATGTGCTTAGCAGAGAATAAGTTTCATTGAGCTCAGTGATTTCAGAGTAGATTTGTGTCTCATTAAAATATTATTTCCCAACATGATATTTAAGGACTTCCCTCAAATTAGACATTAGGATAATTCAAGCCAGAGAAAGTTTGCAGTTTGCAGGTATATCAGTACTACAACTAATAATAATTCTAGTTAACAACTTAATAGTATTCAATCAAGAAGTATCTTGGTAAGGAAGATAAATTAGCAGCCACGGCATTGGACTACCTAGCTTAATATTATCTGTACTGATATTGGAGTTGGTAAGGAATTCTGGGATTTGCTTTATCTATACATCTGGAAGACATATAGTTGGGAAATCTATTTTAGATCAGTGGTTGTTGGCTTGTCAAGGCTTTCCACCTCTGCTTAAAATGAAAGTGGTAGATAGAAAGGATTGAATTTGTTGGAATGCAAATGACATCCATATGCCACTGTCGCACTGTAGCTGATCTAAGAGAACTGTTTTTGATCTGTTTGGCTTTCTGGCCACAGAACAGGTGGGCTGATGGCAAAACCAGGAAGGAAGCAGAGAAAAATGCCTGTTGCTTTTTTTTTTTTTTAATGCATTGGAATTGCTGGCTGGCACAAGAAGTGAGGAGGACTTTTAAAGCAGTGCAAAAATGCTTGTCAGAATGGAGAGAAGCAGCAGCGGCCATGTTGAAGGAACAGCTGCTATTTAGGGTTCATTTTAGAGAGCTCATATTATTGGAATGGACCAGTGTTGGGTTTCAAATTTTTTTACTAACGGTTCTGTGGGTGTGGCTTGGTGGGCGTGACATGGCTTGGTGGGCATGGCAGGGGAAGGATACTGTAAAATCTCCATTCCCTCCCCAATCCAGGGGAAGGTTACTGCAAAATCCCCATTTCCTCCCGATCAGATGGGACTTGGGAGGCAGAGAATAGATGGGGGTGGGGCCAGGCAGAATTTTTACTACCAGTTCTCCGAACTACTCAAAATTTCCACCACCGGTTCTCCAGAACTGGTCAGAACCTGCTGAAACCCACCTCTGGAATGGACACTGGACACTTATTCCTGGCATTTGCGATTCGAAACTGAATTTCATCCCATGAAAGGAGCCAAGAAGGTTGTGACAGTGGAATCAAAGCTCAACTAACTTTTTGTATGCAGTGCACTTCATCCATGCTCAGTTAGTCAGTTGGAGAAAAGAGGAATTGTCGTGAACTTCAGATGTGTGGTGATGACATGAATAAGAGAGGCTGGAATGAGATGCTCGGATGCTGGAATTAAAGCAATTTGGGAAGGCCAATGCAAAAAAAAAAACAAACAAAAAAAAAACAGCCATTCATGCTATTGATGTCCAGGAATGAAAAACTAACATCTTTTAGTTTGGACAGGTCCCTTCCTGTAAAATTACAATGTCCGTATTGGAGCACTTCAATGCTCCCAGCATGCAAAGGTTTGCTGTTATCTTTCTTGTCTTTATTTGGACACAGGAAATGGGCTCCCCACCACGCGGGCACTGGTTAGGCAGCAAGCAGACACATTTACCATGTGACTCTATAAGAGAAAAAATATGGCTTTTAGTTCTAGTCACATGATATTCAGAGATCTATCAAACCATCAACACAATATTTACATTATTACAGTGGTGAAATCCAAATTTTTTTACTACCGGTTCTGTGGGTGTGGCTTGGTGGGCATGGCAGGAGAAGGATACTGCAAAATCCCCATTCCCTTCCTATTCCTGGGGGAAGAATATTGCAAAATGCCCATTCCCACCCCACTCTGGGGCCAGCCAGAGGTGATATTTGCCGGTTCTCTGAACCACTAAAAATTACCGCTACCGGTTCTCCAAACTGCTCAAAATTTCCCCTACTGGTTCTCCAGAACCTGTCAGAACCTGCTGGATTTCACCCCTGCATTATTGTAAAAATAATATTGGTCTGTTTAATTGGGGGGGGGAGTCAGGTGACTGGCATTTGCAGCCTCCCCAGATGACTTCTGGCAAGCAAAGTCAACAGGGGAAACCCATTCACTTAATGACCGCCCAATTCACTTAATAATTGCAGTGATTCGCTAAGCAACCATGGCAAAAAAAAGGTCATGAAATCAGGATTGATTCACTTAACAACTGCCTTGTTTAACCACAGAGATTTTGGTTCCAATTGTAAATCGAGGACTACTTGTACATACAGCTAGATGGAAGTGCTTGGAGGCAGTTGTAGCAGTTTGTACAGGATGATTGTTTTGTGGGAAAGAAAGGGGATTTCCAAGGAACCCTGTTCCAAGGAAGAATTGGGAAAATGATCCCTTTTTGGCTGCAGACCAGCCTGAAAACCTTATGGTCTATTCTGCAGAACATTGTGTCTGCTGCTTGGGAATGTTAGAAATGAAAATTGTTCATAGCTTGCTGGGTCATTAGCCTTTCTTCTATCTTGAAAGGACAGTGTACTTGTCAGTATATCCAAAGTCACCAGTTGAACTTTCTTGCAAGAATTCTTATTAATTTGGATTTTTTTCCCCCCCTCATCTCAATTTGCAGTTTCATTCCATTTCCCTTTTAGGGCTGGGGAAAAATTCTTTGGGGAGAAAAGAATCTAGAATGTTATACACATTTTTTTCCCCACAAACATTTCCCTGCCAATGAGGAAAACAAACCACTTGCCTCCAAGCACTTCCGTCTCAAAAGGTGAATTGGAATATTTCCAGTTTGCTCTACTTTGTGGCTAAGCCAGAAATCAGTTGGTTCAGCTACCAAATCTAGACAATGATGTAATAATCCATATCCAGGAGTAATAGTGAAGATAATCCTTATCTAGACCATAATGGGAGTGGGGAAAGTACCATGATGGAGAGACATAAGGAAAGAGGGGGAAATCATTTCTCCTTTGGGTCTCTTCCAAATTTCTTACCCTTTCAAACCAGCCTTTGCCCCTAACTTGCCACCTCTTTTGGTAAATTTTTGCCTTCTCTTAAACTGTAATCCCTTTGTTCAGTATCCTGGTAGGATACTGCATTCTGTTTATTGAGCTTGTTCATTTATCTTGTTAAATTGCGGCTCTAACCTTTGTTGTAACTGGGATATGCTAGAAAAGCAAGAGAAGGAATATTTTGATTTCACCACAGTCAATGGGAGCTCAAAGCTTTGGATTTCTATCAGGATGTGACCAGGGGTGGGCTTCAAAAATATTAGCAAGGGGTTCTCTGCCCAGTTGCTGGGTGAGCGTGGCCATGGAGGGCCTGGCCTAGTCGGCCTCCTGCACCACGGTGTGTGTGTGTGTGCGTTTTTGCCCTCCCCAGGGCTCAAGCCTCTGGGAGGATGAAAATGTCCTCCCCTGGTTCCGGAGGCCCTCCTGAACTTCCAGTAGGCCCATTTTTCGTTCTCCCCAAGCCTGTGTGCGTGCCCTGCACTTATCTGCATCCAAAATGGGCCGTGTGGGGACTCCTGGGAGGGGCGGGGTGGGAAGGGCCAGCCAGGAGTGGAATTAGGGGGTTCTCCAAACTGCACAGAATCTTAGCTAGAGGTTCTCCCAAACCGCTGCAAACTTCCAGCAGCCCACCCCTGGATCTGACCCCAGATTGAATTTGGCCATCTCTAAATCATTGTCAGATCAAATCAGACCACTTCCTGAAATTGTGTTGAGGCCTAAATGGGTGTCTAAACATATCAATTGCCACTAATCTGATTTCATAAACGTGATCCAGGAACAATAACAAGTTAGTGCACCCATGCGTACCTGAGCACTGCTCCCAGTCGTAACATGTATCATAGCCACAAGGTTCTCTCTTTATGCTGTCCGTGGCAATTTTGAGCCTTTCCTTAGCCCAACTAACATCGGTCCCACTCCGGCAGCGGCCAGAATGCAAGAAATGGAAGGAATGCTGATCCAGGCATTTTTCAGCCAAATATGGGCAGCTAGGCTTTGTAAGTGCTTCTTCAGAAGTGGCATCCAGGACACAGACATCTTCAGAATAGTGTCTGCCAAATCACCAAAATGCAAAGCCAAAGTAAGCATAAGATTATGAGAGGGATGAAGCAAACGATTAATAAAGAAGCATTTTTCATTATTGTTTATAACATTTGGAACATCTGTTTGGGAAGTTAGCTGGAGCTGGTTAGCCAAGTTTTGTTTTGTTTTGTTTTGTTTTTTAAATCTGGAGTGATTATCATTATTCATATCAGATGGACATTAACAGAACCTTCCAGATTCTGTTTAGAGAAGAAATTTTAAAAAGGTGGTAAAAAATAGGTTAGCAACAACATATTAGCAACTATTGTAACGCTCTCTACATGGGGCTCCCCTTGGGGTACACCTGGAGGCTCCAACTGGTGCAGAATGCGGCCGCGCGGGGGATTATGGGAGCGACTGGGCGCTCCCATGTGACTCCTCTCCTGCGCGAGCTGCATTGGCTTCCGGTGGACTTCCGGGTGCGCTTCAAGGTGTTGGTGATCACCTTTAAAGCGCTCCATGGCTTAGGGCCAGGGTACTTACAGGACCGCCTTCTGCCACCAATAGCCTCCCACCGGCCAGTTCGCTCCCACAGAGAGGGCCTCCTCAGGGTGCCGTCGGCTAGACAATGCCGGCTGGCGACCCCCAGGAGGAGAGCCTTCTCTGTGGTGGCATCTACCCTTTGGAACAATCTACCCCCAGAGATACGAGTGATCTCCGACCTCCGGACCTTTCGTCGGGCCCTAAAAACTCATCTCTTTCAGTTAGCCAGTCTCTCTTGATTTTATGATTTTATGGTTGGTTTTAAATTTTGATATGGATTTTAAATTGATAAATTTTAAACTATGGGCCAAATTTAATTATTTTAAATCTATTTTTAATCGTATTTATGTATAAATGTTTTTATTTTGGCTGTTCACCGCCCTGAGTCCGAAAGGAGAAGGGCGGTATAGAAATTCGAATAATAAATAAATAAATAAATAAATATTCACAAGTGAACTCTGGTCTCTTTCTCTATTTTACTTAGATACATACACATTCCAATCCTAGCTGTATCACCAAATATCAGAGCGTGTTGACATTTTGCAAGATGTTGGGTAACAATATGCAAGTTCTCAGGAGGTGGGAGGGGATGCGATTATGGCATTTTGTGAGATGAGAGAGCTTGGAGGAGACACAGGAAGCCTGAGAACATACTATATGGGGAAAATGTATCAAAGGGAATACACAAAACATCTGGATTCTGCCCATGTGAATCAAGCGTGGAGTGTGGAGTCTTCCTAAGACACAGACAAGTAGATAATGGGCAGGGTTGGGCTTCAGAATTTAGTGACCGTGGCCTAGCGAACAGATTTCCTGAGGTTTCCATAGCAACTGTGGCTGGCATCTTGAGATGCAAAATGGTCTGATACTGAGCAATATATTATTGACCAATCAGAAATCAGAACACCTGGCTATAAAGACAGGAGCCCAGTGAGTTTCTGAAGATGTCAATCACAGTTGCTGGTGAAATGTCAGGAAATATGTTTTTTAGATCATGGTCACAAAGCCCTAAGCCCAACACGGCTCAAAAGATGCTGGCTGTGAAAGCCTCCACCAGTATGTAAATGGATAATTTTATACAATGTTAAAGTTTTCTCCTAAGAAAGAGCTTCCTCGTAGCTACGATCCATTAAGAAGAAAAATTTGAAGGAAGTATCTTGGAGTTGGATATAGGTTGGAGCAGGCATTTCATTTTTTCTTAAGATAATACAAGTCTTAACATCTGGCATGGGGAAACACTTTTCTCTGTATAATTTACCTGCAGTCTTCTCTAGGGTTCATACACACACATTGGGAGTCAACTTGCTTTTCACCTGGTTTGCAATTGCTTTGAGAATGTAGAGAATCATCTGCAAGAGGATAAGGAATGCAAAAGAATGAAGCATAAACACATAGGAATACTATTAGATATACTGTATAACATAGACATTTTCAGGATTGAGTTAAACTACAATGTACAATTGTTTGGAGCCAAAGCTCATATTTAATTTTGAGTGGCATCCATGGGTGACATCCCCCAGAGTAGGGGTGGCCAGAGCAAAAATGAAGCATGATTTAAAATAGACACCTGAATTCAGATTAAATTTGCTAAAGACAATTGCTCTGGAATTGAAAGTTCTTCTGTATCGACACCTTTATACGGAACCCCAAAATGCTCTAATCACCCCATTTCTGACCAGCAAAGCAGGATATACCAATCAATATAAGCAATTTCTCCTTTCCATCCTTAGCCCTGAAATAATCCACAAGGTAGCCAGGTTTTGCCTAGTGGGCTGTAAAATCAAGATAATTAAGAGCATCTGAGCCTTCCTGAGTATAGATAGCCAGAAATGTCTCAGGCTTATTAAGTGTGCTGGTTATTTTTTTAATTTCTTAAAGGTATTTATGTTTTGGTGTACACATGCCATATCAGATATTATACTATATCTTTTCAGGTTTCACAGGACTTTGTAAGAGAAGTTTATTCCCCTCAAATCTCTTTTGGATAATCGCTTTGTTTTATTTATCAACATTTATTTGTATTTTATAGTATCATTTTAAAATATATAAAACATGGATCGCTAAGTTTATTCTCTTTTGTCATCCATGCACAGCCTGAGCAATCATCCTAACATTCTCTGTTTGTAATATTCCCACATTCTTTGTATGTATTGCTCCTTATTCCCTTGATATTGTCAATTCAAATTTAGATATTTCATATCAATTTTCTTAATGAACACAAAGTGCTTCATTTCATTCACTCTGGACAGTTCCTATATGTTTAATAATGTTCTCCTCTTGTCAAGTAAAATATTGCATACTATTAGCAATTTGGGGAGGAGTTCTGAGGAGCACAGTTATCATTTTTGGAGAGAATGGATTCTACACACAGTTCTGAGAGTTTGGATTTGTTGCTTTTTTGACTATGCAGCAGAGGTGGGTTTCAGCAGATTCTGACCAGTTTTGGAGAACTGGTAGCAGAAATTTTGAATAGTTTGGAGAACTGATAAATACCACCTCTGACTGGCCCCGCCCCCAGTTGATCAGGAGGAAATAGAGATTTTGCAGTAACCTTCCCCTGGAGTGGGGAGGGAATGGAGATTTTATAGTATCCTTCCCCTGCCACACCCATCAAGCCATGCCATGCCACGCCTACCAAGCCACACCCACAGAACCAGTAGTAAAAATTTTTGAAACCCATCACAGCAATGCAGGTGTGTGTATGTATCTAAAAGTAAAATTAAATCACAACAGGTGGAATCACTGAAGTGATTTTGGATATCTTGAAAATCAAGTAGGTTTGTAGCTGACTCATATTTTTGTGGTAATTCAACCAGACATGCCAGGGATACAGGCTAGATTTGGAATTTTTTTAAAAAGCCTGGATAAGACAATGTTTTGCACCATTGACAAGAAAACACCTTGAATGTAGTGGTGAAATCCAAATTTTTTTACTACTGGTTCTGTGGGTGTGGCTTGGTGGGCGTGGCGTAGCTTGGTGGGTGTGGTAGGGGAAGGATACTGCAAAATCTCCATTCCCACTCCACTCTGGGGCGAGCCAGAGGTGGTATTTGCCGGTTCATCGAACTGCTCAAAATTTCTGCTACCGGTTCTCCAGAACCTGTCAGAACCTGCTGAATTTCAGCCCTGCTTGAATGTATCTCCCTGTTGACCTCTCTGATGTGGAGCATCTTTACTTTTTATGATATAACTATTAACAGTAAAGCCCTCCTAGACTTCGGTGCTTCTTCAATTTGTTTTATTTGAGAGCACCCAGTTTCTTCATTTTTCTTCTCTTCTTGTATTTTAATCTCATTTTTCCTTCAAGGCATTCATATGTAACATCACACGCACCCCTTTCATGATATGTTCATTCAACAGTCCTGAAAGGAAGATCACACTGAGTGGCATGCCTGAGTGAGAATTTGAACTCATTGCTCCAAACCCCACACTGAACAGGTCAATCTCTCTGCCACAATGAACGATTCACTTACCTTTCTCACAGGTAAGCAGTCTCACTACAGAAGGACGCCAGGCGGGACCACTTACACAGGTGTACTCAGAATGGCCAGTTAACCTAAAGGTTGGTGCACAACTTAGGCGGATTGTTTCCCCAATGTCATATTCACTTTTAAAAGGGAAAATAGATACAACATCTGAGACTGCCGGTCTGCGACATGCAGATACTGAGGAAAGAAGGGAGGGAGGGAGGTAAATGAGATTACCATGATATGACAGAAGAGTTGCAAATTAAATACAGAGTTCAAATACTTTTAATGGCTTTATATCAAAAATGTAAACAATTAACAATTTAAAAATCCAAACTGAAAACTGAAACACTAATTCACTGGTTATATTCACACAGTACATTGTTAATTTAACCACGATTAGCCAGTTAAACCAGGGGTGTCAAACTCAATTTCATTGAGGGCTGCTTCAGAGTTGTGTTTGACCTCAGGGGCCGGGGTGGACGTGACCAGACTGGGCGTGACCAGCTTGACATCATTCATCTCGGGAATGTCTGTGGTGGCTCGAGTGTTCTGCCAGCAAAAATGGGCTCCCGAGCTCCGTTTTCAGCCACAACGGCCTCCTGCCACCCTCTGCCAGAAAAAAAGGAGCTTGGGGAGGCTGCCCCCCGAGATCCATTTTCACTGGCAGAGGGTGGCAGCAGGCTGTCGCAGCCAAAAACGGAGCCTGGGAGGGCCACCCTCCCTAGCTCTGTTTTCGCCGGCAGAGGCATCATGGGCCGGTCCTTTGCTGTTTCTAGAGAGGCCTTGCGGGCCAGATCTAAGCACCCCACAGGCTGGATTTGGCCCCTGAGCCTTGAGTTTGACACTCCTGAGTTAAACCAATGTCCTGGGTTTGAATTGAACCATGAACTAATCACAAGGACTGGCTAGTTTTGGATTAAGATAGTGTTTTAGAACCCTAGCAACCTGAAGAAATGTGGGCTTCAACTCCCAGAATTCCCCAGTCAGCTGGGAAATTTTGGGAATTAAGTCCACATATCTTAAAGTTGCCAAAGTTGAGAAACACTGGACTGAGCCATTGAAATAGCATACCCCTGCTTTCCTTATCAGGAATTAAGGTAATACAAGAAGGCAACCAGACCTTTCCTTACAACAGAAATGTGGAGGCAACCATGTTCTCTCAAAGCTGCTCAGTTCATCGTCATATCCATGTGCTTACAGAGATAACATTTCTGCTAGGATTCCAGGGGAAACAAAGTCACCTATTTGCTTATATGCAGAAATGACCAAGGAAAGCTACCGAAGCTGATGTAACAAGGCTTAAATATCTCAGGGAGAAATGTCGTGTTTCAACAACACATTTAACATAAAACATCCTTTGTATATTTGGCTCTCTTAGGAATAGAACTTCTGTTTATAAAATTAGGAACATAAGAAGCTGTGTACCAAAGTCAATATGTTAGTCCACCTATCCCTAATTATTGACATTGACTGGTGACAGCTCTCATGGAATAAAACTATAATCCTTCTCAGCTTTACCTGGAAATGCCAGGATTAAACTTGGGACTTCCTGCACACAAAGCAGATCTTTGAACTACAGCCCCTTCCAATGGACATACTAAGTCAAATCACTGACCTATCTATGGCAACACTGTTGAAAATTAGTACGAACAATGTGTAAGACTTCAAGGCAACTTTTCCCATCCCTTTCCACAATTCTACTTCAAGTGTGGCCAACTTCTCCAAAATTTGGACTTTCTGTACTCAGCTCAGCTTCAACATTTTACACCTGGCATTATGTGCCTTTCCTCACTCATAACTCATAACACATAAAGTGGGCATGTTGATTTGCTCGCACTGGTTGCCAAAGTAGCCATGATGCAAATGCTCTGAATATATCTCCATAAACTCATGTAGGATAATGGAACCCAAATTGATTATTTTAAAAAGATGCACAACAAAATTAAGGAATTGGAATACCAAAACATATGCATAATTGGAGATTTTAATGCAATTGTAAACATAGAGAAGGACTATAGGAGTTGTAAACATAATAAATCCAGGAAAAAAACACTTCCAGAAACATTTTATGATATAGTAGAAGAATTTCAATTACAAGATGCTTGGAGGGAACTCAATTATGATAAACAACAATACACATTCTATTCAAATCCACATCAATCATGGTCCAGAATTGACATGGCTTGGATGACAGCAGAGCTTATAGCAGACATTAAACAAATAGAAATTACAACAAACACATGGGCTGATCATAGCCCCATTGAAATAACATGGAAGGGACACCAAAAGCATAAAAGATGGATGATGGATAGAGATATTATAAATGACAAACAATATGTGGATATGATCCAAAAAGAATTGAAAATATTTCTACAAATTAATGTGAAAGACCACACCAGTCTACAAAATCTATGGGACACAACCAAGGCATATATCAGAGGCTTAACAATTGCCTATACTGCACAAAAAAATAAAAACAAACAACAAATAAAACAAAATTTACAGACAATATTACATCAATATGAATTAGATCTACAGAAACAGCCATATAATCAAGAAATTAAGGAGAAAATAAATTTAACAAGGCATAAATTAAATTTGATCACAACAACAGAAATAGCAAGAAAAATAAAAATCGCTAAACAAAACCAATTTGAACATGCAAACAAAACTGGACGGTGGTTAGCATATAAATTGAAAATAGAAAAACAGAGGAATATTATAATACAGTTAAAAGATGTAGATGGTTGTTTATACCAGAATATTGAAGACAAAAAACGAATTGCAAAGGAATTTTTCAAAAACTTATACGCAAAGGAAGAGATTAGAGAAGAAAATATCATAGAATATTTAAATAAAATAAAGATTCAAGAATTAGAAGAAGAACATATAGAATTATTGAACAGACCAATCTCAATGTTAGAATTAATAGAAGCGAGAAAGAAACAAAAAAATAACAAGACACCGGGAACAGACGGTATACCGGCAGAGTTTTATAAGACATTCCAACAACCATTAGATGATATATTAATACAAGTTTTCAATGATGCATTAATGGAAGCTGAAATTCCGAAGTCATGGAATGAAACAATAATCACATTAATACCAAAACAAGATTCGGATCCCACGGAAATTAAAAATTATAGACCAATTTCTCTTCTCAATGTAGATTATAAACTATTCACATCAATTATAACACAGAGATTGAAAAACCTAGTCAAATACTATATACATCCTGATCAAAATGGTTTTATTCCTGGAAGACAAATTCATAACAATACAAGAACAATTATTGACACTCTGGAATTCTATGAGCAAAGATCGGAAAACCAGTTAGCTCTAATTTTCCTAGATGCGCAAAAAGCGTTTGATAATCTCAACTGGACATTTCTATTAGCACAATTAGAAAAAATGAAATTTGGAGAAAGATTTATAAAAATGATTAAAAAGATATACAACACCCAAACAGCAAAAATACAAATTAATGGAGATACAACTGAACAATTTGATATAAAGAAAGGAGTGAGACAAGGATGCCCATTATCTCCTATATTGTTTATATTAACATTGGAAATATTACTAGAAGAAATCAGGAAAGATACAGAAATAACTGGACTAAAAATAAAAAATCAAGAATATAAACTGCAAGCCTTTGCAGATGATATAGTATTCATTTTAGATAAACCCATACAATCTGGACCAAAATTAATGATAAAAGTACAACAATATGGAGAAGTAGCGGGATTGAAAATTAATAAACAAAAAACTAAAATTATAACAAAGAATCTTAACAAGTATCAAAAAGAAGAATTGGAAAATATATTAGGGATACAAATAGCAAAGAAAGTTAAATACTTAGGAATATGGATTACAAACAAAATATCAACTTTGAAGGAAGACAATTATATTAAATTGGCTAAACAAATAGAAAAGGATTTGGAAAAATGGGCAAAACTCCAATTGTCTCTTTTAGGCAAAATTGCTACCATTAAAATGAATATTCTGCCAAGAGTGTTATACTTATTTAGAGTAATACCAGTAAACCCAGGAAGAACATATTTTAAAGATTTAGACAGAATGATATTAAAATTTATTTGGCAGGGAAAAAAAGCAAGAATCAAATTAAAACATCTACAAGACAAAAGAGAGAGGGGGGGAATGGGACTCCCTGATTGGCAGAGTTATTACAAAGCCTCAGCGTTAATATGGATAAAAGATTGGATCGAACTCAAAAACATAAGAACATTAATATTGGAAGGTTTTGACTTAACAAGAGGTTGGCATGCATATCTTTGGGGAGAGAAAATTACAAAACAAGAACAATTTCGCAAACATATTGTAAGAGATAATTTGCTTAAAATATGGAATGAAATCAGAAAATATCACTATGATAGGATTCCTAGGTGGACTTCCATAATGGAAGCACATATTTATCCAAATACAATAGATACAAATAAATTAAAAACATATAAGGACATCTTAAATGAAGAAGGAAAACTAAAAACAAGAGAAGAATTGAGAATGCAAAATGTGGAAATAGAGTGGTGGTCATATTTGCAATTAAAATCCAGATATAAATCTGATATGGAAAAAACTGGAATTCAAATGGAACCAAATCAGTTGGATAAAATTTTATTAGGCCCCAATGAGAAATTAATAACCAAAATTTATAATTTTCTATTGGAATATAAACTAGCAGAGGAAGTAGTTAAAGAGAATATGATCACATGGGCGACGAATTTTGGGTATGCAATAGAATTAAATAAGTGGGAAAATTTGTGGAAAAATATTAATAAATTAACATTATCTGTACCATACAAAGAAAATGCTTATAAATTGTTCTATAGGTGGCATCTACCACCGGCGCGAATTTCTAAAATGTTTCCCGGCACATCTCCACTCTGTTGGAAATGTAAAGCACATAAAGGGACATATTATCATATATGGTGGTCATGTTCCAAAGCTAAAAAATTCTGGAACAATATAAAAATGCAACTGGAACAAATAATAACTCAAAAGGTGCCATTAAAGCCAGAAATTTATTTATTAGGAATACCTACAAGCAAATATGAAAAAGAAATAATATATTTAATAACACATATTTTGACTGCAGCAAGAATTATATATGCACAAAATTGGAAACAAGAAGAGGTCCCGACTCAAGAGAAATTAATATCCAAAATTATGGAATGCGCTGAGATGGATAAACTTACCAAGGAGATCCAAGGAAAAGAAGAATCTGAATATTATCTGGTCTGGCAAAAATGGTATAAATGGTTAGAGGGAAGTGAAAAAAGAAGAGAAGAAGAAAGAAAGAAAAATTTAATAAAAGAAAAGATATCAATAGAGTAAAATAAAGTTTTAAATCAAATGAAATTTAAGAAAGAGACACGAGATATCAATAAAATAATATCATTATATAAGGTGAGAGAAATATTGTATATTGAAGAATATAGGATATTGATATTGTAACAATTCAGATATTATAGGTAGATGTTATAAAGATGATGTTTGTTGTAAATTGTTTTACTTGCATTTATAAATGTATTATGTGGTTTCTTAAATTAATAAAAAAAATTTAAAAAAAACAGAAATTGAATCTTGGACTAAGCAAGACTTCCTACACAGAGAATTTCTATTGATGTTTTCATACCCTTTCTCTTATTAATAGCTTAAATCTTTTAATGGTTCTTACATTGGCATTCGACAGGACGTTGCAACCAAGTTTGATCAGGCTGGCAGTGAAAGAACGGATATCCAGTAAGAGTGTATCCACTGAAGCACACAATTTCAGCATTTTCCCCAACGTCATAATGGTTCTTCTCATTCTGAAATTAACCAGAGGAAACTCTTCATGTGCTGAGCAAAACAACTTGTTATGAAATAAAAACAGCTCCTTATATTCAAGTAGAAACACCCAAGTTTTTCATGCAGCTTTGTTTGAGCAGTTAATCCATTCAAAACTATTTAGACAAACTTTATTCTATCCATTAGCAGAAGTTCTCTCAGAATTATAAAAATCTATAGGGTTTTTTTTTGCATTGTTTTATGTCCACAACAACTCTCAAATTTAGTAAGACTGAAAGAATGAATAGCTGGACTAAGGTTAGCCCACTGAGCTTTGTGGCTGAATTTGGATTTGAAACAGGGTCTCTCTGATCTTAGTTGCTTAATAAATAATTTCCTAAATTACAATGAATCTTAACATTATCTTGTACTTTTCCTTAAAACAGCAAAAATGACTGTGAAGTGAACCCAATTATAATGTCATAGTTACCAGTGACTTCAGCAAGGCCATTTTATATCAAATGCCTGGCTCTGAAAGATATACTGGCTTAAACACGATGGTTCTAATTAGGGATTAATTTCATTCATTTAACAAATGTATATGAATTTCTATCTAGCCAATGGAACTTTGGGTGGTAAACATAAAATCAAACTTAATACACAATGAAATCAATGAAGAAAAATCATGTCAAGGTCATAAATATTTTGTTGCCAATAACAATAACAAAATGGAACATAACCAGTTTCCATTAATGTATACTGATCCTAATGCTTGGGGTAAAGCTGGATCTTCATAGCCTTCTGGAAAAGCCAACGGTCAGGTCATATAAATGTTCCAGAATGTATGATTTCTAGGACCTACCAGGTGATACTAATTTACCAAGAAGACTTGGAGAACGTTCACCCTGTTAGTTCTGGTGGGATGGATGGAGGCCACCAGAAATAGGCAATCCCATCATTAACCTGGTCTTATGCCATTTAGGGCTTTAAAACTTGCATTGCATCTTGAATTGCACCATGAAGCCACTGGGAGTCAGTGCAGCTCATGTAGCAGTGTTGTTACATGGCTGTCCTATGGTGCATCCAATACTGCATGTGCCACTGCACTGTGGACCAGTTGAAGCTTCCAAATGGTCTTGAAAGGCAGCCCATATACAGTGTATTGCAATAGTTCTTTTGGGAAATTACTAATGCATCAGTGGTGGGTTCCTCCCGGTTCGGTCCGGTTTGGCCAAGCCGGTAGTGGTGATGATATGACGTCACTGAACCGGTTCTCTTTGTTCAGGAGCTGGGTCCCCCCCCTCCGCATTATTCTTACCTTTTATTTGGTCCCGCCCCCAATCTATTCGCTGCCTCCCAAGTCCCAGCTGATTGCTAGAAGGAAAAAACCTGTTTAAACTCTTGCCGCGGGGCTTCAAAGGGCCGCCCTACAGCTGATCAGTGTTAAAAGGTAGTGTGGTGGTAGACCAGAGCACTCGAAAAACAAATGGGTAGACCGATGCACTCCAAAAACAAATGGGTAGACCAGAACGCTCCAAGACCAAATGGGTAGACTGATACACCTCTGCAAGCAGTTAAAAGCCTGGTAGACCAGTACCTCTGCTAAATCCTAAAGAACTGTCACATGACCATCAAACCATGCCCACAAAATAAGCCACGCCCACAGAACCGGTAGTAAAAAATTTTAGAACCCACCCCTGTAATGCATACATGACTATGAACAGTGCCTCCTGATCTAGGAACAGTGCAGGATGTATTTGTGCAAAGGTCCTCCTTGATATCACAACAAAATACTTTGTCATGACCTTGAAATGATTCTTTTCATGAGTCTAGGAAGATCCCCAGGTTGCATAAAAGCTCTTCCAGGGGATGTGTCTAAGACCTAATCCCTTGCTAGCACATTTGCTTAATCCTTTGCTTTTTAATAAGTATCTACAGTATATCCAAGAAGCATAAGAAGTATTTATGTCCAAGAAACGTAAGAAAACAAAAACTGAGAACAGGGATGTTCAAGGGAGAACGTTAAAATCAGCAAGATGGTGGATGGAGAATCATGTTGCACAATATACCCTTTCTGTAGGTGTATTGACATTGTATGTATGCTCAAAAGGGATGAGTTTCCATCACAATGCTCCATCTGCCATCTTGCTGATTTTAACACATTCGCCTTTCACAGATGTTGCTGCAGGGGTGAAATCCAGCAGGTTCTGACAGGTTCTGGAGAACCGGTAGCAGAAATTTTGAGCAGTTCGGAGAAGCCCCAGAGTTGGGTGGCCCCAGAGTGGGGTGGGAATGGAGATTTTCCAATATCCTTCCCCCAGGAGTAGGGAGAGAATGGGGATTTTGCAGTATCCTTCCCCCGGAGTGGGGTGGGAATGGAGATTTTGCAGTATCCTTCCCCTGCCACGCCCACCAAGCCACACCACGTCCAACAAGCCATGCCCAACAAGCCACACCACGCCCAACAAACCACGCCCACAGAACCGGTAGTAAACCGGGTGAGATTCAAGGTGCTGGTGATGACCTATAAAGCCCTACATGGCTTAGGTCCAGGATATTTGTCGGACCATCTGCAACCAGCAACAGCTCCCCATCGCCCAGTGCGTTCTCACAGGGAGGGCCTACTCAGGGTGCCATTGGCTAGACAGTGTCGACTGGCAACCCCTAGAGGCAGAGCTTTCTCTGTGAGTGCCCCCACCCTCTGGAACCAACTTCCTCTGGGACTCCGGTTGGCCCCTGACCTCCGCACCTTCCGCCGCGACTTAAAGACATGATTGTTCAGCCTGGATTGGGGGGGTTAACATGTATTTTAACACGTTTTCATTCAGATATTTTATTGTTGTGAGCCGCCCTGAGTCCTGCGGAGATAGGGCAGCATATAAATCAAATCAAATCAAATCAAATCAATCAATCAATCAATCAATCAATCAATCAATCAATAATTGGATTTCACCATAGTGTTGTTGGCTGAGAAGTTCTAAAATGCCTACCCTGATAAATCCATGTTCTGGTGGATTTGGTTTGAGACATCCGGATTCAGGTCTCTCAACTGCAATGTTACCCTCCCTTGTTGCTTCATCATCATTTACACATATAGCTCCCCTAAAAGGGAAAACAACAGTGGAATCAGAAATCACTAGACAGCCATTTTTTCAGATTCTGAAGGAGAGAGAGAAAAAACATATTTTATGGTAGGAGCATGCAAAGACCCAAGTTTAGTTATTAGATTTCTACTAGGGTACTGGGCAACTGGTGATATTGGCAAACTCTTAAGACCAGTACCATAGGTAACCATACCAGGTGTTTCCTGAAGCCAGAAACAGGATGGCCTCCATTCTATACCCAGTTTGGCTTCAGCACTGGCTGTTGGACACAGTACTGTGCCACATTTTAAGGCAGAGGGATGGTTTAAGGAGCATTGAGTTGTCAGTATTGAGGGGCAAATGGCATGGGTTTTGTTATTTGTTAACTAACATAGTTACCATGCATTTTAATTTGATTTATTTTCTCTCTTTTAAAAAGATGTTCAGATTTATTAGCTTTTAACATTCCTAAACTGATAAACAAGCTGGAGACTAGCTCCAGTTAAGAAAAGTTTGTTAGTACAACCTGAGGTCTGGTTTATCTCTTTGACTCCTTCTGATGTCAGACCTCATTTTAATGAATATGTGTGATATTATGGGATACAAATATGTAACAAGTTTGACTATATGTAACTGATTTCGATGCAAAGGGGAGGTTACTTTTATTCTGTCCGATCAACTTTCTTCTTGCATTTTCTTTATTTGTTAACTATAAAAAGGAGGGAAACACGGGGTTTGAGGTTCGCTCTCCCTTTTACATAGAGACCTCACTTTATCAGTAAAGTGCTTTTAAATGATCTTCTGATTCAGTTGCTTATTGGGAAGGTAAACTGAGGCAGAAGCTAGAGCCAGATTTGGCTTTCAGTATGGCATGCATAGCTCGGTCTCCAGTGTAGGAAGAATCCCCTGATTCTGCCTGGAATGCTGAGTAGTTCTGTGCCAATTAAAACCAAAGGTATATCTTAACTTGGTGTTGTGGGAAGTGGAATTAAAGGCCAACCTAAACCAGTGGGTGGAGGAAATACTTAGCCCCACCATGCCAGCATCACTTCACCATGAACTGCTGATTCAGTGCAAACTATAATGCTAAATGACAATGAGAAAGGGGTGGAGAAATTAGAGAAAGGAGTGGACAAAAGGCTCAGAAAGCAGCCCACTGAGTCTTTTGTGCTTCCACAATATAGCCTCCACATACTTGTCCCAGAACTCCTGACCAGAAAAAAAAAAAGGCAACCCTTGTAGACTGCTGTGAATCATTGCTCTTAAATTAGCGCTCTCGGTACTTATGTGGGGTCTTTCAAAATCAGCCACAGGATCTCTTGAACAATTTAACTTTATTTTGAACTGCATGACACTTTAGCCAAAGTAGCAGTGAATTCTTGCTGGGATATTCCGGGATCTAAGATGGTTATCAAGAAATCCTGCATATCACAGGATCCTTGCAGTGAACAGTCTCTTTATATAATTATCCTCAGGGGTGGGCTTAAAAATTTTAACAAGGGGTTCTCTGCCCGGTTGCTGGATGCGCGTGGCCATGGTGGGTGTGGCCTAGTCAGCCGCCTGCACCATGGTGGGGGGGATGTTTTTGCCTTCCTTGGGCTCTGGAGGCTTTCCGCAAGCTTCCGGGAGGATGAAAACGGCCTTTCCAGGCTCCAGAGGCCATCTGGAGGCCGGAAATGGGTTTCTGAACTTCTGGTAGGCCTGTTTTTCACCCTCCCTGAGCCTCCGTGCGTGCCCTGCACTTACCTGCATCCAAAATGGACTGCGTGCGGACTTCTGGGAGGGGAGGGGAGGGGCCATCCAGAAGTGGGATTTGGGGGTTCTCTGAACTGCACAGAATCTTAGCTAAAAGGTCTCCTGAACCCCTGTGAACCCCCAGCAACCCACCCATGATTATCCTGGATGTTCTGTCTCAGAAGACAGTCTCCCTTTTACATAGAAGGAAAGAACAAATAAATCAATAAAAGGAACAAAGAGTGGTCAAAACTCTCAATCCACCATAGGATTGATACATTCCAAGGCATTTTGGTATCTTCCTCAAAAGGGCTCAAAGTAGGCGGAAGCAACGCATACTTTCCATATGAACTGCATTCCCCTAACCAGCATGGCTATAATGAAAAATGTTGGATTCCTGTGATCAGTGGAAGGTAACAGGTTGACTAGTCTGGCTTGGAAGTTCATCAAAGATTTCTGGAGTTGCTACAAGGCTTTTTGCTTTGAGCTTGTAATGAGAATGGGAATTGAATTCATAGATAGCTTTTGATAGCTTTTCTTTTTAGCTTCCTTTAATTGTTTTCCCCAGTGAAGCAAAAGAATTGACTGGCAGTGACAAAGTACAGGTCTTTTCTCAGATTTATCTGAAATGGCAAAGGATTGAATCCAAAATGTTGCAAAGAGCTATTCTTCTGAGCTACAGCCCTTTTCTTAAACCCTGGGACTATTATAGTCTTACCTGTCAACAAATATGGAAAAATAGCATGCTTCTTCTTCCGCTTGTTCACCTTCACATGGCTTCCCTCCATTTTGAGGGAAAGGATTGTTACAGGTGCGGCTTCTCTGTCTCTTATGGGAACCATCACAGGGACTCCATGAACCCCAGCAATTCCAATTACCATCAACCGCAACTGGAATACATGAAAAGGATTCACAAAACATCTCGATTAAGAGTCTTCTCCAGTGGCGGTTTAACAACTGGTTCGGTGATCGCTCGCTTCGTGCGTGGACGCACACTTTGCATGCACACATGCCTACATGCACAGTTTTAAAAATACTAACCTTCTGTGTTACCACTTGGGAGTAGCATAGCTGAGGTGCGGCAGATTGCCGCGCCAATCAGCTGAGAAGATAAAGGTAAGTAAAGTGTAGAGGCGGGTGGGCGGGCCAACCTGATTGTCGGAGCGAACTGGTTTGCTCCCAGATGATCATCAGATCTACCGCTTCGCCCAAACTGGTCTGAACTGGTAGAATCCCAGTTAAGATTCTAGCAGTTCAAAATCCTGGTCTTCTCATAATACCTAGGGAATTGGTGGTCCCAAAGCAAGATTAGGTTTCAAAATCTCCCATTAAACACAGCCCTAGAGCAGTGATGGCTAACCTTTTTGCCATCGTGTGCCAGGAGCGGGGGGAGGGGGTGTCGCACGCATGTGTGCCCACACCCAAAATTCTATGTGCCCTGCCCCCACGCATGTGCACACGACCTTCCCAGGTTGGCAAACAGGCCGTTTTCGGCCTCCAGGGGGGTGGGAAAGGCTGTTTTCGTCCTCCCTAGACTCCTAGAAAGCCTCTGGAGGCTGGGGAGAGCAAAAAATGGGCCCTCCCCACCTCCCCCGAGGCCCTCTGGAGGCAGAAAACCATCTGTTTCCCTACTTCTGGTGGGCCCAGAAGGCCCAAAAATCAGCTGGCGCATGCCAGAGCTGAGCTTGCATGCCCACCAATATGGCTACGCATTCCACCTGTGGCACGCGTGCCATAGGTTCACCTTCATGGCCCTAGAGTAACAGGGCAGATGGTTTTCTACAAAATGAGATAGAGAAATAGAGGAAGAGACAGTGTGCTTTAGATGAAGTAGTCCATTAACCTAACAAAATGATCTGGCAAAAGCCTCATTCACCCCATAGCTAATTCTGACTTTCAATGATGTAACTTTAAAGTCACAGGTTAAATTGTACATATAACTGCTATGAAGAATATCAGAAATTCCTGCTTTATAATGTTTTTTCTTCTTTTTGTCTTTTTCTTGCACTTTTCAGTTCTCTCTTTGCTTGCTTGCTTTTTCTCTTCTCCACTTTATAATATAAAAAAAACAATATAATTTATATTATTTTGTGTTCGTTTTTATCATTTTAAAAGTTTTGATAAAAAGGACATTATTAAAAATAAAACTTTAGAAAATGACTTGTCAGATGAATGAATTTGCTGGATGACATGGAATCGTATCTGAGATGGGCCTGACCCTCTGAAAATCCACTCAGCCCTATCTAACTGTTGGCTAACATGGATTAGCTAGTCGGCCTTGAAAACTCCATCGGTACAAGCTAAAAAGGTAAATGTAAAGGTTCCCCTCGCACATATGTGCTAGTCATTCCCGATTCTAGGGGGCAGTGCTCATCTCCGTTTCAAAGCCAAAGAGCCAGTGCTGTCCGAAGATGTCTCCATGGTCATGTGGCCGGCATGACTAAACACCAAAGGCACACGGAATTCTGTTACCTTCCCATGAAAGTGGTCCCAAATTTTTCTACTTGCAATTTTTACATGCTTTCGAACTGCTAGGTTGGCAGAAGCTGGGACAAGTAATAGTTGTTACCCATTACGCAGCACTAGGGATTCAAACCGCTGAACTGCCAACCTTTTCGATCAACAAAAAAGAGTTTGTTAGACTGTGGGTAGGTGTGCCAATCTGAAAACTCTGTTGGTCCAAGGCAAACACAAATCCTTTCATGTGGATGGACTGATGGAAACAGACAGTCACAAATCTTCATCCTTAGATCATTCACCCATAGCCCACTTCTACCTGCTGCTTTGTTCAGTTACATTGGCTTAACGTCCCTTGCATTTCCCAGCATGTTGAACGTCTTGTTATCTGTGCTCTGTTTTCCAATACTCTTGCTTGTCTCAATGTTAGCCACAGCTCTTGTCTTTGCATTTGCCCAGGGGCTAAAATGAGCAAGTTGTGATGTTTCAAGCAAAGCACTTTGAAGGGGCTTCAAGAGCAATGTTGCTCCCAGCTTCTAAGTAACAAAGTAAAGCATCTCCCCTACACAGAGCCGAAGACACCACTGAGAGAGACGCAAAGCATTTTGATAAACCAAATCATATCATCACTGCACTGAGGCCACCAACTGGGCTACCTCAGATAAGGCAAAATATAAATATGTTGCTAAAATCTGCTCTCTGGATTCATGAAAGTTTTCTTCCCTGCAAAAGAGGTTTCTCTTTTTCTATTTCATTTTTATACAGGTTTAGAATTCTTCTCCATGTCCTGTTTTTTGTGCCCTTTTCTGAGAGGTAAAGGAGGATGCTATCTTTCCTACCGTGTTTCTCCGAAAATAAGACCAGGATGTCTTTTTTTCCCCCCATGTACAGGAGGTCCACTTCTGTTTGCTCACAGACGGAATGGAGCAGGAGGTTGAGAGACATGCCAGTGCCACAGCCACAAGGTGAGGTGGGAGGCAGAATTGCCCCATACGGCCCAGGCCAGCTTACCTCAGAGTCCCTGCAGCCAGGCCATCCATGCCCTGACACCTGCCTCACCTCACAGCCACGGCACCACTTAGCCTCCTGCTCCGTTGTACCTGTGAGCAAACAGAAGAAGTGGGCTGGCGACCTCTTGGGCTCCTGCTGCTCATGGCTGTTGGTGCTGCCGCCATGAGACAGGTGTTGGGGGCAAGGATGGCCTGGCTGTGGGGGCCCTGAGGTAAGGCGGTGCATGGGATAGCTCCACCCCCCTGCTTCACCTCGTGGCCAAGGCACTGTGAGCAACCAGATGGAATGGGCGGCCGGGCAGCCAGGTTCTTAAATAGAACTTGTTTTGGGGGTAGGGCTTATATTAGGCGCACACATAAAAACATAGGATTTATTTTCGGGATAGGTCTTATTTTCCGGAAAACAGGGATATTGATATTTCTCTCTGTGTGTAGAGCAGGAGCATCCACTGGAGTTTTTAACTGGAGTTTTAACTGGAGCTTTTTTTAACCTAGAAAGGTTAAAAAAAATCAAGAGGGCAGTCATAACTATGAGATCAAAGCCTAAGCCGCCATCTTGATTCTTTTAGCAATGCTCTTACTATATTTTCCCCCATACTTCCTGATTTGGAAAACAAAGCCTTTTATTTAAAAGGTTTTCTCATGAGATCTTTCTTGGAGCTTTGGTTGACGTGGAAAACCAGAGAGATAGAAGACCATGAAGGGAAGATTATATAGTGAAAATAGAGCATGTTTACTATATGGCTTTCCCAATCCTCTTTGTTAATTAAGAAAGGAATAAACATCCTGCCCCTTACTCTAACTGCTTTTCATGATACGCAGCTGCCCACATCCATGGGGAGGGAATCACAAAAAGGCTTGATGGTGTTCACACCATTGAAATCCTGTCCTTTTTCTAAACTTGTTGACATTGTACATGTACAATGGGGTAAGGCTTCAGTGGCACTGCTGCAATCACCAACTTTTCTTTTTAAACTTTCCCTGAAGATACTAACACAATACATTGGTGAGAAGAGGCAGATGGAGAAGGAAGATCCTTCTGCCCCAAAGTTGTTCTTTTGGCTCAGGAATGTGTGTAATTTTTCTTTGATGCTTTTCTGGCCTTTTGATGGTTAAAATGAAGAAGTAGAAGAAAGGTTGCTATACCATCCCCAGATCAAGGGGAAATCTGTAGTACTTGTTTATTATTTCCTTCGTTCTCATTACCAGCTACTCCTCTTCCTCTTCTTTAGCTCCTCTTTTATAAATGATAGTTGCTCTCAAGCTGCATTTACTCTTTGATCCCAATTTTCCCTGGCCTGTTTATTTCCAACCAGAAATAGGAGAATATTTGAATATTTTGTCCTGAACCAGAACAACTGGTTCTGGAGAACCGGTAGAAGAAATTTTGAGTAGTTTGGAGAACCGGTAGTAAAAATTCTGACTGGCCCCACCCCCATCTATTCTCTGCCTCCCAAGTCCCAGCTGATCAGGAGGAAATGGGGATTTTGCAGTAACCTTCCCCTGGATTGGGGAGGGAATGGAGATTTTACAGTATCCTTCCCTGTCACGCCCACCAAGCCATGCCATGCCCACCAAGCCACACCCACAGAACCGGTATTAAAAAATTTGAAACCCACCACTGCTCCATATAGCATCATCCAACTTAGTGCTGCAATTAGATATTGCTCAGTAATATGCTTTCTACTCCATATAAGATACAGTCCTGGTTTTGATGTGAGATGAACCTCTTCTCAGTCAAATGAAATCATGGTCAAGGGATTGTTTTTACCAGGGGCGAAATGCTACTAGTTCACACCGGTTCAGGCGAACCGGTAGTTTAAAAAAGCTACTAATTCATCCAAACCGACGATCAGCTGTGCTGTGCAATTTAGATCCGCTAGAAAGCGGAAGGAAGAAAATCCTGCTTTCTAGCGAATCTAAATCGTGCGGCACAGGTGTTTCCCCCCCCATTCTACTTATCTTCTTAAGCCTCCTTTTTCTGCATGCAGCATGCCAGCATGCGCAGGCAGCCAACCAGTGGCAAACCGTGGAGGATTTCACCACTGTTTTTTTATCCATCTTGATATATTATTGTTACTATAGTTTCTGTGGATGGGAGATTCCATTTTAAGGCAGTTCTCCTAACCCACAATTAAAAGAGGGAGGAAGGAAGGAAGGAAGGAAGGAAGGAAGGAAGGAAGGAAGGAAGGAAGGAAGGAAGGAAGGAGAAGGAAGGGAGGGAATGAGGGAGGGAATGAGGGAGGGAGGGAGGGAGGGAGGGAGGGAGGGAGGAAGGAAGGAAGGAAGGAAGGAAGGAAGGAAGGAAGGAAGGAAGGAAGGAAGGAAAGAAAGAAATATGATAAATAGTTGAGGAAAGGGGATTTAATTACTTAATGCAAGGGAGGAAAATGCATACTCTGAAGCAGCTTAATGCTTTGCCAAACTCTTCGTTCCCTGAAGAAAAGGGGGGCTTGTTCTCTTTAGCTCGCTTGAAAGAAAATAGTTCCAGCCTATTAATTCCTAATTATCTCCACTCGGTTTCATCCTTGCTAACTTTACCTGGGGCTAATATATGAGCAGGAAGAATTATAAGGAAGGGGGAGAGGGGGAACAGATTTGCCAAAAAGTTGAAACAGCCTGGAGACACATTTCAATCCAAAATCTAGAAGATTAGGAAAGCTCTATGTAATGAAATACTTGCATTTTTATTCTGTTAACTCACATACCTGAATGATAATCTGGTGCCCGTATTTCACAGTTATCACCGTAAGTCCCAGCCCGGCACACACATAAACACTCTGTTCCAGACAGCACTGCCTTGCCATTGTTGGGGCATGGAGCACATTGGCACGGGTCAAACTGTGCTGCATACTCAGAAAGAGCTTTCCTAAGATTGCTACGCTTGGTTGCTGCACAGGGGATGTTCTTCACCAGCTCCAGAATGGAAATCAGCTAATAAACAGAAGAGGTGGACATCAATAGAGCCATGAACATTCCACTCTACCACAGTTTTACTCTGCAAGCATCTGTTAACAGGCAAAGTCTGAACAATTCAAGGAGATTTGCAAGAAGGGAAGGGACTCTTGCATGATGACGTCATACTTCAATTCTGTGACATATACTTGAGTCAGACCTCATCATGCAAATACCTAAATGGGACATGTGTGCCATGACTTCCCTTTCACTTTAATCAATCCTATGCAGTTGATACCTTTTCCTTATTCTGGATTTGCAATTCCAGCCGTAAGAATTTGTTTTACTTCCTTTATACTTAATATCAAAATGAGTCTCAGAGTTCAATGCTCTTTAGACCAGTGTTTCTCAATCTTGGCAACTTGAAGATGTGTGGACTTCAACTCCTAGAATTGCCCAGTCAATGATTTATTCTTCTTGTAGCCTGGACCTTGAAACACAATCCAGTTGATGGTGAAGACAGATAACTGGCATTCCTCTTGCCAAGGCCAAATATTTTGTTGACCCTTTGGTAAAAAGGAAACAACCATATTTGACTATAATTGACACATGACATAGTTGAGCATGCTGGGTGGATATTCTGAGAGTTTTAGTCAAACATATCTATAACACATGTCAAATTGTTGCCAGCTGGGATAAGCCACAAATCAGCTTTGCACAATTGGCCTTTGTGCAGGAAATAGGAGTGCCTCAGAGGTGGGTTTCAGCAGTTCTGGCCAGTTCTGGAGAACCGGTAGTGGAAATTTTGAGTAGTTCGGAGAACCGGTAGTAAAAATTCTGACTGGCCCCGCCCCCATCTATTCTCTGCCTCCCAAGTCCCAGCTGATTGGGAGGAAATGGAGATTTTACAGTATCCTTCCCCTGGAGTGGGGTGGGAATGGAGATTTTACAGTATCCTTCCCCTGGAGTGGGGAGGGAATGGAGATTTTACAGTATCCTTCCCCTGCCACGCCCACCAAGTCACACCCACCAAGTCAAGCCAGACTCACCAAGCCACACCCACAGAACCCGCAGTAAAAAAAATTGAAACCCACCACTGAAGTGCCAGTGTCTGAAAATAAGCCTGCTACTACTTGAAATGAAAGAAAAAGTAGAATTGAACCATTTGTTGGAGCCACAAATTCCATTTTTATTTTATTTTATTTTATTTTTAAAAAAACCTTACCATCCTACGGATAATCAGAAATGCATAAGATGTAGCACTTGGCATACCCTCCAACAGTATTATATCCAGCAGCACATAAATTACAAGATACATTACTTCCAAACCTATTGTGGCGGCATTAGATACTCAAATTAAAAGATTTGTCCGAAATAACTTCCTGGTTCAATGTCTAATGCTAACATTTCCTGCCAATACATTTGCATGTCCAGTTTTCTGAGATTATATCATATCACAGAAGTTGGCAAGCTGTTTAAGTGTTGGGCATTCCCCACCTTGCAATCACCTGGAATGTTGGCTAATTATTTAACCTCATGAGGCCAGGGTTGTCTTGATTTCTAAAGCATGGTATTTGTGTCTTTATTTAAATGGTGAATGAAGTTAATGGGGAGGGGAACAATAAATGCCTTTAGCTGTTGATCCACGTCATAGCAGTAAAACATATAGCAATCAAAGGTTGTAATGTGATGAATCTATTTATGTTTTCCCTGCTCTATGTTTCTCTTTGTTTCCCCAACAGCAATTGCAGCAATGGTGGGTTTCAAATTTGTTTACTACCGGTTCTGTGGGTGTGGCTTGGTGGGCATGGCTTGGTGAGTGTGGCAGGGGAAGGATACTGCAAAATCTCCATTCCCACCCCACTCCAGGGGAAGGTTACTTAAAAATTCCCATTTCCTCCCAATCAGCTGGGAATTGGGAGGCAGAGAATAGATGGGGGCAGGGCTAGTCCGAATTTTTACTACCAGTTCTCTGAACTACTCAAAATTTCCGCTACCGGTTCTCCATAACTGGTCAGAACCTACTGAAACCCACCTCTGAATTGCAGTCAAAGAAATATAATTCTATATCTACTGACAGTGGGAAAGGCTAGAAACTTTAAATGTCTCATTGGTTCTGTTTTATAAAACTTTATGAAAAATTAATGCCTGAAATTCCTTGTTCTCCTATTTATTTTCCATCCTCTTTTTCTATTATGTCTATTAAAGAGCACGCCTGTGACCAGGGAACTCCATTTTTTGCCCAAACTTTTTAAAGTAACTGGAAATCTATAGTCATTTTCCTAGACGTTTTATCTTCAGAGGTAGGAGCATCCATTATGATCTCAGACAGAAGCGTCAAGAAATGTGGGGAAAAACCACAACTGCTGGAAATGCAGAAATGTGTAAGAGAAAAAACTGTGAGGTCTCCAAAAGAGTCCAAATAATGTTGAGCATGCTCAAGGACTATATAATCTGCTTGACTGCTCTGGTACAGCAGGGGTGTCACTCAAGGCCCGCGTGCCAGATCTGGCCACAGGGTGCTTAGACCTAGCCCGTGGAGCCACCCTGGAAACAGCGAAGGACTGGCCCATGGTGACTCTGCTAGCGAAAACGGAGCTCCATTTTAGTTGGCAGAGTGTGGCCCTCTCGACCTCCATTTTAGCTGGCAGAGTGCTCAGGCCACCACAGCAGAGGTGGGTTTCGGCAGGTTCTGACCAGTTCTGGAGAACTGGTAGCGGAAATTTTGAGTAATTCGGAGAACCGGTAAATACCACCTCTGACTGGCCCCGCCCCCATCTATTCTCTGCCTCCCGAGTCCCAGCTGATCGGGAGGGAATGGGGATTTTGTAGTAACCTTCCCCTGGAGTGGGGTGGGAATGGAGATTTTACAGTATCCTTCCCGTGCTATGCCTACCAAGCCATGCCATGCCACACCCACCAAGCCACGCCCACAGAACCAGTAGTAAAAAAGTTTGAAACCCACCACTGCACCACAGGCACCCCCAACACGAGTGATGTTGAGCTGGCCATGCCCACCCTGGACACACTCACTCGCCTCCCCCCCGAAGTGAAACACAATCCTGATGCAACCCTCAATGAAACTGAGTTTGACACCCCTGTGTTAGAGGGACAAAAAAGGCTGGGTGCAGAAATGCAATGGGAGATCTTGAATGGCAAAACTCTACCAGGCTATTCATTGCAGGTAGTCCTTGAGTTACAACCGGTCTCTTAGAACCCATTTCAAATTACAACCAATCCAAAAAAGGGGACTTATGATTCAGTTCTGAGGTTGCAATAGCCAGGCCCTTCCAAAATCATATGACTGAACTTTGGGCACTCAGAAACAGTGCAGCATTTATGGCCATTTGCAATGTCCCAGAATCACGTGACTGTGTTTTATAACAATTTTGCAGAAAATCAGCACTTTCGGTTTTCGGCAAAACTGCCCATTGCAAACCATTGGTTAGCTTAATGATAGTGGTGCTCACTTAATGACTCCAAAAAAAAGCAGGTTTATTTTCAGACACTGCCAATCCCATTTCCTGCACAAAGACCAATGGAACAAACCTGGTTTGTGGCTGACCCTTTTATTACCATCAAGGTCATAATGGGCAGGCTCCATTGTGGTCATATGTCAATAGCAATGGCAATAGCACTTAGACTTAGATATCGCTTCACAGTGCTTTACAGCCCTCTCTAAGCGGTTTACAGAGTCAGCCTTTTGCCCCCAACAATCTTGGTCCTCATTTTACCCACCTCAGAAGGATGGAAGGCTGAGTCAACCTTGAGCCTGGTGAGATTTGAACTGCCAAATTGCAAGCAATTGGCAGTCAGCAGAAATAGCCTGCAGTACTGCACTCTAACCACTGCACCACCGCAGCTCCTACTAGAACTACCTAAACGAGACAAATGTCTAGTTTTAGACTAGAATTATATACATTATTATAGATAAATATGTATGTGAATTGTATAGATAGGTATATGTAGGTATAGATGAGCCTTGGTGGCACAGCAGACTAAAGCACTGTTAAGTAATACCAGCTGCCTGCAATTACTGCAAGTTCAAATCTCAGCAGGCTCAAGGTTGACTCAGCCTTCCATCCTTTCGAGGTAGGTAAAATGAGGACCCGGTTTATGGGGGCAATAAGCTGACTTTGTATAAAAAAGAACACCACTTAGGGGTGGGGCCAAAAGCCCTACTAAGCAGCTTTATACAAAAGTATGAAGGCTATTGCTTAACGCATTATAAGCCACCCTGAGTCTCTGGAAAAGGGCGGCATATAAATCGAACCAATAAATAAATAAATAAATAATTGTATAGGAATAAGGTATAAAATTACTATTATTATACTATGTTTAAATAACGTATAAGGTGTAAGGAATATATTATTATATTATCATTAGTATATTATGTATTAGTTTAAAGTGTTGGAAGATGCTTGGGACCAGTGATGTCATATCTATGTCCAATGTTTTTAATTTTGAACTACTAATAAAAAACTTAAAAAAAAAAAAAGAACTACCTGCACTGTTATGGCAGTCTGATTAGTGATATCTCGCTTTGTATTTCTGATATTCACAGGCGGCTGACAAATGCTTCTCATGTTGCCACTTTTCTTAGAAGATTCAAGGTTTCCATTCAGAAACAAATGAAAGGCCACCCTGAGAGACAGCAGTGCTTATAATGCTGGCTAACTCACTGCTCACTGCCAGGAGTTCGATTCGGACCGGATCAAGGTTGACTCAGCCTTCCATCCTTCTGAGGTCGGTAAAATCTGAGGACCCAGATTGTTGGGGGCAATAGGCTGACTCTGTAAACAGCTTAGAGAGGGCTGCAAAGCACTGTGAAGCGGTATATAAGTCTAAGTGCTATTGCTACCTAGTTTGGGTAATGAAACATCTGCAGGAAAACAATCAAGCTCAGAGACCAGCAAGGACCCCTCATTTCAACCCTGAGCTACACATATTCTCCTTTATCGCTACCTCAAAGTCGATCACAGTTGGATTGTCCTTCATTGATTCCAGCCAATTGGTAAAGACAGTGTGCTCAGGAAAAGCTCCTTTCCTTTCCCAAGCAAGAGCTGCAGCAAACTGGGATCTTCCACCTTTGATGAAGGATACGGACTTCTCTGAGGATTGCAGAAATGAACCTGGAAGACAGATTTAAGGCCTGTGATTGGAGCAGCAACATAAGCAGGTAAAGTTCGTAGCAACCGTCAGAAGTCGAAACAGAAAATATTTTGTCAAAGCCACTCTTGGAAGCCAGGAAGAATTAAAGTAAAGCATCTTCGCCTAACAATGTCCTTTGATGCATTTTTTAAAAGTGGATTTATCTATTGGTGCACCAAAAAAGGGAGGATGTATTACGCCATCAAGCTTCTTCAACAGCCATACAGAAAACAGAAAAGGCCTTTCTCCCCTCCCCCCAGAGGTCCTCCAGAGGCCAGAAACATTCTGTTTCCTGACTTCCAGTGGGCCCAGAAGGCCCGAAAATCAGCTGGCCAGTGCAGGTATGTACGCCGGAGCTGAGCTTGCGTGCCCACCGATATGGCTCCGTGTGCCACCTGTGGCATGCATGCCATAGGTTCGCCATCATAGGCTTAGAGCAAGGGTGTCAAACTCAAGGCCCAGGGGCCAGATCCGGCCCATAGGGTGCTTAGATCTGGCCCGCACCGCCACCCTAGAGCAGTGAAGGACCAGCCCAGGGTGCCTCTGCCAGTGAAAATGTGGCCCTCCCGAGCTCCACTTTTGCTAGCAGAGCGTTCAGGCCACCAGAAGTGCCCCGACATGAGTGACTTCGAGCTGGCCACACCCACCCTGGCGAAGCTTACCCTGGCCCCATGAGGTCAAACACAACCCTGATGCAGCCCTCAATGAAATAGAGTTTGACACCCCTGGCTTATAGAGTGCTATAAAGCACTCTGAAGCAATATATAAATGCTATTGCTAGTTTCAGTTATCTGTCCCTGAAGGATCACAGGAAATTAAAGGAGGCACATGAGTGTTTGAGTAAATCCTAGTGGTATTAACATTCTTATAATTTGTCATTGGAAGCTCTTGGACTGAAATTGGAACCCTATGTTCCCAAAAGGTCACATTTTCCTTGATAATCACCTTCATGACGAGCAGACATTCTGTTGCTTGTACAGCTTGTTCTCACTTTCCTCCTTTTAAAACCAAAGATACGCCTGGTCGTTTCTGTCCGGATGCACTCTTGCGATTCTGCCTGTGTTAAACCTTAAGAGATGAAAGTTATTTCTAGAATATTTTAGCATTAAAAAAAATGAGCATTCCTGCTTTCTTCCCCCTCTTCCTCCTCCTCTCCCCCTTCATCTAAATTATATGCACTTGACATATAAGGAAACGAGACTGAAAAATTAAAATGGCCATTCAATTTACAATAGGAAGAGCTGTAGACCGAAAGGATATATTCTTATTAATTATATCTGTACATGTAGCTTTTCTTAATTTGAGACTGCTTTACTTTTCTGTTTTGGTTGGATATTATTGTTCCAGTTTTCCATTTCTTACATAAGTCATCTAAGCAACTTTTAATAGAATTATTATTTTGGGTTTAATTAGTTGCTTGTAAATTGCTGCAAATGGCGCACATTCATTTTAATAAATTTTACTCTTACATAGTGTATATTTTTAATGATGAAAAAGTAGGATGCATCATTTTATTTTTAGTGGTACATTAATAAGAAGCTTCTTGTGCCATTTGCTTTTCATCTGGATGCAGTGATTATTTTAATATAGTAAACAACAATAAAATAAACCAAGAAATGGAGATATTTCTTTGTGTTTATTTCTGCTCATCACAGGGGTGAAATCCAACAGGTTCTGACAGGTTCTGGAGAACTGGTAGTGGAAATTTTGAGTAGTTTGGAGAACCGGCAAATGCCATCTCTGGCTGGCCCCAGAGTGGGGTGGGAATGGAGATTTTTCAGTATCCTTCCCCTGCCATGCCCACCAAGCCACACCATGCCTACCAAGCCACACCACACCATGCCCACCAAGCCACGCCCACAGAACCGATGTTATCAATAAAGGAGAATATTTGTAGCTCAGGGTTGAAATGACAGATCCTTGGTGCTCTGTGACCTTGGTTGTTTTCTTGCAGATGTTTTATTATCCTACTAGCACTGATGATGCTACCTAATCCATGTAATGAAATGTCTGCAAGAAAACAGGCAAGCTCAGAGACGACCAAGGACCCCACTCACAAATGTTATCATTTCACATGCCTTCCATTTTTCTAAGCCTTGCATTCTCCCAAGCTGGATATGTTTTTTAGTCTTTGGTGTAAATGTACATTTGGTTCTCTTCTCTTTTAATCCTCTCAGAATAACAGAGTTGGAAGGGACCTTAGAGGTCTTCTAATCCAACCCCCTGCTCACTAAAAAGACACACGGAAAGGAAACGATGGATTACAGTGCTGCACAGTGAAAGGATAAGGCAACTTTTCCATTCCCAATATAGTTACTAGCCCAGTAATGGGTCCCCATTTTCTTTTGCTAAGGACCATATACCTGAATTTCTCAGCTCTTCAGCGCTGTACTGATAAAGGAGGTCATATATGCCTCCCAGTGACCCAGAGGAATAGTAATGTGTGCCGAAATCATCAAATATCTGGCTGTAAAGGGGATAGTTGTACTCCAGGGGCAAGCTATTAAGCGCCTCTAAGAACACCTTCGACGGCTGCAAGTCTGATTCCTTCATTGTGAAGTTGGATACCGCTATCACTTTATGGATCCTAATAAAGTTGGACTCCTACAAATGAAGAAGAGAAAATGTGACTGTGATAATTAAATAATGATAATTATTTATTTATATAATTATTTAATGATAATTAAAATGTCTTTTCCTAGATCCATGATATCCAATGATCGGTTAATGATGATGGTTTTATCGAACCAAAATTAGAATCTCTTTATCACCTATTACAGCCAACCAAATAAATAGCCTCGCCCCTGTTTTTTAAGACGAGTTTGTTAATGAGAAACTTGAAGTCAGCAATTTGTATCTAGGTAGCACATAGTCCTGGATCCATTTCTGTGGCCCCTAAATGCATGCTCACATGCACACATGCATACAAACCAGTGGTGGGTTGCCCCTGGTTCGCACTGGTTCTGTAGAACCAGTAGTAAAACCGGTGGGAGGCTCCGCCCACCAACCCCGATGTCATCAGAACGCTTCTGCGCATGCGCAGAAGAGCACATGCGAGCAAAGCAAGCACGTGTGTGGCCCTGTTGCAAACTAGTAGTAAAGGTAAGTAGAACCCACCCCTGATACAAACATATGTCCACGTTATGTCTGGGGAAATACAATATATTTCTTTTATTTGATCAATTAAGTTCTAAAACAGATATATCAGGATGGCATCATGGGCTATCATGTTTTAAGCTACCCAGAAAATCCCCAGAAACGAAAAAAAGATGTGTACATATTAGCTGTGCTTCTACCTGTGACATCATTGCTATACTACTTGAAGTCTTTCAACATGAAATAAAATAAATAAATAAAATGGCACTCCAAGCTAGAGACAAATTACCAGCTCCCTTTTAAATTCTCTGCTTCATTTAATCTTAAAGTTTTAAATAATATTTGTGCATGGACATTCAGTCCTCTCATATAACATGTAGTTTTTTTTTTTTATTAACACTTATTCAATTTGCAATTCTTGGCCACTCTCCTGCATGAAATATGGATGCTGTTATTATTGTTAATAATCTCTGCAGTAATAAAAGCAGTTCTTAAAACTGAAAACAGTATTAGAAATCATGCTCGTATTTGCCTTCCTTGGAAAAAGGAATATAGACTTTGAATGGAACAAATGCCATTAAGCATATTTGTTGAAAATAAACATTCTGGAAAGTAGTATGCATATGCTTTTAGCCACTGAGGAGTCATATCGTATTTGCACATATATAAATATTAAGACAAATAAATGCAGCATGCTGTAGCATGTCCAGCATAGATAGACTTTACTGGAAGAAAAGTGAAAATTTTAATCAAAGGACTCTATCAAGTCCCTTAATTTCAAATGAGGCATCTATATACACATTGTCCTCGACTTACAACCACAATTGAGCCCAAACTTTCTGTTGCTAAGCAAGACAGTTGTTAAGTTGATTTTGCCCCATTTTACGACGTTTCTTGCCATAGTTATTAAGTGAACCCCCCTGAGATAATAATACAGATAGACCTCAACATACAACTACAATTGAGTCCAAAATTTCTGTTGCTAAGCAAGACAGTTGATATGTGAGTTTTGTTCTATTTTACGACCTTTTTTGCCTTAGGTGTTAAGTGAATCACTGCAGTTGTCAAGTTAATGACATGGTTACTAAGTGAATCTGGCTTCCCCCTTGACTTTGCTTGTTAGAAGGTCGCAAAAGGTGATCACATGACTCCGGAACACTGCAACCGTCATAAATATGAATCAGTTGCCAAGCATTCATCTTTCAATCACATGACCATGGGGATGCTGCGACTGTCGTACCTGTGAAGCCAGATTCACTTAACTGTGTTACTAACTTAAGAACTGCAGTGATTAACTTAACAACTGTGTGTTCTGCCCCAGCTATGGACCCAAAGAACACAGCCCACACAAAGTCTGTACAAACCTTAGTTTACTAAATTAAATCAGTCTTTTTCAAATAAAGGCTGTTAATTTACTTTCTTAACAGCCTACAAGAATCCAAAAAATAAATAATCATAATCTTACTAGGATTGGCAGAAAGCCCAGAAGCAATTTGCAGGACACTGATAAAAGAACTAAGATCCAGACACAAAGGAGAATGAACTAAGTTGTTCCCTGCAAATTGCCTCAGTCGTCATCTGTCCATAAATAGGCTAAGGGAGTGGCCAATTAGCCCCAAGCCTTACTCACGAGGAGACCTCCTCCTGAGGAGCCACTCCTGCCTTTTGGCAGCTCTGCGTGCCCATGCATCGAGAAGAGGCTCCTCCTCTTCGTTCTTTTCACTTAAGGGAGCTTCTGGAGGTTCTGAAGGCCCTGGCTGAATCCCCGCCTCTGGCACCACATCTTCTCCAGCCTCATCATTGTCCGACTTGAGTGCCAGCTGCACAATCTGCTGGTGCAGCACCACACCAGCCTCCTTGCTGTCGGAATCAGCTACTAGCTGCATAGGCCGCTGACGGGCCATAACACTGTGGCAGGAAAGGTCGTAAAATGGAACAAAATTCACTTAATAATGGTCTCGCTTAGCAACAGAAATTTTGGGTTCAATTGCGATTGTAGGTTGAGGACTATCTCTGTACAGGTGCCTCATTTGAAAGTCGTAAGTCGAGGATTATCTGTATCTTGCTTCACCAAAGGCACTACTCCTGATCTGGATACATTTTTCTTAGATAATGTTTTTACTGCACTTTTCCAGCAAATACATGGGGCAGTCACTTCTGGCCCCACATCTACCTACTCATATCCCGATTGCAGGGCAGTGGGGCTATCAGAAAGTATGCATCTTTAAATTTTACAAGTGCTGGATTTTTCCACTGAAATGTCTGCCAAGGGTGTCAAACAGGCGGCCCGTGGGCCAGATGTGTCACACGCAGGCCACACCCCACGCCAGTTCCGTGAATGCAAAAACATCACAATACGTCACGTGACATCAACGTGACACAGCGACTTTGACACCCATGCTCTAAGATGATCAGTCTCTAGTGGGCATTGGTAATCGCTATACAAAAGGAGATCTGTCTTATTTGGCTACAAATCCAAAGACATCCTGCATTTGAGAAGCCAGATGTCACCAACCAGAACAGTTTTGTCTTTTTGCCATCGTGTGCCAGGAAGTAGGGGGGGGTCGTGCGCATGTGTACCCACACCCATAATTCACACCCATAATTCAAACAGGCCATTTCTGGCCTCCAAAGGGCCTCCCGGAGGGGGGGAGGCCATTTTCGCCCTCCCCAAGGTCCTAGAAAGGCTCTAGAGCCTGGGGGAAGAGAAAAATGGGCCTTCCCCACCACCACCAGAGGCCCTCCGGAGGCAGGAAACAGCCTGTTTCCCCATTTCCAGTGGGCCCGGAAGGACTGAAAATCAGCTGACCGGCACGCGCATGTGCGACGGAGCTGAGCTTGCATGCCCACCAATATGGCTACGCCTGCCATCTGTGGCACGCGTGCCATAGGTTTGCCATCACGGAACTAGAAAAGAGAAATGTTTCTCATTTTGAAATAGTTTAAATTCCTTTTTAAAACAGAAATGAATAACATGGATAAGAAAAATATTGGTTCTTTTCCCTCACCTTGTCAAGCGAGCTGAACAGCCTTTTCTTGCAATTTAAAAACAATCAGCATCGACATTTCGGGCATGCAATAACATTTGCCACTCCCGCCCAATGCAGAAAGCAATTCAATACAGAAATCTTTTCTGTGAGAGCAGGCTAATGAACAAGTGACTTTTCATGGGGTCTCACATATTGGCTCCTGCAGATGGAATTAAAAGCTAGAATAAAAACAGCCATACCTTTCTCTTTGAAGCTTTTATTGCTTCCTTGAAGGAGGAAGAGGATGTGATGTGAACTTTTGTCTTCTTGGAGAACAGGAATGGGATTCCAGATCGGCTTCGGCCAGAGCCAGAGAAAGAACTACTCTGAGAAGTATGGCTTTCAAAGGGAATTAAATCATTGTAATATTCTGAAGCCACCTCATCTTCTTCATTCACTACCTATGGAGAGATATAATTACAGAAACCTGGTTTGACATAGGACTGAATCAGTGGTGGGTTGCTACTGGTTCACCCCGGATCGGGAGAACTGGTAGCGGCGGCGGGAGGCTCCGCCCACCTGCCCGGACATCTCTGCACATGCACAAAAGTGTTGCGTGCGTGCATGAGCATGCACGCACCCATGAGCAAACCACTAGCAATGGGATTTGAATCCCACTACTGGACTGAATCTTATTTCTTAAAGGGCATTGACAGGAATGGATACTAGTCCCCATAGCTGGAATTTCTAATTCCCACAACTGCATTTTTTAAAGTGTCTTTTGTGGAGAAATTTAGCTTTGGTCTTAAGGAAGAGGTGAGAAATGTGGAATGGTTAGAACATAGATTAACAGAGTTGGAAGGGACCTTGGAGGTCATCTAGTCCAACCCCCTGCTCAAGCAGGAGACCCTATACCATTTCAGACAAATGGCTGTCCAGCTTCTTCTTGAAAGCCTCCAGCGATGGGGCACCCACCCACAGTATCTGAAGGGAAGCCATTCAGATGTTGAAGGTTGCCCAATTCTGAGAAATTATGACATGTGAGGAGACACAGAACAGTTCCATCTTGACCTTGTTGTCCTTGAAAAGAGCAGTGATGGTTTTTGACAGACCACCACAACAATTCAGCAGTAAATATAAATCTCAGTTTCTTGATCTGGCCTACTTCAAAGAGCTGACACTTTTCATTACCTGCTTGCCTGGCATGGCTATAACCTCCTTTCTCTAGTTCCATTTTCTCTCCCTCCTTATAGACAACCCATTCCGTTTTTCCATTCTGTTTCCCAGAGGCTGCCAGTACAAGGGAGGATCTCTCATGTTGAATGCCCCTCACCCATGATTTTTGAAAGACACAGCAGAGCGACACAAAGTAAGATGGAGAGCTACCATTCTAAGGTTTGGAAGTTGCCTGTAGCTGTTTGGATGCACACAGAAGAGCAAGACAGAGAGAAGACTTTGACTTCTTGGGCAAGAATTTGCTGTTCTTAATTTAGTAACAGATAAAAGATATCTGAAAACGCTATCTGAGTTTGCTAAGTTTATGTGCTCGATGCAAATTAAAAACAAGCAGAGTTTCCATTGCATTGTCACAGCTACTCTTTTGACCAGGTCCTACAGACGCTCCTGGACTCTTTTAACCAGATTCTGCAGACGCTCCTAGCACTCATATTGTAAAGCATTTGTGTATATATAAATATAACTTGTTGATGGGTAAAACCAGTGGTGAAATCCAAATTATTTGACTACCGGTTCTGTGGGTGTGGCTTGGTGGGCACGGTGTGGCTTGATGGGCGTGGCTTGGTGGACATGGCAGGGGAAGGATACTGCAAAATTGCCATTCCCTCCCCACTCCAGGGAAAGGATACTGTAAAATCTCCATTCCCACTCCACTCCAGGGGAAGGATATTGCAAAGTCTCCATTCCCACCCCACTCTGGGGCGAGCCAAAGGTGGTATTTGCCGGTTCTCTGAACTACTCAAAATTTCCGCTGCCGGTTCTCCAGAACCTGCTGGATTTCACCCCATGCTTACAGCCAACACGCTTAATATCTTTTGATAGTTACCTGGAAGAAAACAGACTCTAAGTTTGCAGGAAGCCGATATGTTTTCCTCAAGTCGCTGGTCTTCACAAGTCTGCAGGTGCCTCCATTAAAAGAATTATGGAGAACTTCGCCTTGATGCATTCCTGCCAGAATATGATATCTAAGGGAAAACGATAGGAATTTTGCATCCAGTCATGGAAAACACCCTGGATCAGTTCCTTAATTATTCATAGTAGGGGAGGGGTTTCTGCTCAAGCTGGTGTTTTGCTGAAGGATAAATAAAACCACATCCTTATATGGTAACAGAGCAAACAGGCCAAAAGCTGGTTCATTAAATTCATCAATAACTTAAATGATTCCTGGTGACCTCCAGCAACTTGGATTACAATGCCTATCATACCTGACCATACTTGCCCCATTGTCCAAGGCTGATGGGAGCTGTAATCCAAAATACTGGGAAGGCATCAAGTTTGATAAAGCTAGGCTAGATCCTCCTTTTTTCCATGTTCTTATCTGTCTACGTTCTTTTCTAAATGTCTGTCTGTAATCTCTCTTCTTCGCTTCTCAGATAACTGGTTCTAAATGAAATTGAGCATCTTAATGTATAACTATGGAACAAAACAAATGGTAACATTTGCAGCCATGTAGGGATATGGAGAAACCCCAGATGATTTGCAAGGTCAAAAAAGCATGGAGCAGTATAATGAATGGCCTTTATTTAAATTAGAGTTAGTTGTGTTTCCTTTTCTTTTTCATAGTTTACGCCTTTAATTCCTTTGAATTATTGCTTCTTATTCCTTTTTCCCTTGAGTACTTTAAACATGACTTACCCGTGGCCCATTAGGCCCACACCAGGAATGCTCTCATGTTTTCTAGCACACACGGGTCGCACACGTGGACAGTTCCTTTCATCTGAATTATCCTCACAATCATTTTCTCCATTGCACTTTAACTTCTGGCTAATGCAGCGACCTTTTGCCAACAAAAGGAGGAGGAGGAGGAGGAGGAGGAGGAGGAGGAGGAGGAGGAGGAGGAAGAAGAAGAAGAAGAAGAAGAAGAAGAAGAAGAAGAAGAAGAAGAAGAAGAAGAAGAAGAAGAAGAAGAAGAAGAAGAAGAAGAAGAAGAAGAGGAAGAAGAAGAAGAAGAAGAAGAATGATGTTAGAAGCCATCGTTTTTTAAAGAAAAGCAGACCAACAATTCTGTAAGGAATGAATGCTTCCATGAAGGCTTGCATTATTATGCAGGAAAGAAATATTCTACATTTGCAGCCATTTTGCTATTATTGGTTAGATCCAGAAAGCCAGTAAAATTGGGATAACTCCACAACTATCACTGAAAATATATAGAACGTTTGTGGGAGGGGGAGGGAACCAGTGGTGATATTCAGCCAGTTCTATCTGGTTCAGGCAAACCGGTAGCAGTGGCTGTGGGAGGCTCCGCCCACCCGCCTGGACGTAATCACATCCCATTTATCCACATTTTTGATGCTCTGCGTATGCGCGGAAGGCCCTGCACGCACGCTCACATTTGCGAACCCGTAGCAAAGGTAAGTGAATACCACCTCTGGAGGGAACCACAAAAACACATCATACTTCAAAGGAGGAGACCACAAATTGACAAGAGTGTCAAAGAATAAGAGAATTGCCCTCAGCTATGGCCAATAGAAGTTCCTTCTCTAGTGGAAGCTTCTCCACATCTAGAGGGCTTCCAGCTACTTCCAGACCCCAGCCCTAGGTATATATGCCCAAGGACTCTCTGGCTTAGCAGCATACATAGGATACCGTGTCTTCCATGCCACCGTGTAGGAGCCTGTAGTCTGCTATGTGTAGGACTGTTTCCTTATCTTGGATGGCAAACCTCAGATAAGGAAGGTTACTCACATGTAGGCACCAGGAAATGGCATTAAGACCCTAACTCTATAAACAAGAGGAACAGGAGGAAAGGAAGTGGGATGTGTGTTAACCCTAGATAACATTATAAGTCCTTAAGCAAAGCATTAATGGTTAATCAAAGACTCTAGTTACCTGGAAGATTCTGTAGCTAATGAGATGCTGCCAAGTACACTGTAACTTGAAAGTAACAAACTATATAATGTCACTATGTAAGACAATAAAGTTACCCCCACATACATCCTCAACCTTTGTGTGTGTGTGGTCACTACACCACCGAAGTTGATACATGATGTTAATGTACTAAGCAACATTTTTAAATTGCAGAGATGGTTTCTGATAGATGATTATCCAATGGTGTTATTATTACTATTAATTATTATTGTTGTTGTTACTATTTACACTTAATCTATAACAGGGGTCCTCAAACTTTTTAAACAGGGCCAATTCACAGTCCCTCAGACTGTTGGCTGGGTGTGCGTGGCTAGGTGGTCATGTGACTGGGTGGGCATGGCCAATTTAGCAGTCCAGTAAACAATAAACACAAATTAAACTTTAATTTTTTATGCTCCTGGGGATAGAAATCAGGTTAGTGAAGGGATATGGCTGACTTGGGATGTGTGTGTGAGGGACTTCTGTTTGTGTGTGTGTGTGTTAGATTGGCGCAGGGAAAAGAATACGCGAGCAGCGAGTTGTCCGTTCAGCATTTTATTTAGAGGGAAACAGAACAGCCGGCTGTGCTGCCAGGCTCGCCTTATAAAGGGAATCGGCAGGCAAGCCGGCCAATGACAGATCTTCAAATCTCCCACCTGTGGACTAGCCAATCTGGCGGGGACGCCCATATAAGGACATAACAGTGTGTGTGTGTTTTTCTGTCTCTCCCTCCTTTTCTCTCTCCCTCTCCCTCTCCCTCTCTCTGGAGCTGGGGAAGCCAAAAATGGGGCCGTTTTTGACCTCACCGGTCTCCAAAACCACTCTGCCACCCAAAAATGGGGCCGTTTTTGCCCTCCTGAGGCTTCTGTGTGTCCCATTTTTTGCCTCCTTGGCCTCCAGGAGGCGGGTAGGTGGGGCAATATGGGCGGGGCAGCCTTGTGGTCCCATGCGGGCTGGATTAATGGCTTCAGCGGGCCGTATCTGGCCATGGGCCATAGTTTGAGGACCCCTGGTCTATAAGATACTTCTGACTGGATCTGATAGTTTTAAGATATTACCATATGTGCACTGATTCAAATAATGAGACTTTTTGTAATTGATGAGTTTAGATTTTCTCCATTTCTATGGAATTGTGCCTTAAATACATTTCAGATCTATTGATACACCCCCAACTGTACCAATTGGCACATTATTACTTTCATTTTCATCATTCACTCCAGATATATTTGAAGATCTTTACACTTATCTATTTTTTCTAGTTCTTTCCAATGAACCTTCTGCCTCCAGCAACTGCTGTTTATAAGTTATAATTCTTAGTAACAGTCCAATGAACCAATATGGTTAGTAGTTCCAAATACTCTGAATAATCTTATTATAGCCACATACCAAATGTTCTCCTGTTCTTTGTATAACCAGCATTTACTTTCTTGTCGGGTTTTCTGTTTCAGTTTTCATTACATTTGTTCATCACAATTGTTGTTGAACTGCTAAAATAAGGTCTTTCATTTTCTTGAATGTGTCTTTTAAAATAAACTACACTTTTATTATCTTTTTTAAAAGCGTATTATTTGTATTTATATTACCGTATTTTTCGGAGTATAAAGCGCACCTTTTTCCCCCAAAAAGAGGGTGAAAATCTGGGTGTGTCTTATACTCCAAATGTAGCCCCGCCCAGCTTCTTAAACGGAGGTTTCAGAGGCTGAAAAAAGCATCAGAAACGAAGCTTCAGAAAAAAAGCCCCCAAACAGAGCTTCAGAGGCTTTTTTTCTAAAGCTGTTTCAGAGGCTTTTTCAGAGGCAGAAAACAAAGTATTTTCTGAAACGGAGTTTCAGAAGTTTCAGAGGCAGAAACAAAAAGCAAAAAAAAAAAGCAAGGCACAGAGCTCACAACCAAGGAACCTGTTGCTAAAATTCACCTCTGGGAACAGCTGACTGGGGATATTCCGGGAGGCTGATCCACCTGCCAATCAGCTTTTTTTCTTATTTTCCTCCCCAAAAACTAAGGTGTATCTTATACTCCGGTGCGTCTTATACTCTGAAAAATACGGTATTTGTATTTTCAAGGCATCAAAATCATAAAAGGAATAGACTATTGAGTTACCATTTTCGCAATGGAATTTGTTGCCACAGTTAGTTTCCTCCATGTTGCAAAGTTTTGTGGGAAAACACGGTCGTGACTCCACCAAAGGTTCATTACATGGCTGACCTTTAAACTGAGCTAGTTGGGTAAAGGATCTGGTACGAAACTGAAAAACAGAAGGATAATAATTAAGTGAGGCAGAGAGTGTTTCCTCCAGGTACTTTTACAGAAGGAAATGAAGCAGTTGGTAGCACCATACCCGCCTTGGCTGACCTCAAAATAAATAAATAAATCATAACAGGATTGGGCTTGATTAGTACTTGGATAAAAGGTCATGGGGGCAGCAAACTTTACTTGGTTAAGGAGCTTATAGTCATGAATTGCCCTGACCATTCCATCTCTCCTGGAGACCAAAACGTTAGTCCAGATGATGGTGATTTGGAAAGGTGAATGAACATCTGAGATGGTTACTTCTCAAATAGGAGATTGCAAAATCTCCATTCCCTCCACACTCTGGGGCCAGCCAGAGGTGGTATTTGCCGGTTTTCCAAACTACTCAAAATTTCTACTACCGGTTCCTGAACTGCTCAAAATTTCCGCAACCGGTTCTCCAGAACCTGTCAGAACTGGCTGGATTTCACCCCTGCTGCAACCACTTAATTCCTAAGACAATGGGTACTTGCAAGACTGAACTGGATCAATAAAATACAACAATGGCTCTACTAGCAGCATCTGTTCATTGGATCTACCACTGTTAGCTTTGAAGAGTCCAGTGGTTCAGCTTAATATTCATACCATGTTCTTATCTATGAAATTAGTAGTCACCTTCAAGTAAATATTGTTACCTGAATCTAAATAAAGAGTAATGGGGACAATACTCCTTTGAGATTTCTTTAATTGTCTGAGGAGGGCCCTTCAGAGTCTTGGGAGCTTTTGGGAAATGGATCTAAAAAACATTCCAGACAATGTGGTCTTGAAATGAGTTGGGCATTTGCTTGCCAAGTGGCCTATAGATCCAAAGGCCGACTCCTGATCAACAAAGGCTGAAACTATCTTTATTGAAATTGAATATAATGACAGAATCTTCCAAATATGACTGTGCTATATTTCCTTCTCCTCCTACTTTTTATACTCTACTAAATTAGGTAGGCATCTGCTGAGCTGCTTTCAGATGTTATCTTGCTCTTCTGAACTTAAAGAAATACTGAGTTCCTTTTTGCCTAAGCAATGATTCCTGCATATCTCCCTCAAGATCAACCTCCTTACTCTCTACATCTATCTATATCTTTTCCAACTTAGAGTTTACTTACTTGTTTTTTAACACATGGATCACATTCTGACCAGGGACCAAAGTCTCCAAGCCGGCAGTTGATTGGACACGTCTGCTGGTTACAGGCTCTGGATTCCTGGGTAGTGCAAATTTGTGCACAGAAGTTTTTTCGGTAATAATCATCCACTTCAATTTGCCTAGAATTAAAAAAAAAAAGAAAAGAAAAGCTTTGTGTTGACCAGAAGGATGTGTTAAGCCAAGGAAATTAAGATTCATGGATTCTACATGCTGAAAAGGACAAAGCATGACTATAGTTCAGGGTGCAGTTAGATGATCCAGAGCATCAAAACACTGAAAAGCATTCAATCTTTAATATTTACCACGTGCAGATAGCAAAGTGCTTCAGTTCAACAAAGTTTTTTTGTTTTGTTTTTTTAATTTGATTTATATGCCGCCCTTCTCCGGAGACTCAGGGCGGCTTACAATGCATTAAGCAATAGCCTTCATACTTTTGTATATTTATACAAAGTCAGCTTATTGCCCCCACAAACTGGGTCCTCAATTTACCCACCTTAGAAAGGATGGAAGGCTGAGTCGACCTTGAGCCTGGTAAGAATTGAACTCGCAGTAATTGCAGGCAGCTGGATGTTAAATGCTGCCTTAGGAGGCATTAGCCTCCTACGCCACTCAGGCTCCAACCAGGCTCAGGTTCTGGTTATAGATGTGGAACAATAAATAATTGAGCTTCAAAGAATCACCACCTATGTTTTGGGTTTGGGGACCTGACAACAGGCTTCTCCTTGGATGTGTTGTATTGCAATACCCATCATTCCCAACTGAGATAAGTAGCTTTGATCCAACTTTTGAAGGCAATCAAGTAGGGAAGAGTCAAAGTTATATCCTTTTAAGATGATTGAATGATAATAATGTATCAGTTCTGCGATCACCATGATATTTCCCACTTACCTATATCTATTCTGAGTCCCGTAATTACAGGTTTTTGTACAGCCAGACCAGGCAGTCCAGGGATAATGGTTGCAGTAGCATCCTTCGTTATTCTCAATTGCAGCCAGCAGTAAGATGAGGAACAGCCAATTATATGCTTTGTTCATGACTACCAGCCTGAAGAAGTCAATGAAGCCTACAAGTGCAGACAAATAAAGAACAGTTTGATATCTGTTTTAATACTGCGGCAGCTGAAGAACTAATGTACTGCAACATGCATTGCAAGGAGCAGTCTAAAGCTGCGTCCAGCTGTGATAACTGTGGAATGAAATCATAGTAAAACTGCTGACTCATTGAGCGCAAGCATCAGGACGATTCCAAGGCACTAAAAGCATTTTTAGCCACAAAGGAGTTATCAAAGCACTCCAAATTTCTGAGAGGAAACCATCAGAGGGGGACTTTAGTATTCCAGGTTCTCAGTTTAAATTCAACCAGTCAACCTGTACCCCATTTCAGAGATATTTCCTTACATAATCAGAGAAACAGAAACAGAAACAGATGGGCATAAACACAGTGGGAATGGGAATGACTTCTAAATTCCTGCTAGCTTTTCCATTGAGTTTCCTTGTGGGAAGCTAAAAGGAAGCATTAGAAATTTTCCTTCCCTCCCTCCTTCCTTCCTTCCTTCCTTCCTTCCTTCCTTCCTTCCTTCCTTCCTTCCCCATTTAGTTTGCTCGTTGGAAGTTTGCAGGGAGCAAGTCAATGGGGAAGCCAGCAGGAGACTGCAAGTACAAGGCGATCAGGCAGTTAAGTGGCAGCTATTGGGGAGGGGAGGGAGCAAGGGGTTGCATTGTCAGGAATATTATATGGGGTGCATGAGATTGCCATGTGGATTGGGAAGGGTCTATGAGTGTATTCTAGGAATGCCACGTGGGTTGGGGAGACCATGCAGGTGGTGGCAAAGCTCAAGAAGGTGCACAAAGAGTATTGTGTGGTATGGGTAGAGTATGCAGGGGGACCATGTGGGTCAAGAAGGGTGAGTGAGGGTCACAGGTGTGTGTAACAGATGCTGTATTGGTCAAATAGGCTGCTTTCTTATACTGACTTCTTTTAGCAGCCCTTCAGAAGCCAGACACAGTTCCTAGGCCAGGGGTCAGCAACCCGCAGCTCTGGAGTCGCATGTGGCTCTTTCATCCTTCTGCTGTGGCTCCCTGTCACTCAAAATATGAGTCACAACCGCCAATGTGTGACACCCACTGGCATGCAATTTATTGAGCTTTTCAACACCGGTAGGCCAACCATGGAGAAATCCAAAGAAAGAAAAGTTTCAGAAGAAAACAGAACGTTTAATTCCACTACGTATGCCAGTTTTGTGGCTGCTCAGCAAATAGTCAGGCATGAGAAGGGTTTTGTGGCTCCTGGTGTTTTCTTTTCTGTGGGAAACAGGTCCAAATGGCTCTTTGAGTGTTTAAGATTGCCGACCCCTGTCCTAGGCATTCAGAGCATTGAAGGGAAAACTTGTTTCTGCAAATCCCAACAATAAGTGGCAGGAAAAATCAATTTATCATTGATTAGCTGACCAAGGCACGTTTCCAAATTGAGCAGTCCAAAGCCAAGCCAAAGATTTACGATGCCAGATCAAGGGAGAGATGAGGTTGTTGTTAGTCAGCAAACAGGTTGTAAATAACTAGATTCCAAGTGTCACAATGGAGAAGCCAGATTCCACAATTGCTTCTACCAAGAGGCCAATTGTTCCTGTGGGAACGTAAATGCACTCTTTGCTAAGGATTCACAGCTGTGGTGAAACCTTGCTAGTGAGTTCAGCATCTTGCTGCTTGATCATGCATCACACACTGGTGAGGTGCAGAGATCCCAGGAGGAATTTCTGGGGGCGGGGGCAAGTAAGTACCTGGAGCAGAGTCAGACCCTGAGAGCATAATAGGCCCATGGGGTGTGTTCTGACCTAGGCTTCCCAAAAAGCACGAAGCAGAATCCTGGTCCCAACAAAACCCCTTTTATTAAACAAACAGTAAATTTCTCTCATTCACCTTCAGCAAAGTCTTTCAAGGGAGAATATACAGTCACAGACCTTATCTGGCTTGGAGACTGCCAGGCCGATATCTTCAAAACTTGGCAAAGAGTATCAGAGAATCACAAACCAATTAGGTGAACTAATTGTCTCCTGCAAACTCCACTCCCCTTTGCTCCTCTTTTATTACCTCTGGGAGGGGCCATTCATCATCCACCTGTGGCCTTACTCCCAAGTTGACCCTTGTTCTTTAGCTGTGCCCTTCGTCTGGCAACTCTGTGCATGTGCACACTGGGAATAGGCTCCATCTGTTCGTCTGCCTCACTGATGTCTGACTCTGGCATCCGGCTCTGGCCCCCTCTCTATCTCTGACACAGAGCCCTCATCAGAGGCTTCCCCAGATTCCAGGACTGGCCCATGTTCCTCCCCAACCTCATCACTGTCCGAATCTGCTGCCAGCTACACTGGTTGCTGGTGGGCCACAACAGGATGGGGAGGAGATAACAGCATGGGTTAAGAAGAATGCCTGAAGGTTGCATGGGAGTATGGGAGGTGTGGAAGAGTGGGTTGGGTTGGGAAGAGTGTCTGAGGGTGCACAGGAGCACACGAGGTGTCACACTGGTCAGGGAAGGCATGCAGGAGAGTAGCAGAGGCCAGAAGAGTACACAGGAGTTCCTTCCTCTCTGTTTTTCCCTCCCAGCCTTCCTTTGTTTCTTTATTCTTTCTTTCTTTCTCCCTTCCCTTCTCTTTCCAGTAGGCAGGTGAGTGAGTGCTGCTAGGTGAGTGGGGGAAGGAGTGAAGGATTGAGACTGGCTGGGAAATTTCACAGAATATTGAAGATGATAATCACATGAACAGCACACAGCAATACAGCAGCAGCCAGTAGCACTGAAGTCACAACATTCCCAAATTTTATTCCCTTGGGAATAAAATGGGTCCTGGATTTTGGACAAATTCTATTTGAAGTACCTTGGTTAAAAAATTGTTGTCGTTTCACACAGTTAAAGGACATGACAATGAGAGTTTTAGTGTTCTTTTGCCACATCAGTGTTGTCTATTTTTTTTTTACATATCCATGTATTATATTCACTTTTGCCTAGTAGACCCATTTTCTTACAAGCAAATTTGCCCAGTATAAAGCATGTTTGCAAGTTGTATCTGTATATATAAAAGTGAAAACCACTCACGCATTAATCACAAAATCTCCAGAACCGTAAAGCCTACATATTTGAAATTTGCCACATATGTTCCTCTTGGCTTCTAGGTGCTCACTATGAAAGGATTTTTTCAAAATGACCATCAGAGCATTAGTATTTCCTATATTAACACACTCTGATGCTAAGGAGCTCTACTCCTCCTCCCCACCTCAAAAGAAATCCGTTCCAAGTGCAAAACACAAGCAGAGGAGAGGACTTTCAGTTTCAGTTTTACTTTCACAGCAACAAGCAGCTTTACTACAGAACACTTGAGCTAAGCCATGCCCAGCCTCCTTCCTGTCTCCTTCTTGCTCACACAGCAAATACTGTTTGAGTTTCCAAACACCCCTCAACTCTCTCACAAACCAGATGAATACCGATGGATGCTGATGAATAGCCAGATGAATACCGATGGATGCTGCAGGCTGGGACATTCTACTCCCCCTCCCCCTCTGTTCCAACTGCCAGTTGCATTATATTAACACACTCTGATGCTATGGAGTTACACATTCTACATTAAGTTTCAGGCTGTAAGTGTTGACTTCTGGTTGACACCGCGGTGAGACAGTCGGGGAAATAGCGGGCTCTGATGAGCCCTGTGAAAGCCCCGGCTGCTGAACCACTGCCGATGAGTCTGCGGTCCTGTAGGGATGGGGGAAGAAGAGGGATGCCTCGGAAGACCGAGAGGAACAGGCAAGTTCCTCGGAGGTCAGAGGGAACCCTCTGTGAGTCGGCGGCGGGGGGCGGCAGCCATGGAGACTGCCACGAAGCTGGGACACCTGGGTAAGAAAAGTGCTGGAGGAAAGCAAAGTAAAACGGAGTCTTTTGAAGCTGGGTGAGTGACAACAGCCCAGGCTTGTAACAACGTTTGGAGCTATATTAGTACCTAGAAGACTCCTAGCCTAAAACAGCAGCTAAGTAATAAAGGGACTTTATTAAACTGTAACTTTAAAGAATAAAGATCCAAGAAACAACTAATTTTGGAACAAGAACTAAGAGACTTAATTTAGAGATATGGTAAAAGGACTAAATACTTTAAAAATTTGAATTGGACTAAGGAAAAAAAAGATTTGATATTTTTTTAACTAAAAGAAGAAAATGAAGTGGATGGTTATATAAGAAGAAATAAAATGGAGTCTTGCATGACTAATGGGAAATGTGGACTATAGAGAGACACCATCTGGTGTAAAGAGGAACGTTGTAAACCCCCTTTGTTATGAGAACTTTGAGTTCTACAGAAAAAAAAATGCTGAACTGTGGAGGAGGATTTTTCTTTCCTGACTGCAAGCAGCTGGACTTTGGTGAAAAGAAAAGGATTCTACAATGGAACTCCTATAGTTGAACAAATAATAATTTGAATGTTGGCGCAGGAATAGAAGAAGGATTAAGCGCAGCCTCAAAAGAAAGAGATTTGATACATTATATCCGGAATAAAAATATGAAAAGAGATCTAATTGGATTTACAGAGAATAAAATTAAAAACTTGGAAAATGGAAGGAAATTTATGTTTGCAGATGAGGAAATTAAGATAATGTGATTAAAAATTAAAATAAAGTAAAGATGATTGCAATAAATTAAAAGGAGGTTTTTATAGAAATTAAGAATGTTAAATGAAATTAATTAATACATATAAAAATATGTTTAATGCAAGAACTATGTTTTAATGGTAACATGTTAAGGTAAAGAACAAGGGTGAATATGATTAATTGAAAATGTTAAAAGGAATTTAAAAATATACTTAAAAATATGTTTTAAGCAAGAACCATGTCTCAAGGTTAAAATGTTATGAATGCTATGAAAAAGGATAAAGAAAAATATGATTAAATGAAAAGCAGTGCATAGATGGAGGGAAACAACAAAGAAAGGTTTAAGTAGAGATCGTTAAACCAACTATGAACATGCTGTATTTAACAGCCAAAAAGCTATAATATGCTGTATTGAACAGCCAAACAAATGGTCATGCTGGGTATCAACCAAAACGAAACTTAATATGCCATGTAACGGCCAAATAACAAAAATAGAGATCCTGTGTTCAACAGCCAAACAAACTTGAAGATGCTGTGTAACGCCCAAAAAACAAAATTAATATGCTGGGTAATGGCCAAAAAATAAAAATATGCTATATTCAACAGCCAAAACAAAGGGTTATGCTGTGATTAACAGTCAAGAAATAGAAATGATTGGTTTAACATCAAAGATAATAAAAAGAGGTGAGATAATTAAAATGAAGAGGTGTATGTTGAGAGTTATAGTTAAGATAAAATGCATAAGATAGGTTTAATAATAATTAAATAATTAATGAATGTTTAATCTGTTTAATATAATTGTTTGATTTATATTGTTAAAATATCCATCTAAGCAAATGAAAGAGAAAAATGAATTGATAATTGGTTAGGATTTAAGATTTAAGTAACGGGTTTTTGGGGATAATGGCATAGTTATATAGATAGATTTGAGGGATAAAATTTGTTTAAAATATTGAGTTGTGTTAATTGAGTTGTGTCACTTGAAAATAAGATTTGTTAATGATTTGTTTTAATTTGTGACCGGAGCAAAAGCTTCGTTTTGAAAAGATGTGTTCTACGATTTTTTTTTGTTTTGTTTTTTTTTTTAAAAAAAAAATCTAATAAAAAAAAGTTTCAGGCTGTAAGTGTCAATTTATCAAGCCCGAGCACATATTTTCGTAGCGAAGCATGGGCACCCAGCTAGCTTATTAATATAACCATGCTTGTGTGCATTTTATGGTACTATGTGCAATTTCCCACTTCTCTTTTTACTGGAGAATGGCATTAGCACAGTTGAAGGAGTACGGTCTTTGAAAAATGATGTTTCTGGTGGCACAAATTGGATCTGAAGAGCTGAACGAGTAGCTGCTCAATAGATACTTAAGGCTCTTCCTGTTCCACATCTTCTTAGCCATTGAGAGGGTGAATATTGGAAACACTTTCATGAACTGGAATAGATGGGAAAGTAAATGCAAAGGGCAGGAGGGACAATGAGTCATATATCACAAGGCAGAACTGATTGACAGGTGGCTCAGAACTGATCAGAAGTGGGTTTCAGCAGGTTCTGACCAGTTCTGGAGAACTGGTAGTGGAAATTTTGAGTAGTTCAGAGAACCGGTAGTAAAAATTCTGACTGGCCCTGCCCCCATCTATTCTCTGCCTCCCAAGTCCCAGCCGATCGGGAAGAAATGGGGGTTTTGCAGTAACCTTCCCCTGGAGTGGGGTGGGAATGGAGATTTCACAGTATCCTTCCCCTGCCACGCCCACCAAGCCATGCCACGTCCACCAAGCCACACCTACAGAACCGGTAGTAAAAAATTTTGAAACCCACCACTGCTATAGTTCAGATCCATAGCTTTACTATAATAATTTATTATATAAAAAATTGATATCCATCTGCAAACCTAATGACTTCTTTTTCCTTTTTAGTAATCAGGATATCTGGATAGACAGGATGCTGACAAAAACTTCTCCCTTTGTCCATTTTTTTATATCAGAGAAGACCAGAAGGGGGGGAAGAAGGAAGCGGGGAAAGGGAGGGGAGAGATTCGTGGCTGATAGCTCTCAGTTACAAACTCAAGGATTAACTTTATTGGAATGCATTAATCAAATAATTTTTGACTGTGTAATGCAGAAGAGTGATTGTGATTGCTGTATTGCTGGAATTTTCCAGCTTCTATTTGCTTTGTTAGAAGCAAAAAGAACATTGATCAAGCTTGTGGGAGCTGAGGACATGGTGAAGGATGAGGTATTTGCTTCAGAAGAAAGTTCAGCGATCAAGGTTTTCTGCTTTTGCTAATGTGTGTTTTGCTTCCATCATGAACCACTGTTTAGTGCTGTTCTTGTGACTGGCCCCGATTGTGAAGACAACAATAACAACAAAAATTACACAAAGTACAAACTATTTTTCCCTTGACATACATTCATATGACTGGATTCCTGCCTGGGGTTATATCTGCAACTTATGCCATTTTCATACAAAATGCAGAAAGAAAAAAAAAACAAGTGTGGGAAAGCAATATGCTTTTACTATTTCAGAATTTCTAGACAGGCCCAGCATGTGAATTTTCTTAAAAATTTTCAGATATAGGTCAACTTGTGTAAAGTATGTTATTATTGTGTAACAATGTGTAAAATATGTTATTATTTTTAATTCTCTTCCCCAAAATATTAGGGAATATGAACCTCCTATTGAAAAGTTGCAAGCCTTTTATTTGTGATAAATACACCTAATTCATATTTTTGTATTCTAAACATGAAACAGAGATTAAATATCAGATAATTTATTTAACAAAATGAAATGAAGATTCATTTAAGAATAATTATTTGCAGACTTGGAATAATGTAATGATAGATATCCTAAAATGGAAAAAAAAATTAAATTGTTTGGGTTAGGAAAAACTGCAAAGGTAATAATTAACATTTTCCAAAGCTTGATTTCTTATTTCAAATTAATCCAATAATTATTGAACAGAAGATACTAAATGAGTAGCAGACACAAATAAACAACTTTAGATGACCTTTAAGAGGAAGCCAAGAATCAAGATTAAGATTTTACAAGACTTGAAAGTACATGATTAGCAGGCTGTTGTTGTTATTGGCTGCTGGCTATTCAACAGGTTATTGTTTCACTTATTATTCATTGGATTCCACAATAGATGGTGTCACTTTATGGACAGATTGCTTGCATAAATACTTTTGGTATTTATGCAAGGAAAAAAATCCCCTAAAACTGGTCAGACTTCCTTCCTTTTTAAGAAACCGTCATTCCTTCACATACATCCATTAAAAAGAAGAAAACTTTATTATTATGTATTGCCGTCCAGTATCTTCAATGGGGAGCAAAATCAGATTTGAAGCATCATAGTAGCTAAACAATTTCCAGAGGCCAAATGTGCCATACTTCTAAGTATGTGCATGTCTATTTGCGAGATATGTACATGAGAGACAGAGAGAGAGAGACAGAGACAGAGAGAGACAGAGACAGAGAGAGAGAGACAGAGACAGAGACAGAGAAACAAGGGGGACGCAGAGGGAAAGGAAGAGGGAGTTATAGTACTAGTTACATGATTATTACAACTTTTCTCAATTCTTTCTCAGCTTTGAAATTAGTATGCCACATCTATCAAAGTCTAATCTTTCTTATCAAACACGTTCTTGGTGTTTAGGTGATCCGCTCTTTTAGAAGAAACATAATAAATGCCACAGATGTCTTTAATCATCATAGTTGTATAGATGAATGTATTAAAACTTACCTTTTTTATTTGGGTTGAAGTACAGTCTGAATACAGTAATTCACCCAATGCAGCTACTTGAAAAAGACTCGGTGCCAGCTAAAGCTGTGTTGATCTCAAACCATCAGAGGAAATTCAAAGGTTTTGTTTACAATCAATTAAACTGTAACTAAGCATGTAATCCGGTAGTAGAATTATGTCCAATTGAAATCAATTTTCAGGAATTTGGAAGGAAGTGCTTCGTTTTTAAGCATTTTGGCCGCCCATTTTTGAAAAAAATAAAAAAAAGTAATAATAATAGCTATTTACAAAGCTTCTTATGGTTGCTACAGTGAAACCATAGAATCATCACATTGCCTCCTATTTAACTACTAACCATTTAAGCATAGGGACCCTCAGGATAAAATAATTTTAACATTATAACTTTGCTAGAGCAGGAAAATGTCAACTGTACCCCATTAGTTACAATCAGATAAATGTACAATCAATGAAATAAGTTTCTCGGTACAACTTTTTCCCAGGCACTTGTATTTCAGGGGTGGGATTCAAATTATTTAACTACTGGTTCTGTGGGCGCGGCTTGGCGGGCATGACATGGCTTGGCGGGCGTGGCAGGGGAAGGATACTGTAAAATCTCCATTCCCTCCCCACTCCAAGGGAAGGTTACTGCAAAATCCCCATTTCCTCCCGATCAGCTGGGATTCAGGAGGCAGAGAATAGATGGGGGCGGGGGCGGGGCCAGTCAGAGGTGGTATTTACCGGTTCTCCGAACTACTCAAAATTTTCACTACCGGTTCTCCAGAACTGGTCAGAATACGACCTCTATTGTATTTGTATTTTTATGCTGAGGATTATAAGAGATGAGATATCATAAGCATCATGATCTCATTTATTCAGTGAGGTAATGATGCAAAGGACATCATTGTCACTTCAACCAAAGCTGGGATTCAAACAGTGAAACAGTTGGACAGTTTGCATCCTGGAGTCTTGAGTGCTCCATCATTGGAAATTTTCAAGCAAAAGTTGGAGACCCATTTATCTGGAATGGTACAAAGATTTCTGCACTGGGCAGGGAACTATGCTAGAAGATTGCCTATGAATCTATGATAATGGCACCAAGAGTGATTTTTTTAAAAACACCTCTTTTTGCTGGCTCCTGACAGATTATTGTAGACAAAAAAGCATGCAATGAAAGGAAGCCTAATTTCAAGCACCAGGGAAATCAGAAGATCCAGGCAGTTCAAGTGGACATAAAGGTTTATTGCAAGGTTAAGTTCTCTACAAGAATCTGATCTACTAACTGCCAAAGCAAATTGGCCACAGGAATAAGAATCATGGGAATTCAAAATGGGCTGGATTTAGATCTCCAGGCACGAAGGGACTCATGACTTATGACACATTTGACCCCTCCTCAAACTCAGTCTGATCATCTCCTACAACTAATTTACTAATAGCAGTCTATTTGATGATCTTTGTTTATTGGTGCTTATGAATAGATGTTCTGGGATTACATACATATATGTTATTACTTCATACATAAAAAATATGAAATGTTAATGTTCTCTGTAATGAAGAGTGTGAAAAAAATTACATGGACTTAATCATAATTCCATCATTTGTTCTTCATTATGCCTTCTCAGTACATAAAATGTGAGTGTTTCTAAAGCTGAGCAACTTGTATTATGGAATTCTGTTCCTTGGTTTCTACTTCAGCTCTATTTCTTGAAAAGCTGTTACACCTTTCAGCATTATTTCAAAACCTTGACATCTCTATAAGCAGTGCCATGAAAAATTATTTTTCTAGATTCATGGGCATATTCAAGATTAGTTAAGTGGAAGTTCTGAGTTACTTTCATTGCTTTTATGTAAATGTTAAAAAGATATTCTATTCTTATAGACTGATTTGTAAAATGAAATGTCTGAATAAAGCATTAATAAAAATAAGAAAATTGGAGTCTCCATTGGAAAAACAATCTTGTTACTACTGATATCTAAATACTCACTGCTCTGCAGTTAATAAATGTTCTCAGTATGACTTTAATTGCATTTCAACAGTAGGAACAAATTCATTCCAGACACAACTTAGACATTTTAATGATTTTTAAATATCACAGACATTTAGAGAGTTATTAGCTTTAGTCATCAGCATTCCCAGTTCATTTAAGGAGGAGGGGGAAAATTCCAAGTGCTTTTCTAAGAATTCAATATCCTCACTTAGGATCTAATTGAAGAGGGAGCGGGAATAATTCTAAATTAATTATTCCTATAGATTATGGGTAGTTTCATAGAATCATACAATCATGGTACTTGAACAGACTATTTATGTATTTCAGATACAACTTTCTGTTTCATGGAGGAATTTAAATCAGGGATCCTTATTTATTTATTTTTATTTTTATTTTATTTATTTATTTATTTACATGTTGTCAAACATGTATAAGTATAAACATACAAGTATAAAATCTTTGGTGTTCTCTGAGCTACGGTTGTTTTCTTACAAATATTCTCCTTTACTGGAATCTAAATTAATCAACAGCTGTCCATCCACTGTTTAAAACATCCGGTAAAGGTGAGATCATCACCTGCGAATAGAATAGAATAGAATAGAATAGAATAGAATAGAATAGAATAGAATAGAATAGAATAGAATAGAATAGAATAGAATTCTTTATTGGCCAAGTGTGATTGGACACACAAGGAATTTGTCTTGGTGCATACGCTCTCGGTATACATAAAAGAAAAGATACATTCGTCAAGAATCATAAGGTACAACACTTAATGATAGTCATAGGGAAACAGTCAATATAAATCTTAAGGATACCAGCAACAAGGTTACAGTCATACAGTCATAAGTGGGAAGAGATGGGTGATGGGAACGATGAGAAGATTAATAGTAATAGTAATGCAGACTTAGTAAATAGTTTGACAGTGTTGAGGGAATTATTTGTTTAGCAGAGTGATGACGTTCAGGAAAAAACAGCCCTTGTGTCTACTTGTTCTGGTGTGCAGTGCTCTATAGCGTCGTTTTGAGGGTAGGAGTTGAAACAGTTTATGTCCAGGATGTGAGGGGTACGTAAATATTTTCACAGCCCTCTTTTTGACTCGTGCAGTACACAGGTCCTCAATGGAAGGCAGGTTAGTAGCAATTGTTTTTGCTGCAGTTCTAATTATCCTCTGAAGTCTGTGTCTGTCTTGTTGGGTTGTAGAATCAAACCAGACAGTTATAGAGGTGTAGATGACAGACTCAATAATTCCTTTGTAGAACTGGATCAGCAGCTCCTTGGGCAGTTTGAGCTTTGAGCTTTATGTAATTGGTTCTTCTGTCAAACTTTTTCCTGATGGAGCAAGTTTTCCTAATGTTTGGGGGTGGGTGAGAATCTTCCTTTTTGCAACTCATGACTATTATTATGTGTCCTACATTCTGGGACAATGGGCTTTTTGATTCCTACATTCTTTCTGATGTTTGAAAAGTGCTATTACTTCCCGGTTCCTCATTGTTTCCTTTCAAGATTGAACCTATACAATTCCTTGGTCTCTTCACACAAGATTTACTTTCCACATCCTTGATGTGATCTCTTCGTTTACATGCTTCATAAAAACTGAGTTTTCACAACCTGCTAGATAAATATGAGATTGGCATGTTTCTGGCTCAGTGTGTTGAATTCGGTCCCCAGGCTTTGAGTTTGACATCCCTGTGTTAAAAAATAATGACCATGTTTGATGACAAGGGTAGCCCAGTCACCTGCTTTCCTATATAAACACTTCCTTACACTGGCAGCATTCACAGATACCTTAGTACAGGGCAACCTCCCTTAATCCATTAATCCATTACAATTAATATTGTATAAACAGGGCCAATGAGTGAACTTTTTCATGCTAGGTAGGGGATCTAAAACTGAGCTAGAATTCACCTACTCTTTTAAAAGTACTTTTTCAAGGATATATGTGCTGGATTCACATTGAACCTTCCTACAGTCTTTAACCAGTGGGTCATAGACTTCTAATCAACTGGATTTATGAAGTATAACAATGTTTGGCAATGTTATGGCCAAACAAATGGACTATATTATCATTTAATATGGCATCTCATTCCCACAAGATCCTTTGACAATAGTTATACAGTCTTCATTAAACGACTAACCTGTTTAACAACTTTTTAAAGTTGTTACAGTGGCATTGAAAAAGTAAATTTACAAGCAGTCCTTACACTCATTGAGGCAATCCCAAGATTACATGATTGAGATTCAGGTATCTCACACCAGCAATTATTTATCACCATTACAGCATGCCATGCTCATGTGACTGCCACTTCCACACTTCACAGTCACTGTTTAACAAGTAAAGTGAATGGAGGTACTGGCAGTAAAATCACAAGTTGTGGTCACATGATGCCTTGCTTAATAACTGCTTTGCTTAACAACTATGGTTGTAAGTCAATTGCAGTCACATTTGAGCAATGCTACGCCATTATCAACCACAGTCTTTGCCCTCTACAGGCAGGGCAGGAATGCATAGTGCCACCTCAAGGCACGACAAAGCTGTGTTATTGAAGAATGTCAGAGGTGGGTTTCAGCAGGTTCTGACCAGTTCTGGAGAACTGGTAGCTGAAATTTTGAGTAGTTTGGAGAACCGGTAAATACCAGCTCTGACTGGCTCCGCCCCCATCTATTCTCTGCCTCCCAAGTCTCAGCTGAGAGGAAATGGGGATTTTACAGTATCCTTCCCCTGCCATGGCCACCAAGCCACGGCCACCAAGCCACGGCCACAGAACCGGTAGTAAAAAATTTTGAAACCCATCACTGAAGAATGTATAACTTGGACCTTTGAAACACATTGGGGAATAGTATCCTCAGAATTGTGTTACCTTAATTGTATAATCTTTACCTTTTTAGACTGCTTTCCACCTCTTCCCAACCTTCACCCCCTCTGCCCTATTCCTAATAAATAGTTTAATGGGTTTTAATAATGGCTGTTACTGTGGCAACCTGCTATAGCAACTAAGCAAAAGCCAAGATTTTAAATTCAGAGGGGAAAAAACAATCTTTGCTTATGTGATTTCAGGGTTATTTGAGCAGTTTAGTATTTTTCTGTGCTTTTTCTTGACAT